AATGGTTTTACATTGTTTTGATATATTTGATGCTACAGTATACAAAGTTATACTCAAAGATTTCAAGGAAAGAGACAATATGGTAACTACTTTTATGTCGGGATTATCTTGGGGTGAAACACTATTTTGCTTAAATGGTTATGTTTTGATCTGCGCTGTTTTGTTGTTATGCCCTCTTTTATCTCAATCTCCATTTTATTATTTACTTTTTTATTTTTATCCTTTTAATTAAGGGAAAAATAAATTTAAAAAATAGCAGGATATATTATAGTAACCCACTTTGATTTTCTATTAACTTGATTTGAAGCCCTGTATTGCTCTCACCATCTTGATTTGACTGATGTTCCTCTATTCTGTTTTGCTTGATAGTACCAGGTTTGAGAGTTTAGGCAACAGCTGTGAAGATAGTGGGATTCATTATGACACCCATTCTGGTTGACTATTATCTACTTTGGAGACCTGTAATGTCTCCAATGTTTTTGTTCTGTTGGTTTCATTCTTTACTGTTTTGTTCAATTTTGTCATAACTGATGATATAGGCAATTCTATTGGAGATAGTGGGAGGCATTATGGTAACCACTGTTGATCACCTTGTATTATGTTTTTACATTATCTATTATGCCCACCCTTTTGATTTGACCAACTCTGTTCTGTTATATCACATTTCATTTTACTTTCTTCCAAAAAAGTAATAAGAACTGTGGGAGTAATAAAACCCAAAAAGTGTAATAGTCATTGTACAAAAGAGAGGAAAAGAAAGTGCTCTAAATGATATAACCGCATGTATATTTAAGTGTATAAGGTAGACAATGATATTACTGAGTTTTGTTGGATTATTGCACTGAACTGTTTGCAGTCTCACTGTTTGAATGTTCACTTTATATGCTTTAATTTTGTAAATTGAACAAATATTTCTAAGATGACAATATGTAATCCATTAAATAGTGATTTCCTACTGTTTATTTTTTTTTCTGAAATTCTGTATAACTTGTATCCTTTTTTGCTTTTTTTCTTTTTTACCTTAAATAAAATAAAAAAAGAAAAATATAAAATGTTTTAAATTGATTAAAAAGACATAAGAAGGGGATGGAATATATGATTCAATTATTCTGAAAATAAAGCTGACATGACAAGAAACTGATTGAGATATATTGTTGTACCTTTCAGGAAATGACACCATATATTGAGTACAGTTAATGTGGCTTTTATGCTCTTAATAAACGGAATCTGTAAGCCTCATCCCAACTCACATGGTAGAGGTAAGTACTTTGGAGACTGGTGATCTTAGGTGATGTATCACAGCATATTTGCAGTGGTGTCAGGTAGATTTCATTATTTTTTAATTTTTGTTCTTATTTATATGAAGCAGATTATATTGTATACCGGGTAAATATTCAAGAAAAATTAAGATAACATTCAAAAAATAATTAACACAATGAAAATGTATAACTTATGAATAAACCTCTAATTGTTGCAATACGGATTCTGACAGAAAACCTGATTTCATAGCCACTCACTGTATCATGTATTCTCCCAAGGCTGCATAAATCTTTTCACATGTCTCCAATATCCCAAGATAAAAAATGGAAAATGGGGGGTACAGCCTGTTACCAAAGGCAAGAATTTGCTTAGGACTTCAAATATGGTTTGGCACACAGGTAAGTTTAGGGGTGCAGCAAACTGAATTCAAAGTGGTTTTCCACGGTCTTCAGCTGCTGGTATTCATGCCTGCGTGTAATTCCTGAAGTGTGGACAATATCTCAGATTCGCTCTGGTAAAGACCATATGGTTGAAAGAATGTGACTCCCACAGTTATGTTACACCACAGTGACTATCCTGCCTTCACTCTAGAGAGTCTCCTTGCTCCCTTGAATAAGCAGGTGGCTGTGGTAAGGAAGCACATATGGCTAGGGATAGGAGGAAGGCTCCAGAAGGTCAGAGCACTATCTAGGAGTAGAAAGCAGCCTCAGTGACAAATAGCAGAGAGTAAAATCCTCTGTATTACAGATGCAAGAAAAGGAATTCTGTCAGCATCTTATGTTAGGTGAGAAGTGCATCCCATTGTTTAGAGGACAATGCAGCCCAGCTGACTGCTTCACTGCAGCTGAGGACTCCATGCTCAGTCTCCTGACAATGGGAATGTATGAAACAGTTCTAGAGTGCTAAATGTAAGACACTGTGTTACCAGCAATAAAGAAACTACTATAGAAGGAAGTTTCATGGTATGTCCTCAAGGTTAAGTTTGTCTTTTCTTTCCAAGACAAATAAAAGTTAAGAGGTCTACTAGACTTATTATGATGTAAAATTGTAGTGGCACAGAAAAGAGAAATCTCCTCATGTTGTAAAAGAGATATAGGAATCTCACATTTGTATGGACAGCTAATTTACCCTTAGCTCTTGGAGCAAGTAGCTGAAATCCTTCACACTCATATGTATGAAATATGAACTGCAAAACTAAATAAATTTGTGATATCAATGTTCACATTGTACTAGACCTGTATTTGAAATTGACCTGTTTCAATTAATTTAATTATGAAAAACAAATTTTTTTATTACAAAGTGCTTTAGGCCTCATAAAGAGTATTAACCTTAAAAGAAGGAGCATTTTGCTTTCTCTGCTTCTCTGTTACCATAATGTTGATGCCTTTAACATAAACACAAATGAAGCAAACGAGTTTAGCTGCCATCAGGAAAAATAATTCCATGCAGAGCACGGAAAGGCATGTGGAGCAGTAGAAAAAGAGCTGCCTCATGGACTGAGAAAGCTCTAAGAGAGCATACTTTGCTGTAGATTGTCTGCTTTCATAAGTCAGGGCAGTTTTACGAGTTGTTGTAAGACTGTCTTCAAGGAAGTGGAAGGAAGGAATCAGGCTAACGCGGAAATGCATTACCCAAATAAATGTCAGAAAATTGTATCAGCCAAGAGAGCACATGTTTGGTATCTTTACAGTTTGTTCATGCAGTGCTCTTGTTTTGTCCTGTGCCTTGTGGTTATGAGGTGATCATGTCTGATACTGGTGTCCGGTGACAGCTGTTATTTTTAACTGAAAAATATTATGGCTTAACTGTTAGAGCCAGGTCAACTGCAAGCTGATTGCAGCCAATGATGAATCATTTTCTTACTCAGTAACGAATGTACATAATACTTTTTCTAGCCTTTTGTGAGAGCATCTGGAATGGAGGGTGAAAGCGATTATACAAACCCAATTTCACTAAATGCTAAATGGTTACCTTCTAAAAATGGCTCAGCTCTTTTAGAATCTCCATATGCAGTAACTGTGGCTTTCTTGCTCACATTAGGTTTTATAATTTATAGTGTTTGACAGTCCTCTTAATTTTTCTGAATAATTTCTTGGAATTAACTGAATTTGTTATTATTGTCTTTATTATCATCCATATCCTTGAGTTCTGAATTTTGAGTATCTTAGTCTATTTTAACAATATCTCAAATTTCTTTTTTTTTTTATCGTTAATACAAAGGGGAGAAAAAAGCAAACATGCTTTTAACTAAAAGAGCTGAAAGTCTTGTTTTCACATATCTCAATACAAATGAAACTGTCCCTTCTACACTTGTGTTTATCGCACTTTTCTCTTCAAAACTGTTCTCTCCTTGATAGGAAGGGGGATCAAGTCTTCCTTGTCATTCAAGCTAGAGTCCCAGCACCATGGTCCACTGGTGAAGCAGAACAAATAATATAAAAGTGATACCAGGAGGCCGCTTTATCTGTCTGGTCCAGTCATTCTGGGCCAAGCCGGCACCATCATGGGGTGACCAGGAGGTCTCATCATCACAGGCCCGGGCATCATTGGCATGTGGCCTCCCATGGGTGGCCTCATCCCAGGAGCAGGTCCCACTGGCATCATGGGTGGGGGCGATTACCAGCAACATGGGAGGGCCTCCCATAAGGGGTGCTGGCATTATACCAGGGAGGGGAGGACAGGAGACGGTGGAGCGGGGATCGTGGCCGCTACTGGGGGAGGAGCGGAGAATGGGTTTCTTCCTTTGTTGTCAGTCTGCTCCGAGCCTGCTCTTGCATCCATTCCTTACATCTTTCACGTTCTCCTTACGCCTCCTACCTCTGTGTTTCTCACAGACGGGGAGTCACAACAATCACAATGAAACAGGCCGTTGGCTGCTCCCTCCAATATTACAAATTTCTAAGGAGAAAAAAATGACGTAGAGCCATATACAGTTGACTAAGGATTTTTTGTTTTGATTTGTTTTGCGAGGGAGATGGGCACCTCAAAGCCACATGGAGCGAATTTACTAGAGTGCATTCTAAGGCCAGTGTTGCTGAACCCGCTCAGACACTATGGCTCAAAAAAGCTAAAGCTAAAACAAAACAAAACAAAGCAAATTAAACAACCTCAGTGATCCCCAGCACCACCAAAACGGTAACAAAAAAAAAAAAAAAAAAAAGGAAGAAAGAAAAGAAAGAAGAAAAAGAAAAAACAATGAAAGGTATTCAAGGCCAAGATTTAGTGTCAAAACCTGAGGAAATGAACTAGGATTATTTATTCAATTAATAAGGAATACATGAAAACTAGCTTTTTCCCTCCTATATGTGACATAAAACTATAAAAATTGTATCTCTGGGACTGCCTGGTGATTGTGTTCTCTGAAAATGCATCTGCTGAAACCTTAACTGCAAATGTGGTAATGTTTGGAGATGGAGTCCTTGCGAGGTAACTATATCATAAGTAGAGATTTCATGTAAAATTAACGCCCTAAATACTCTGAGGTAGCGTGCCTCTCTGTGTGCTCGTTCTCTTCTCCCTGTCTCCTCCTCTCCCCTTTAATTCCCCTTCTCTGTTTCCCTTCCTCATCTCCCCCACTGCTATATGACACAAGACTTTCGTGAATACCAGTACAATTTTGGACTTCTTAGCTTCAAGGATTGTGAAAAATAAATTTAAACCACCATATTATGGCAATTTGTTATAGAAACTCAAACTAAGAAGGATTTTTTTTTAGGAAAACAAAAACATGAACATTTAAATATGAACACTTTAATATTTTATTTTCCAGTTTCTAATTAAATATACATAATACAAAATGATTAAAACTTCTGATATGTTACATAAATTAAATGTTTACAATATAAAATAAAAATTACAAATAATTCATAATTACATATTTCACTTAAACTAAAAATCACCTATTTTATTTATATCATAGTGATGCATAAAAATATTTAGTACCACGTTTGTAGGTTTAGTTGCTTTTTAAAACAATAGTAAACAAAGCCATTAAATGTCATTACGTTTATTTAGAAACATTGAATCCAGCTTACATTAACATAATAAAATTAACATTATTACTGATGTATATTGTGCTATAATCGTTAGACAAGTGCTGTGTAATTTAAATTTCATAGAGCACAGGAAATCAGTAAGAGGGAAACCAATAAGTGCTGAGAAACTTAAATCCAGTATTAATTTCCTCTTGAGAATTCAAGGATTATCTTCAGACCAGATGATTTCTATTGGATCATCTAAAGTCACACCACTATCTCTCAGATCAATTGACAATATCTAAAAAGAAATTAAAATTATAGTTAATATTTTAATCGTAACAATTTTTGTTTTAATAATGATGACTTCCACTTAACTTTTCTCTAAGTAAACAGATATGTCATTTTTTTATTTTCATGAATTTTTATTATTATTTAATTCCAGAGCAAGTTACACTTTTGCAATAAGTCCACCCAACCTATCTATTTTACTGATGAGGAAAACAGATTACAGAAAGAAAAAGTGATCATCAAAGGCAAGAAAATCCAAGACCATAAGCAATTATGTATCTTGATATATATATATATATATATATTATATTAGGGTTTCCAGTACCTCTAAACTTGAAACTATTTATAACTTCACTATCAGAATCTATACTCCTTTCTTTAAATGATATTCAGTCATCCACACCCAAGGCTTTGGTTTACGTATGTTTTCTTTTATCTCTATAAGAAAGGGCATTAGCAGACTCACTGTATTGCCAATGATTTCAATTTTGTGTATGTTGCATTCTTTCACTGGACATAATCTCAATGAGACTACATATGAGATAATAATTTTAGTCAAATAAAGAGCTGTAATCTAAGAATCACCTACTTAAATAATACAGTGATTTAATGAAACTTCACTATTATTGGTGGTTTTTCTAATACACTTATATGATTATCTGTATCTTAGCTCAGAAAGTTTGGAATCAATCACCAAATATATGAGACAAGAAAAAGAATATCAATATTCTCCACAACTTCCCATGCAAACAGCACTCTCTTCAAGACTATTTTAAGTATATTCTTTACAAGACACAACAAATGTGGGTCAAATTAACATACTTCATAGTAAAATGTAAGAGATAAGTTAGTTTTCTAGATATCTGTTAGCCAAGTTTAAAAGTGATTCATTAAACACTAAAATCTAAGCTAGTTCTTTAAGCAAGAGATACACCACATCATTTTAAGTGGAGTTTTTCTTTTTAACTGGGCAGAACTTCTGGGGGGAAATTTTTATGCATATTATGTATATTTTCGTCTCTGAGAAAGGGTGTCTCTATACGGCACGTCCCGGCTTCTTTTATTTGTGTGTGTTTGTAGTACACAATGATCACATTCTTGCGGGAAGCTGGTGCATGTACATAACACTAGTTAATTTATTTTTATATCCTTCCTTTTCTCTCCCTTTCCTTTGCTCTTAGGATAGCAGTTCAGCCTTCCTTTGCAAAACAATTTTACACCTGTGCAGAAGGTTAACCCAGAAAGAAAGTAACCATCCTTTCTTTTTCCTATACAGAGATTTACAAAGCTTTAGAAAAGAGTGTTTATAATTAATTACTTAATTTAAATTTACTTAAAGAAACTACCTGTACTTGTTGGTTTTAAAATGAATACTTTTTTAAGTCTTTAAGGTAATGTTACAGTTTCAAAAAAATTCTCCTTAATATTTAAAATTTTGTGTGTATATATCTTGAAGCAGTAGAATATATTTTTCCATGGTCTGTTTTCTGCCACTTAAAATGAGCTTGAACTGACACTGACATCTTAAAATATCTTATGTGATGGTATTTGTTTTATATTAAGCACTTAATTTTATGGTAAAAGTAATGCGCTTTGTTTTTATAATAATACAATTCAAAGAAATATATAAGATGAACCAATCCTTTTGATCTGATTGGAAAAAGAATAGCATGGACAAATTCCCTTCTAAAGTGGCTAAGGACCATGGACTGTTTAACCTCGAAAATCAATGTTTGTTCTCAGGATCTCAGTTTCTTGATCCACCATGGAAGATCTTGGAGAGAAATCAGTGATTCTCTGACCTTCTAATTTTATAAACCATAAACATATTGAAAAGAAGAAAAAGTATATAAGATCCCAAGTTCTCAACTTTCATTTTACGAAGAAAGAATGCTAAGTAGTAAAGTGCATTTTCCCATTATGACATAATTTAAAGAAGTAAAGGTTATCTTAATGTCAGAGTAGTATGAAAGCCTTAATTCCGTATTGAAGGGAAATTCAACTGTTCTACAGAGCAATGAAAATCGCAGCACGGTAAGTGTTAAATTTCGAGAATAAACCACTTCTCAGGTGCCCTTTAACATGCTCTGAAATCGACACGGTCTTAAGATTCCAAGATAGAGCATTATTTTAAACGTTGAGGTCTGTCAAACAAATTGCTATGCTGTAAGTTATGTCCCTCCATAAATAGCTAGTTTTTTTTTTATTCAAATTTAAACACAATGGAGTCTATCTTCACACACTCATGCAGTTTAGAAGTGCAAATATGGTCTCAAACTTGGCAAAAACATTTATAGCAGCTGTTTCTAAAATATATGTTTGAAATCCATCTTTACAAGACCTGCATTCATAAAATTTAAGAATAGCACTACATTAAGACATTGTTTAATTGCATCATTTTATTCAGTTGGAAAGAAAAAGAAGTCTTAAAAGTGCCTGTTCAAATAAAATCTAACTACTGTGAATTAATTTAAATAAAAATAAATATTATCTATAGCAAATTTTAATAGTTAAAGCCTTACTATAATACAAGAATTGTAACTCTTCAATATTTGTATCATTTCTTAACACACTTGTGTTTTTTGGTGCTTACAAGAAGTTGTATTAATTTTGAAAAAAAATATTCGAATATATTTTACCTAAGACATACAAGGTGGTGAGTCGATCCCCGGTACCACACACACACACACACACACACACACACACACTGTGTGTGTGTGTGTGTGTGTGTGTGTGCTTTTCAAAAAAAAGCATTTCAGGTACTTTATCATCTATGAATTATAGCACTTCAACAGTTTAATGTAATTTAATACTGCTTTTCTTATGTTGAGACTGACACACAAATTGCTGAGAAAAGTAATATCAAAATAACCATGGATATTTAGGGATAATGTGTACAGATGATGAGAAAAATTATAATTAACTCACAATTAGGCTTCTGAAGACCTGAGAAGTGTAAAACATTCACATAGGTATTTTGAATAGCTCCATTATTATACAACATTTCCTTGTTTCACTTACTTTGTCATTGTTGGCGAACTTCGGCGTCACTGTGTTCTCATTGTAAGTCAGGCTAACTGAGGTGGCCGGTCCTCCCATCCCCCACACATCTACGTATCCCAGTCTCGTTTCTGTTTTATTTATGTAGCCACTTTTCAATACAGTGCTTGTCAATGTGGTCTACAAAGGAAAATATAAATTTAAACTATTCAACAACAAAAGCAACTAATTGTTTATAATCTTACATATGTGGATATATATATATATATCCATTACATATGTATAAATATACATAAAATATATTTTATAGCACAGTAAATAATGTATTTATATACTTTAGTGGATCATTTCATATAATAAACATGTAATAAAGTTACAGATTTTTAATACAATGTCATATAAGTGATCTTACATACCTGGTTTAAATTAAATTGTACCAACAAATATAGGTTTCTTTCATAGGTGTCTGTAGAAAAAAAAAGTGACATATTTTCATTTTTAAAATAATAATAGAGTAGTACATTTAATTTTTTTAGGTAAAATGTTACAAATTTTATTCATGAATTTATAATTAAAATCAAATTGATAAAATATAGTTTGTCTACGTCTTTATCTAAAGACTACTGCTATAAAAATCTTACTCCTAACATATTAAATACTTATTACTTACTAATATGCATTTAATAAATACTTATTTCTCAAATATGAATATTCCATGACAATTACTCTAGAGTATTGTACTATTATTCCTGTTGTCCAGAAGAAGAAAGTCAGTTCTAAGATAATTAAACTTTCAAAAGTGAAATAACTAATGATTTTGAAAGTGTGCAATTAAGCACAATTTTTCTTCAGTTCTAAGACTGTAATTGTGTAAAAAACAAAAACAAGCATTGAATCAATGGGAAAATGAAAGTCAAATGCATGACTGAAATGAATATTAGAGCAACATGAGAAAAGCAATATGTTTTAACGCTCTCCTTCACTTATGCATGTGAGCACTGTATTCTTTAATTCACTAAAATTAATTTGTACCTTGTATCCCCCTGTACTAAAATTGAGATTCTGTCATATTTCTCTCTATATTTATGAACATATGCATAGTTAATTTAATACATACTATGAAATACATTACTGTTAACATGACTTAAGTATTTTAATTTTAACATTTAAATACACAACTTCAGCTTAAATTTTTAACACCAATTTTTAAGCATAGAATTAGGTTTAAAATGTAATGATGGCTGGTGGTAGGAGGATATCATCAGTTTTTGTTAAGCAAGAGGAAAACAAAAATCTCAAGTAACAACAGTGAGTTCTTTACCTCAGAGTCACAAAATGTTAGGAAGAGAATTACCCCATCTTTTGTTTGCTCTCTAGCATATGATACTAACCTATCAATTTCCTAATATTTTTATTAATCTTATTTCTTATGGTTGCAAATTATTAACTTGCATGAAGAGACATTCACATTTTTTGTGAATAGTTTATGTTACAGGAAACTATCACATGACAGGTTCAGTTAATTCTTATTATTAAGGTTGGCTTCATGTTTGGATTTCCCATGGGGTGCAGCTGACACTACTAGTCTTCTCTTTTTCTTTTTCTTTTTTCCTACTCCTAATGACTCTTTAATCCCAAGCAGAATCCTGGTTTTCTTCTGAAACCAAAGGAATTCATGTGGGCTCCGGAATACACATCTAAACAAACTGACCATAGTGTGTCCAGTGCCAATAGACAGCAAAACACTTACAGCTAGAGGCTAGAAGCTGTTCAGTCCAATATTAAGAAACAGTCATATGGATGGCATAAATGTAGATATAAATTTAAAAATGTCTTAACATTTTAAAAAAGTGCTGAATATTTGAAACATAAGCAAACATATAAGCAAGCAAGAACCACAAAGCCAAAATATACTTAAATTTGTTTTTCGGCCTCTCTTCTTTGGATGCATGCTTGGGCATCAGTGTGGGCACAGAATGCAGCAGTCTGGCTAGACGATTCATAGGAACCAACTGTCTTGTTTATGTGAACAGCACCCTGTTAGCTTTTACTGCAGGTAATTCTAGCTCATGTAAATTTCTTAACTATTCAGACATTTATATCAGGGTAAGAAAGGTAAGAGGGTAATCTTTAAATATTTGGGACATTGTTTATTTAAATTCGTTCATTTAAATAGTAAGCTCTGTTAGAAACTTTGAAAAATATTGATAGCTTAGTACTCAACTTCTTAAATATAATAATGTGTAAAATAAAAGTAAAGTGCAAAAATATGTCTACCATCAATTATGTTTTTCTACGAAATGAAACACTTACCTATAGTGTCTCCATCATCCCAGAACAAAGATCCCTGTGCCATCTGATTATCATCTGGAGCAACAATGAGCTTCATATAATTTGTTCGACTATAAGAAACACATATTTTTATCTGTCTTTGTAGAATATTACATTTTATGTGATATGATGCTAATATATGTATCCAAATCAACATAAATACGAATAACATTTGTAGAATATAATTCAATTTAGACAGGGAAATTAAGAATTCTTTGTTTGATAAAGTAAGGAATGATATATCATATAAATTATATAATATGTCATGTTAAGTGCAAAAATATCACTTATTTCTTTTGATCTTATGAATTTATCTACTATAACTGACAGAAATGGCCTCATAGTAATTAAAACCATATTAACGTAATTGATATTGTTCCTGGAAAGTTAGTTCCTGAGCATTAAACTTTACTCCCTTAGTAACATTTTAATCACTTTTGACTCGTCTTCATCATAATTCTATACACAAATCACTAAATTATCATTGGAAATTACAGAAAACCAAAGTATAGCTGGCAGATTCTAAGTTCTATTTATTTAATGAACAATATCTCCAAGCTGATGCCTATGTAGACTTTTATGTGAATTAAATACTTGTCCCACGCTAGTTCTATAGTAATGTGTAAGAAGTAATTTAGTTTGACAACTTCATTGTTAAAGAAGGGTTTCTCAGACAAATTATTTTTAGCTCTCTATCTCTTCCAGTCACAAATATTGAAGGACGTACTACCAAGGAAATCTCTAGATATCCAGAATCTTAAAGCTCTACCTTCTCTGAAATGTATATACATATAATATATATTATATATAATATATATATATAAAATATAATATTATATTATATATCGTTATTGTATTATATATTAGTTAATACAATATATATCAGTTAAGAGTCACAGGGTAAAAAGTAACAATTTAGCTAGACAAAAACTTTGATTTGCCTATAATTCCCTAACAATGTATTAAAATTTGAGATTAAGAAGATTCTCATGACCTGCATTCTACCGTGTGTGTACAACTGTGCCCTGTGCTCCATATACTACCCCCCAACATACACACACACACACACACACACATATATATAGGATAAAGACAGAAAGTGACTGAAAATATCTTTAATAATGAAATAAGATTCTTTATGGCACAAATTATGGTATCTTTCTGAATCTCACCAATCAGGTGCAATCATTTTTCTCCCTTTTAATTGATATCAACATAAAATTTTGATGTAAATAAAGCTTGATAATTCCAGGAGACGAGAAAACGCCACTCATGCCAAATACATACCAGATGTTGGTATGTAAGAAAATAGTTATAACATATAAAATCAAAAAGAAACAGGGACTAAGTCCTCTAGAATGAGATTCTCTAAACCAGGAATGTAGGCAATGGAAATAAAGATTCTGTTAGTAGTGTAACAGACTCAACATTCCATCAGTCACATTATAAAAACGGGCCCATAGTCCCTGGAAGAATTAGTGAAGAGAGATACAGAATACCAGGTGATACTCAGGGGAAAAAAAAGAATCCTGGCCAGATGATCAGTAATGAATGGTGACAGATTTAACAGTTTTGTGGTAAAAGTCATGAAAAGACAGTTCTGTTTCTTTTGGAGACAGCAGGAAAATTTGTTTGAAGGTAAAGTAGAGTAATCGTAAGTGGGTATCTACATTTACATCCACTATAGTAAGTAAGGAAAAGTACCGTGGGATGACAGAGAGGCAAAGAGAGGGACAGCAAAGAGATGCAAACAAAAGAGAAGTGATACAAATGACACTGCCACACAGTACTGACTTCAAGGTTATAAGGAAGCAAATAAAATAGAATACAGAAATGAGGTCTAGAATGAAGAAATGTCATGGAGAAAAGTTAAATATATTATTAGATAAAAGAATCCAATCTGAATAGCCTATACACTGCTTCCAGCAATATGACCGTGTGAAAAAACCAAAACTATAGAGACAGTTAAAATATTAGAGTCTGTGTTGGATCAGAGAAGGATAAATTTGTAAAACACAAAAGTTTTTCAGGGAAGTGATAGCAATAGTGATGGCATACTATAAAGATTTATCCAGGTGCTTACACATTTGTTTAAACCAACAGAATGTAAAGAATGAAGATTGACTCTTAGTGTAAAGTGTGGACATTGGGTAGTAATGCATGTCTCTGTAGGTCCACCAGTTATTGCAAATGTACCATTCTGGCTGAAGATGTTGACAACAGAGAAAGCAATGGACATAGGGGTTCTTAGAAAATCTCCAGATTTTCCTTTCAATTTTTTTGAAACCCAAAGCTGTTCTTTAAAAAGCTCTTATTAAAAAAACATGGTTCAAGAAGTAGACAATACTTCTTTCCACATATTAATGGTGAAAAAATGACCTAGGTAAGGCATCCATTCAAAAGACTGTCAATACTTTTGCATATTATGTACAAAGGATATTAAATTTTAGCCTTTGTTTTGGACTGAGAAGTTTTCTTACATTAAAAAAGGAATTCGCACTGGGGAACAATTTCTCATGTATCTTTTGTATCTGTATATTGACTGACAGCTTTTTGTCTGAATTATCTTTTTATGGTTTTTAAAAAGTAAACAGAATTAGCAAGGGTAAAATTTTTTCTACTCTATCATTTATCATCCTTTGTAACAAAGACAGTGTCTCTCTTCCAAGCAAATGATGGGTAGATTTGCTTTCCACCCATTATTAAATATCTAATTCTTCTAAACTAAGAGTTGTTCATCTGAGGCATAAATCTGGTAAATGGGCAGAATCCGCCTGGGCTGCTTCCCTCACTCCACAGGACTTGAGAAACAGAGAAAACTGAAGTTCATGGAGTCTCTGTTCCTCCTTATGATACAGGCATTAATAACATAGTCCTTCAGCTCTGACTCAGTATCGGTGATACCATCACAGACCAGTTTAAAAGCTTGCGAGTCAGGTAAAAAATTTCAGGTCCTTTCTAATTATTGACATACCTAGTACTATTTATTGGAAAATTTAATCAGAATCCTGAAGATAATTAACTTACCTATAAAATGTGGTTCGATTAGGCTCTTGACACGGTAGGATATAACCTCCACGGATATGTAGGTTTATGGTATCATATGGAGCTGAAAATTCATGAGTCGTTCCTCTGACACCTATGTCTTGGCCCTGGAATGAGAGAGATGGAGAGAAGAAAAAGAGGAGAAAGAGTTGTGATCTACACAATATAGCCACTTACAGGGACATATTTTGAACTCGAATGCTATATTTTTCAATCTAATAGACAACACGAACAAAATATTTATTCAAGAACTCATGTTGTTCAATCTTAGTGAAATAAAAGTCCTTACAATAGCTCTGCAAGTAATTTAGAGCTATTTGTTTTTGTGGTGCTCTCCTGCAGAATTGTGTGGATTTTGAAAGGTCACAAAAGCAGTCCTTGTGCATTATTCTTGGAAGGACTACATTACTTTTAATGATCATTTTGCTAAACCAATGAAGGGCAATAAGTTTTTTAAATATAATGTACACTTTCCATTTCTATTTACTAAAAACAAATCAATGATGAGACAGCAAACTACAAGAAAGTAAATAAACTATGTTTCACTGTGTGTTCATTTCATTTTGCTATAACAAGCAAGAGATATTTTATTCATTTTAAATGGAAAAAAAACAGATGCATCATTGATTACAACAATGAATAACCAAACTCATCACTTTTTGTCTTTAGTCAATGTCCCAGAATTCCTTAAATACTTACTGTATGGTAGTCAAACCACCGAGCATTAGGGACATAACCACGAACAGATTGCACATACTGGAATTTAAAGACACAATCATTAAAAATATGTAAACTCAAATGTTATTTTATGAAGAAAATAAGTAGCAAAACTTACAGGTTCTAGTACAGGAGTAACCAAAAAGGCTGGACCCCACAAGAACTGCTTGTATATATCCCAAGTTGCCTTTTCATTGAAAAACCTTGACAAAATAAACACAAATAATAAATCAAAGAGCTTTCTTCTTCCTAAACACTACAAAATGTTTATTCAAATCACGTTTTGAAGTGTGGACTTTTGGAGTTTCAAATAACAACCAAATATTAAAAATATTAAAAACAATTTTATCACTTAGAATTAAATATAGATTAATACAATCTGAGTAAATCAAAGCTAAGACTAAACACAGTAACACAATGTAGAAGAGAGCGGTGGAATGTAAGACCAACTGAACCACCTTGCACACTCATTCATGGAGGCAGGTGCACACATAAGCTTGGCCTAGAATATGATAAAAAAATTAAGAAGCAAAATCTATAAACCCTGTGGAAGAGAACTCTAGAACTTGATCTATAAAGGATGTTACTTTGATAACTTTAACAAAAAATTCACTTATCCTACTTAAGTTAGAGCTCTTTAGTACAGCTTTTTAAGTCTATAGATAAATAATTTATTACTAGATTTCTGAATTTGAGATACAAATGGCCATGAAAAGCAAAATCTTTTTATACTTTAAGAGTAATCAATATTAAATGCTCTATTTTTTTCCTTTACAGTGAGTGAATTTTTAAAAAAAACTATATGATGCAGTTTGTTTTATTTTATATTTATATCTGAGACTAGTACTAAAACCAACTACAAAGTTTACTGTTCCATGAAGTTTTACTGAAACCAAGACATAGGCATTCTTATAGGATAAAATCTGCATATTAGTAATAATGTTTCTGCTTGGTGACTCAGTCCAGGCTTGATAGTTCAACAATTCTGGGACATTAATAGTGATAAGGAAAATGAAGATTAATCTGAACATGAAAAAGTAAGGAAATCAGTTGAGTGTTATCAGAACAATAGAATGGATTAGGCAACTGAAATATGTTTTAAATCAAAGTAGAGATTTTAACTAGATATTTTATTACATTATGAAAATAGAAAATGCAAGATCAGTTTAACGTTTTGATAAATTTATTTGTATACTATTACTTTAATTCGAGTAAATAGTTGCTGATCTTATTGGCTTATCAATAATAAAATTTGAAAAAAATCACCTCATTTAATTACTCTTGTAATATAGGGTTCATAAGAAGCAAAATGTTTTTGATTATTTAGAAGAGATTTTATCATTGTCACTGCAATCCTGATTTTTATGAAATTTGACTAAGAATCTGCGTCAGCTTTAAAAATAGAAAAAGCAAAAATATTTGCAATTGATGCTCCTTGAAGTAGAATTTTCAAAAGTTTTTCATACCACTTTGAGATATAAGTGATGTGTTTCAAAGAAATTTCTAAAGAAAATGTTTGAACTGGTCAGAGTGTCCTATTGACATCTCCAGGAAAGGCAAGCTTGTCTTCTTCAGTAAGGCATCTATATTTGATAGATTTATTTAATGACACTAAAATCTCAGCTAAATACAAGAGACAATATCAATTCTGCATGTCTTTTTTTTTTAATTTCAATGTAAATTCAATGTAATTTCAATGTATATAGTACCTAATACCCAGTGGTTACATTAAAGACTTATTACTTTCAAATAACTAAACAATAGGCTTCATTTGTTGATGGCTGATATTAAACTATTAACTAGTAGAAACATTTATGTAAGCACTTTTTTCACCCAAATGTATATTAAAATATTTATGAACATATTGCAATATAGGACATTATTAAATTAAATGAAATTTATTTATTTGTGGTAATAAAAAAACATATGGCCACTTACTCATGCAAAAGAGGTCGGATAACAGTACCACCATAAGCATGAATTTCATGCATTTGAGTGTAGAAATAGGGTAACAATGTGTATCTAATCTCTGTAACTTTCTTTGCCATTTCAGCAAAAGTTTCATTCCAGGAAGCAGGATCTTGTCTCTAAACAAAGCATAGTGAAACAAATTGCCTCATTTGAAATCATAATATTCAAATATTTACCCAGAGTATAAAAAAGAGAAAATATTAATTCACTAGGAAAAAAATCTATTGTTTGTATTATATATGTATTACAAAGTGAGAAGGTGCAATACTGTATTGATACTTTAATAAGAAAACTACAAATGAAGCACATGAAGTTATTTGGCATAGGTGAACATATACAAAAAGTAGCTCATATCTTAATATGTAACAAATCTACGGTCAAGTAAGGTGCTATTCAATGTTGTTAAGAGATTGATGGGAGAAACGATATGATAAGCTACACAAAGGTGGGTTAAAATAATGAAGCACATCAGACTATATCATGTCAACGCACACATTTTGTGTTCTCTTGAGTAGTGTAGCAATTATAGTACTAAATTTTCTGCAGTACACAAGGTTATACCATAGTGCACCATGTTAAATGATAGAAGATACAGCGTAGTCTGCTCTGGAAAACATACTCCAGACCAAAGCCTACCTTTGATATTAGAGGATTAGAGACTATGAAAATGACAGCAAATATATTAGTTAAAAATTGTGGAGAAAGTGAGTAGTATTTTATATTTTAATTTGTACCAAAGGCTACCTCCTAACTCCAAGAAGAAATGTTTCCAATACTTTTTATTTACACGAAGAGATCATTTTATACCTGTGTCTATTTATAAAGATCATAACTATTTTAGATTTTGAGAATAAGAAATTTAGAATGATGAGCAGGGCGTGATGGCTCATGCCTGTAATCCCAGCACTTGGGAGGCTGAGACAGGAGGACCGTTGCGAGTTCGAGACAAGCCTGGGCTACAAAGTGAGCTCAAGGCCAGCCTGAACTGCACAGCAAGTCTCTGTCTCAAAAAGACCAAAAAAAAAAAAAAAAAAAAAAAAAAAGAAATTTAGAATAATGGCTGAGTACCACCATTAGTATATGTAATGTTAAGAAACAGCAAAATTTTTTGAGATAGTAAAGAAAATTTCCTGTTGTCAAGCTATGTATGACTCTACTGCTATTATTTTCAAAATCAAGTATAAAGGAAAGAAGCAAGGGTCATATTTGCTATTTATCAATACTATTAAAAGTATTTCACATATCTGTTATGTTAACATGAAAGAATTTCACTTCAAACAAAACATTCCTAGGTTCAATTATTTTTTATATTTAAACAAATTGATCTCTCTGTTTTTCTTTCTCTCTCTCTCTCCCTCTCTCCCTCTTTGTGTACCAGGAAATAAATTTTGGACTACATGCTTGCCAGGAAGGTGCTCTGCCACTGAGCTAAATCCCCTGCCTTCAGCTCTCTCTTGTATAGATTTTTATTTAAAAATGCTTTTAGGTCTTTCCATACTCCATTTTGTCCATCTTCAAAAGCTCTAACAACATAATTACCTCAGGGAATTTCCAATATTCCCAAAATATGAAAATCTCCTTCTCCACATGTTTGTATTGATGATTCTCTCCCACTTGAAACTCTATTTAAATGTCTCTCATTCAAGATCTTTTTGAACCCACACTGAAAAGCCAATAATCCATACAATTCTTTACTACTTTATTTCACACATATTTAAAAGTGTTACATATGTGTGTATACATATAATATATATAATTGTCTTTTATCTCTAAATCTCCCTACAATCCATGAATCATTGTAAGGAAAACTTCACAATTTTTGTTGATAGACTTTCAACTAATGTGAATTAATCTCTTTTCAGACTTTGTATTGGTTCATTCCTTATTATCTCAGTACTATACTTTAAAAACTGCATTGAATCAATTTCCTACTAAAATATTCCTATTTCACCAACTCATGTCTCTACTGTTTAATTTTCAGATTCTTCGTGCACGTAGTTGCATACTACTTTACGTACTTGTGCTTGCATGTTCTGCAAAATCAATCTTTCCTTTTATTTCAACTAAATTTTTCCATGCGTGCTGCTAAGTTTTGGGAGTACTTCATGAGCTCTGTTATGGCCACATTTTGTCCTTCCAATATTTGCTGTCTCCAATCCTCTCTTCACATGAATTTTGTTACTATATCTGTATGTTGCACTCTTTCACTCAAGGCCAATGTCAAAACTTCAGCACTTAGATATTTCTTCTAACCGTTCATAATTTTCTACAAATTTTAGAACAATTTCCCATATCATTCAAAAATTTCTGAAAAATTCTTTATGCTACCTACAGAAACTGGTTAAGTCCTTTCATTTTATTGTTTCTCAGTTTCTCAAATCATTGTTTTCATTTTTTCCCTCTAACGCTTACCAATTTTGCTATAAACGACCTTTGCTTCCAAGTATTTAGTTTGAAGCTAATTTCTTTATTGTTCTGTTCCAGTTTAAAAGAAGTTTCAAAGGCAGAAAATTTCTTTCCTGTCTGCTCTAGCATTACATAAAATGGCTACATAACATTTGCCAACTAATCAACTATGTGCTTCAAAATGTGATTTTATATATTTTACATTAGAAAATCCTCAAAATAATGACTAAGACATCCTTCATAATATGAAGAGACTTAAAACATTTTTCTGAAAATCAGCTAGGTCTGATGCAGAATATACAAAAACTTCTAATGTCATTGAGGTACAGGATTAGAAGCTAATTCAGTAATTACATACTCTAGTAAAGGCAATGTTGTGATTTCTTGAGTATGGATAAAATGCACCAAGTTGTGTCCAGCGAGCACAGAGGTGATACTCTGAATCATTGAAGAAACCACAGATGTCTGCTCCAGTCTAAAAGAAAATATTATTATATTTAATTAAATTTTCATAATGTGTTCCTTAATATTTATAACTTACTGAAGATGAAGAAATCTACTTACATAAGACATTCCGAAGAGACTAAATTCCATCATACCTAAAATAATTAGGGGAAAATATTACAAAACTTCATAAATTTTAGTATTTTAACTTCTATTAGCAAAGATATTCTAATATCACCTATGGTCCAACAAAACAGCTTTAAGATTATTAATATAGGCAGATTGCAGAGAGTACCCGAGCTGGACAGGCTGTTTTCTATGACCCCTACAAGCTATAGCCTGTATAGGAAAGACCCTTGGAAACCCTCAAGCTGCACAATGAGTGAAGCCTATGAAAACGAAGAAAAAGTTGATTAGAAGACTGTTGAAATTCTCCATCAAAAATATGGTGGATAGATAACAGCAGCTATAGAGGCTCTCTGAAATAGCCAGTTTAGATTCCAGGAAGGCACGGTGTGGGGAATTCTAAGCAGGGGGAAATACACCCTGGTGACCCAGGAATGAACTAAGCTGAGAGAAACCAAGTGGAAATGCAATCCTGGTGCTACGACTAGAACAGCTAAAGTCTCAGTGCCAAAGGTGGAACCCATACCTCTGGAAACCATGGCTTGAATTTCCTGTCACCGCTGTTGTATCTGAATCAGCCCAGCAGGGATAGAGACATGAAAGCTCTGAGAGCAGGAATTGGCGAACCAAATTGAGAGCAGAGCTGGCAGGGAGCCCTGCATCGACCTGCGGTGAGTGAGAGGAACAGGGGCCCTTCCCATAGACTAGGAGGCTCCAACAGAGGACATTCAGGGACCAGGCAGACTAGCTGGAACAGGACGCTGCAGTGATTTCAGTCACATATTCCACTCTCAAGCGGGATTGGTAGGGAGCGTTTAACCTGGGTGACAGTGCGAACTAAGACCCAGTAGGCTAGCTCAAACCAGGTCCCTGCACCTGGCAGTGCAACCTAATGCAGAAAAGCCTTCAGAAGTTTGACTGACCTGGAGGGACGGGCCCAGCCTAGGCTGCTTAAGTCTGTGTCTCCCTAGTACACTGCAGTGGGTGGGAACACCTAGCCAGCGTGATTCAAACAAACTGCAACCGATAAAGAAAGAAACTGGGCCTCCTATATATGCTTGTATGGAGGGAACAAAAAGTATGGGAAGAGATAGCAACAAGAAAGGGTCTTCAATTTCCCAATCCTGAGAACACTGATCCAGGAAAAAGGTAAATACAAAGGAGAATGAGGACAGAAAATATGCAATATCAGGCACAGCACCAATAGACATGAAACGATATCTCCAGGACCTCATAGACAATTTCAAAAGTGAAGTATTTAACTAAGTAAAGGAAGATATAAATAGAATAGTTAAAGAAATGCAAAGCATCTCCCAAAGCAAAAACAGATGGTGAAATGGAAGAACACACAAAGAAGGGGGAGAAGTGTTTGATGGAGAAAATAGAGAAAACATAGAATACATGAAGCAGGTTCAAAGAGATTACCAGGAAACTAAAAACTCTATTGAAAGCTAGCATAGCAGCTTGAAAGAAACTAAGGATAGATTATCTGAACTGGAGGAAAGATTTGTAATGTGGGAGCATGAAAGGAAAAACTTCCTAAAAATAACAAGGAAACAAGCAGTAACAATACAAAGGCTATAAGATGATAAGAGGATCTATAACTTAAGAATTAAGAATGTAAAGGAAGAAGCAGGGATACAAACAAATGAACTGCAAAGGCTATTTAGAGAAATAATCAAGGAGAACTTCCCTAATATGGTAAAAGGTAAAGATACTTGGATCTATGAGGCATACAGGACCCCAACCACCTACATCCCAAACTGAACTAGACCCAGACATTTAATAATCAAAATTCCAGAAATCCAATATAAGAACAGAATATTAAAAGCTGTCAAAGATAAGAAACAGATCACTTACAAGGGAACACCCATCAGAATTACAGCAGACTTCTCAGCACAAACCATCAAATCACAAACAGTGTGGGGTGAAATTATTCAAGCTTTGATAAACAATAACCTCCAGCCAAGATTGATATATCCTGCACAACAGTCCCTAAAATTTAATGGAGAAAAAGGTGCTTCCAGGATAAAGAGGAAATAGGGGAATTTGCAACCACCAATTCAACTCTACAGAGAATACTGCAGGACATTCTAAAAGAGAAAAAAGCCAAGATTCCAGAAACAATGGCAGAGAGGCCATAATGAAAGGAGCAGAAAGCAAAATGACAAAGACAAACTGACAACTAATGACAGAAAAAGAGCTCAGCAGAAATGAGGCAGAGAAGGTTGGATGGTATGAACAGCTATTTTGGAGAAAACAAGACATCATAATAGCTAGTGCTGATTTAATATCTTGTTTTGAAGTCCCATCAAGCTTTTGTTCTTCTGTCTCCTTCGGTCTTAACAGGTTGTATCTTATTGGATTTCATTATATGTAATAATATAAACAAAAACTGTTATAGACTGATAATATAGAAACTATTGTTCATTTTCTGTTAGTTGGTTCTAAATACCCTGTAATACTGTCATTCTCTTGAATGGTTTTACATTGTCGATATGTTTGATGCTACAGTATACAAAGTTATACTCAAAGATTTCAAGGAAACAGACATTATGATAACTACTTTTATGTGGGGATATCTTGTGGTAAAACACTATTTTGCTTAAATGGTTATGTTCTGACCTGTGGTGTTTTGTTGTTATGCCCTCTTTTTTATCTCAATTTTTTTTATTTTTATCTTTTTAATTAAGGGAAAACATAAATAAAAAATAGCAGGATACTCAGTTTGATTTCCTATTAACTTGATTTGAAATGCTGTATTGCTCTCACCATCTTGTTTTGACTAATTTTACTCTATTCTGTTTTGCTTGATAATGCCAAATTTGAGCGTATAGGCAACAACTTTGAAGACAATAAGATTCACTATGTTGCCCATTCTGGTTTGACTATTATCTTCTTTTGAAGTCCTGTAATGTCTCCAATGTTTTGGTTTTATTGGTTTTGTTCTTTACTGTTTTGTTCAATTTTATTATAACTGATGATACAGGCAATTCTTTTTAAGATAGCAAGAGGCATTATGGTAACCATTGTTGATCACCTTGTATTCTGTTTTTACATTACGTACTATGTCCAACCTTTTGATTTGACTGAGTCTGTTTTGTTATGTCACATTTGGTTTTATTCTCTTCAAAAAAAAAAAAAAGTAATAACAACTGTGGGAGTAATAAAACCCAAAATATGTAATTGTCACTGTAAAAAAGAGAGGGAAAGAAAGTGCTCTAAAGGATATAACTGCATGTATATTGAAACGTATAAGATAGATAACCATATTACTGAGTTTTTGTTGTATCGTTGAACAGAACTGTTTGCAGTCTCACTGTTTGAATGTCCACTTTGTATGCTTTAATTCTTTAATTTGAACAACTATTTCTAAGATGACAATATGCAATCTATTAACTAGAGATTTCCTACTGTTTATTTTTTTGAATTTGTGTATTACTTGTACCCTTTTTCTATTTTTTTCTTTTTCTTCTTAAATAAAATTTTTTAAAAAAGATTATTGATATAGTATATCAAGGAATCACCTCTCATAATATTTATACTTTTTAATTCATAGTTTATATGCTATTTATAAAAAATCCAACAGCTCTATTAACACTAACAATGTGAAATATTTATTACACATCTATTTTGAACATCTTATAGTGAGAAGATAAAATGATAGCAATTTATTAATTTCATTTTTGAAAACAGAGGCCACTTCTGTAATTATTTAGCCCTAGCTATTACTATTTAAGCAAACTGAATTATACTTCTTAAATAAAATCCTCTAGTAAATAATCAGTTCAATCAAATAGAATGAATGATATTGTCCAGTTCTTTTTTTAAAAGAATATTTATAAATATTGCTTCCTATGATTCTATTATTTGTGAAGAATTTCAAAGACTAGACAGCAAATAGAAAAGCATTTTTTTGAGTTTAAAATAATATCTTTATTATTTACTATGTACGTTGTTAGAAAATTCAAAATGTATTTGGAAATGTTTCCTCCTTAACTTCTAATGAGAATTTTTTTTTCCCTTAAGCTAGAATTTCTATCTATTTTCTTTCATCCCTTTAGTTGTTGTCTTTCCCAGCTCCTGCCTTTTTCAGTCAGAAAACTTAGGGAAGGAAGATGAAACCGTTCCCTTAAAATAACTGGTAGTTAGATTCTACACATTACTTCTGATCCTGCTTCCAATGCTACTCACTTGTTTTCACAAGGTTCAGGGTTATAAAATATCGTGTCAAAGCAAGATGTTTAAGATGCATGAAGTTTATAAATTAGCATCAGAAAATGTGAAAACTTAACAGAAAAAAAGATACAGATGATGATTCTCACATACCAATGATTGATTTTTCCATGTTATCCCAATTTGCATAGTTGTCTCCCAGCCAGTGTCCTGCCCAACGTCCAGCAGTGGGAAACGTGGAACGAGAGATGACAATTCCTCTTTTGCCAGTTGTCTTTTGCAGTGCACTAATAGAGATGAGGTAGCATTTTGAGTTTTGACATGAGGCATTTTCTTCAAGTACACACTTTTTGACAAGGGAATAATCAGCAAATAATTAATTAACAGTTTTTTCTGTTTAACATCTGTTGTTTTAGGAAAGTGATGCTGATTGATAGTTCCCCAATATTATGTTACATTAAGGATAATGAAGGGTAAACTTGAGTCATTTGTAGTAAAATGATAGATCCTGAGCCCATAACGCTGTGAAATGCATCAGACACAGAACAATAAATATTACATGATTTCTCTTATATGAGAAATAGTAAGAAACAGGCAAATAGGTTTTTGGGGATAGGAAAGGCCTCTATGAAGACAAGGAAGATGGAAATAGCTAGCTAGATAGATAGATAGACAGGCAGACAGACAGATAGAGAAGTGTAATTTATGAGTCACAAATACATACCAACAATAAAAAAAAATAAAATTAATGTTTATCCTAATAAAAAACACTATTGAAAATCTAATTGCTCACTCTTAAAAAGATTTAGGGTCTCCATTTTGGGGCCTAATTAACAAGTCTATGGCCATCAATGAAGTAATAATTTTTTATTTAATTCATTTGTTTGAAGTTGAACAAGTTAGGTGCTAGAATTAAATGAAACATATACTATTGAGGAAAATGAAATAAAATCCTGTGACCTAGGGACCTCTACTCCCTAATAAAGTGGCCACCAACCACATTTTATTTGATATTCAACTATCTCTTAAAATTAAATACATTTTAAAATTCCAACTCATGCCGGCCACCTCTCAACAACTATGTGGGATTCTTGGGCATCACAACAGAGGTACAAAGTTATAGAACATCTGTATCACTTCGGGACATTTTATTGAACAGAGCTAATAAATACTTGATTCTTAAAGAACAGTCTGTCCATTACTATTAATCTTACAAAGTAATCTGTTTAACGTGCAGATGAGGTGAAATTAAAATTGGAAGTTCAAGAGCAATCAGACTTACTCTAGTTTGCCAGTAATAGATTTAAATAGCAAAATAAGCTATGCTTTAATATCTTGATTAGTGACATCAAATGATGATATTTGTACATTTTATTTGGCTCTATTCTGTGAGAACCTACGATTTGTTAGGCACTGTACTAAGAATATGGTGGGAAACAAAGTAAATATGGTTTGAATTCTTTTTTAAATTAAGATGAAAATTAAAAACAATAAAGCCCAGATGATAGATAGATAAATATAAACATTTTGTCTAATGGAAGTGTAGGTATAGATGGCGTATACAGGATAATGGGGATCAAAAAGGTTATGAAGACACTTAGGACACTTAGGTAAGTAGTATTAGTATTAAGATCTTAAAGACTAAAACAAGTGAGAGAATAAATACAAACATATCTTACTCATAAGTAGGTTTTGCTTGTGACCATCCATATAGATTATGAACATCATAATGTAAAACTGATGATCCATCACTAAGAATCTGTTCTGCTTCCATGCACAAAGTTCTGAAATGTAATCCTTCATATCTTTTTGTAAGTTCTACAGAAAATGCAAAGAAAAATAATATATTATAAGTGCCCTGCTTTGAAGTGTGTAGTTCATAAATACCTATCCTTTTAAATTTTTTCTTAGTATGTCTTTTTTTTTTTTTTTTTTTATCAGTACCGGAGATCGAACTCACGACCGCCTGCTTGTAAGGCAGGTGCTTATACCGCTGAGCTAAATCCCCAGCCCCCTTAGTATATCTTTTAACTGACACAAATATTTAGACATATTTGTAAGGTACAGTGTGATACTTTGTTTGATTCATGTATACACTAAGTACTAATCAACTCAAGTAGTTGGCATATCCATTAAGATTTTTTAATTTGTTTTAAGTATTTTGAGACATATAATCCATTGTTATCAGTTATATTCACCCTACTGTGCAAAAGAACATCAGAAATAATCACTTCATTCAAGGATAACCATTATATCCACTGATATATTCTTTCCACCAGGAAATTAATCACTTTTAAAATTAATCACTTCTTAAAATTTAAATATTTGTACACTTGTCTAATTATAAATAAGCAAACTAATCTCAATTCTAAGTGAAAAATCTACAAAACTGTTAGTGCATTATCTTTTAGTCTACTTTTTCTTCGTTCAAGTTGTTCTTTTCAAATCTTTGCTTTCACTTGGTAGGTTAGTAACCTAGGTCAGAGATAAGCAAAGAAGTGATAAAATCTTGCATGTAAAACAGATAAACATGTATTCAGATGATCATGTGCTTTTTATCCTTGACTCTGTTATTGCGGTGTATTATATTTTTTGATTTGCATATGTAGATCCACCCCTGAAATCCTGGGATGAATCTGACATGGTCATTATATATAATCTTTTTGATGATTGGCTTTTTTGCGAGTACCTTATTGAAAAGTTTTGCATCTGTGTTCATTAAGGAGATTGATTTATAGCTCTCTTGTTTTGGTTGAGTCCTTTTCTGGTTTTGGTAGTAACGTGAAACTTTGTTCCAGGAATAAGTTTGGGAGCACAGTTTCTCTTTCAATTTCATTTAAGAGTTTCAGGAGTAATGGCATTAGATATTCGCTAAAGTTCTTGTAGAATTCAACAATAAATCCATCAGGACCATTTCTCTGTTGGTAACGTTTTAATTCTTCAACTTTATTGACTTATATTGGGTTATTTAGAATTTTTATCTTCTTGATTCAGCTTTGGTAATTCATGTGTCTAGGAGTCTATCCATTTCTGAGCTTTCCATCTTTTTAGAGTATAGGTTTCTTAAGCAAGTATTGTTGATCTTCTGGATTTCAGTAAGATCCACTGTGAGTTCAAGTCAACCTTTTCCTTTCTAGTTGTATAGATTTGAATCTTTTTTGGTTTTTTTTTTAGAAGATGTTGGTTAACAGTTTGGTTTTTTTTGTTTAATTTTTCAAAGAATCAACTATTTGATTCATGGATTCTTTGTACTGTTTTCTTAGTCTTAATTGCATTAATTTTTGATCTAGTCTTTAAAATTTCCTTCCTTGTGAGCTCTTTGGAGTTGCCTTGCTCTTCTTTTTCTAGAAGCTTGAAGTTGAACATTAGGTTATTATTTGAGATTGCTCTGAGGTAGGAATTCTTCACTATAAAATTCTCTCACGGAAGTGCTTTCATAGCAGCCCATAAACTCCAATATGTTGCATTGGTATTATCATTCAATTGTAGAAATTGATTAATTTCTTTCTTTAATTTCATCTGTGACCCATTTGTTGTTCAAAAGGGTATTATTTAATTTCCATGTGTTTATGAAGTTCTTGTGGTTCCTTTTGCCATTGTTTCCAATTTCATTGCACTATGATCTGCTAATATATGCATGGTATAAGTTCAATTCCATTGCATTTGCTTAAGTACACTCTATGAGCTAGCACTGGGTCTATTTTGGAGAAAGTCTCATGTGCTGCTGAGAAGAATACATAGTCTACTGTTGTTGAGTGGGACACTCTATAGGTACCTACTAAGTCCATTTGTTCAGAGGTTCAGATTAACCCTGATATTTGTTGAATTTTGTGTAGTTGATCTTTGTGACAGTACGGTATTGAGGTTCCCCACTGTCTTAATGTTTACCTAATTTTTCATATGCATTAATGTTTATTTTATATATTTGTGTGCATTGGTATTATATATATATATATAATTGTTACTGCTTCTCTTGGATTGTTCTCTTAACAAGTAAGGGGTGGTCTTCTTTGTCTTTTCCAATTTATCTTGGCTTTAAATCTACTTTGCCTGCAAATAGAATAGCTACACCTGCCTTTTTCTGAGTTCCTGCTACATGGAGTATTGTTTTCTATCCTTTAATTTTCATTTTACAGATTCCTTCTTGAGTTAAATGTATTTCTTGTGTGGAGCATGTTATTGAATCATGTGTCTTGATCTATTCCTCAAATCTATTTCTTTTGATTGGAGAATTGAGACCATTCACATTGATGGCCATATCTGATATGCATTGATTTAACTTTGTCATATTATTTTCTTGTTGCCGGTTCCCTTTCTTTACCTTCTGTTTCACTGTCTGCCTTGTCTGATGGATCCATTCTATTGGGTTTATTGGAACTGGTATCTTCATTTTCTCTTTCTAGAACATCCTTCAGAATTTTTTGTAGTGCTTGTATGGTGGTCATGAATTTCTTGAGTTGTTCTTTGTTAGTGACATATTTTACTTCTCTTTAAATTTCAAAAGATAATTTGTCGGTGTCCAATGATCTGGGTTGCAGGTTGTTTTCTTTTAGAGATTGAAAGAAAGTTCTCCTTGACATAATGATTTGTGTTGAAAAGTCTGATGAGTTTTCTTTTGTAGGTGATTTGTTTCTTTCTCTCTAACAGCTTTCAAAGCTCTGTTCTTGTGTTCTATTTCTTGAATCTTGACAATTATGTGATGTGTTTTGGTAATATGTGTTTGTCTGTTTCTGATCATGACTGATAAAATTATTTTCCATGATTGGACAGTTTTCTATTACTACTATGAATAGGTATTTTTGGTGTTGTCTTTTGATTTTTCACTGATTCCAGGTAACCTGGTATTCTCTGCAACATCTCCTAGGTGTTGGGTTGATTTTTTTCAAGGTCCCTTACTATCATTAAGTAGTCTTCCATTTCATGATCACCAAAAACAGCCTTGTTTTCCAGAGGTGATGTTCTGTCTTCACACTGGTTCACTGTGCAGTGCATGCTTTCAGTGTCTGTTTCATGGCATTCAGTTCTTTCCTATTTAGGACCTTCATGGTTTCCCTATGTGCCTTTATTTCTTTTTATCTACATCTACTCTAGATTTCCTGATCATTTCCTTCAATGTGGTCACCACAGCTGTAGTTTTATGTGTGGTTAGGTCTGATTTGTTTTCATCTAGGTATTTATTTATTTCATTATTTCTGCTGTTACCCTTTCTGAAAATTCAGGTGGGAAGCTTTCAGGTCCTTCCATCTTAAATCCCGCTGGGCTTGCTTTAGGCAAATTGAGTGTTTTGGATTGCATCTTGCTTCTGTTTTTTCATTTGATACTTTTATTTTTGTTCATATGTTTTCTGCCTTTTTTAGTAAATGGTCCTTGGAAAACTAGCTTCCTACACACTGAAGAATAAACCAAGACCTGTATCTCTCATCACTCACTAAAGTATAATCATAATGGATCAAAGATCTAAATATTAAAACAGAAACACAATCTGATGTAGGATAAAAGAGATAAAACAGTTGAAGACATAAGTATCAGCAAAGACTGTATGACCAGTATGCAAGTCACACAACACATACTATAGAGAACCAGCAACTGGAATCTCATCATGTTAAAAAGCTTTTTACAGTAGAGGAAGCCACTAGTGGAGTGAAAAGACACCCAAAGTGTGGTAAATAACTTTTACTAGCTGTGAAACTGCAAAAATCAGACCCGGCCAAATTTAAAGACTCAATCCAAAAATAGGCATCTAAAATGAATAGACATTTCTGAAATAAATAAATACAGAGAGAAAAAAATACATGAAAAAATGCTCAACATCACTGGTCATTCCTGAAATGCAAATTAAAATAGCTCTGAGACTTCATCTCACTCCAGAAAGAATAGCTATCATCAAAATATTGACCATCACAAATGCTGATGGGGCTGTGAAGAAAAAGAACCCTTTCTCCATTGTAGGCCAGAGTTCAGACTGTTGCTAACTATGTGGAAATCAGTAAAGAGAGTACTCAGAAAACTAAAACTAGAGGTTCCATTAGACCCAGTATTTCCTTTCTTGCCATTTTCCCAAAATGGTTGTTAAAAGTATCATAGTGCTGGTATATATGCATATCCATGTTTATAGCAGAACAGTTTATAAGAGTCAGTCTTGGAAACAGCCCATATGTACTTTAGCAGAACAATTTATAAGAGTTAGTCTTGGAAACAGCCCATAGGTACTTTAACTGCTGAATGGATAAAGAAAATGTGCATTTTATATACATCGGAGCACTACTCTGCCACAAAGAAGGATAAACTTAAGATTTTTTAGGTAAATGGATGCACTTTGAGCCATCCATTTAAGTGCAATAAGTCAGACATGTTTAAATATTTCATTGTTTCTCCTTTGTGAAAAACAGTATAAATAAGGACAAAAATAGATGATAAATATCAGGAAGTAGGGAAAATGCTCAGGTGGGGAAGGGAACAAGGAAGGAGAAGGAAAGAAAAAGAAAACTGAAAAACAAAAATATGGAAGAAAAAATGAAAAGTAAAACTTCTGTGAATGAGGAGAAAATGAGAAGTTAAAGGATGGGAAGAGGAAAGAAGAAAAATGGAATTAAGATATATTATGTAGAGGTACAAATTTCCTTTGGTAAATGTGAACTATCAGTATGACAAAAATGTAGTAGCAAAAATAGCTTAAATATATGAAAAACGTATGGAAAAAAATTTTCCAAAAGACTATTTATTTAAAAATTATGTCTTGCAGCTTGAAAGATTTTTGTGAAAACCAAAGTAAAAATTTCCACCGAAGTTAGAATTGACTTCTCATGAATAGGAAATATTTCTTGAAAGTTTTTCCTCTGAACAATGTGAAGTAGTATTGGTAATGGATCAGTGTGTGTCCCATTATGGAGGGCTGAAATAAAAGTGAAGCCTGTGAACCCCACTATGTATTTTAAGGTGTATATTAACTGATTAATAAGTAATAAAATGATCATTATACCTGGAAAATAAGGTGGATAATTTAGCTGTGGATTTCTGCAATTGGTGGTAGATCCATTTATAAAACTTGATGGTTCATTCATATCCTTAGAGAAAAAAAAAAGATTGTAGATAATTTAGAATGTGTTCTGGAAATAACTAATTCAGAAAGCAAGTAGTTTTAAATGCTTTAAAATACATTTAATTAATGTTTTAGAAAATTAAAAATTATAATGGCATTAGGGATTTAGTTTAGCTCATTGATTCTTAATTTGTATAACCTATTTCTCTTTTGAAGAAGCACAATGTCATTTTTAAATGTTATTTTTAAACTGTGATGTACTGCCCTAAATGACTAATTTTTATATTTCCAAGGTATATGGGGCATGATAGAAAAATACAGTAAATACACTTTTGGTTAATTTTCTGATTAGTGCAACAAATTCCAGACCCCCAAAGTTAAAGGAGCCAAGATTTATTTAGTTCACAGTTCACAGAAGTGTTAGCCCATAAGTGGTTTGCTCTAGGGCAGGGGGCATGTAGAAGAGAAGAGTTCATGGTGGACCAAAGTCAGCCAAGCAAGGAAGTAACAAGCCACCAGCAACAACAGCAGCGTCTTTCTGCCCATTTTATATTGTCTAGACTACCCATTTTAGTGTAGGTGTTAAACTCATCAGTGGAGTAATTGGGTAATCACACAGTTTTAATCCCAGCATCAATGAAATGTAGAACCAGTAAGCTCTGAAAACCCCACCTATGATCACATGCCACGGTGAGGGAACTTATAGCCATGACAGCTACTACTGAGCTCATCTGACAGAAAGCCAGGTATCTTTAATATGAGAAATGTGCACCAAACTTTAGATGCAGGGTGCAACAGTTTCAACCTGTTTCATGAAGGTAGTCATTTGTGAGCTATGGTTGAAAGAAAGTGTATTAAAATGTACTATAAGTCTTAAATCACAAAGAACCCATTTTATTGGAATTGTGCAATCATAACACTTTAGATTCCAGTTTTTTAGGAAGTTTGGGTTTACATTGATGATCTTGAGATCAGGATTCAGAGCTCTTGATGGAAATGACCAGTTCTCATTTAAAAATGTGCATCTATAAGGACTCAATATTAGGGCGATGTTTTTTTTTTTTTTTTTTTATCTTGATAGAACTGGGTAAGCTGAGTTTGCAGAAGCACGACAGTGCACTCTGATTATTATAAGGCCTTATTATTTAAGAGTGTGTGCAGAAAGCAGACTAAAAATGGACAAATAGCATCATCTTCCATCATGACAAAAATCCGTATCACATGTGGATTCTGTACAGCAGTTTCTGTCACAGAAATGCACTGTGGTGTCCTCATCCATCTTAATCACTGGTTCTGGCACTTTGCAACTCCTGGCTTTTCCCAAAGTTAAAAAAGACCATGTCAGGTGAATATCTTGAATTAACTCGGTCAGAGCAACTAAAGATACCAAACAGGACTTCAAGAACTGCTTCAGAAAGTGGTAAGAATAAGAGTATTTAAATTGAGGGAGAATATTTTGAGGGGAATTAGTGGCAATGTGTCTTTTACTTTATTAAAATTATTTAAATTTAAATATTCATCATATATTGTGTATATATATATATATCACACCACTTAAATTATGGTGTTATATGTTTTAATTATTTCCTCTTAAATAGCATTGTCTCAAAATTGTATTTCTAAAAATCATAGCAATAATGTTTTAAAATGGTATTCCAAATAATGAAATTAAAATTCCATTATATTTATGAGTTTACTACTTATGCAAATAATTGATCATTGTTTGTGTAAGATTGATTTCTATATTGAGTAAAACTAAATATTTACATTTATTTCTACCAAGGAAAAGAGGCTATTTTTGTCCCTTGATAAAGTTCAAAATATCCAGCAAATAGCATGCATGTGCATTTATTAAATTGCTAAAACTATATTTTAATAAATGTTGTTCTATAAAAGAAGGATGAGCAGTTAATTTTCAAAGAAGAATGTTACTTAATTAGAATTAGACGAATGAACTTAATTAGAATGAAGCAAATTTTTTCATTATAACTTAATAAATAACTTAAAAGATAAAGTGTTCAAAGCTTACTTACAATCCACAAACCATCAAATTTCATTTGATTATTGTAGAAATCCATAATTTCCCTTGCCCACCACTCTGCTGTGGAATTCTTAAAGAAATCCGGAAAAGCTGCATGAGCTCTGGATGCCTGGAAAATCAAAATTCAGATTCACATGTAGAAAGCTCTAAAAGAAGCCGTATGTATCTAGATCAGCAACTTATGCCAGATTACAAATCTGTATGAGTGGAAATAAAAGTTACCTGATCTCAGCATTTATTACATCAATATATAAATGGATTTTCCTACCATCACCACAGCAAGCTCTGGAGGTTGAAGGGAAAGAGGGACCTATATGCAAAAGGGAATGGTCTTGGGGTCCAATGTAGAAAATAAGGAAAGAGTTGCGAACATGGAGAAATCTATTGGCAGTGCTTCTCTTGCATTTTCAGGGCCCTCCAATGCATGTTTCCCTTTCCAAAGTATTTCAGACCTTTTCTCTAATTAAAAATTGTTTTCACCTACCTTTCTGACCGCCACAAGCACCTTATTGTCCAATTATGCCAATCAACTGCTTCTCTTTCTTTGCTACATAAAACCAGTCCAATTTCAACATGAAAGGGAGGTTTTATACCCTTTCTTATCAATAAAATCTTTTTAAGTTCCAAGGCCACGTTCACTGCATTAGCAAGACTGACCTTGAGCGGCTGCATCAATTAGAAATGCCCGAGACACACATCGTCGTAAAGGAATCCTTCCTTGGAACAGACTGAAACTAGTCATTGCTAGTGTCCCCAGGAAGAGAATGTGAGAAGGAAATGTGCACAGAAAAAAAATGTAGAGTAGCAACATAGAGATTTACAAAATAGTGGATATTTTTAAGTAACTTAATTTTATCATTTTGCCCACTATTTAAATTTTACTTCTGAGGACAGGAAGCTCAATAGTGCTATATGATGAATATTTCTGTGCAAGGACTTTCTCAATCACATAATTAATAAGCAATATTGAACAGATTATTTTTAAATTTCATTTTTCTGCTTTTTTAACTCATTTGTTGGTTTATTGCTTTCCATTAGGTGACTACATTTAGAGCTTTCATACAAATCATTGTACATAGAAAGTTTGGCAAATCCTGACATACCTCTTTAAATATTCTGTAATCAAAACCATTCTGGTAAAATTGAAGCGTCTCCCCAACATCTATATAAGAAGCCAGGGCTTGCTTCTCTGGTATCACTGCTACTATGCAGGAAAAATCACTTGATCTTGAATTAGAACAAAACTCCGAATTTTTTCCTCAACAACATAGTTAAATGTGTTTAGTCTTTTTTCTCTGATTTATAAATAATTTTGATATATTTCAATTTTCCCTAATTTTTTATATTTACAAGAACTTGCATGATTTAATAATTATCAGTTGATTGACTTACAAAGATTGCAGTCTTAGTTTTGTTGATTTTTTCTATTGATTTCATATTTTCTATCTCACTCTTTTTTGCTTAAACCCTTGCTGCCTTCTCTATGATAATTTGGAGCTTAGTTTCCTAATTCCTTGAGGTATAATATTAGGTTGTTTGCGATCTTCCTTATTATTCAAAGTAGGTGTTTTGTCATAAGCTTCCCTCAGAATTACTTTTAATACATCCTGCAAATTTTGGTATCTTATATTTTCATTTTTTGTCACAAGATTTTCTAATTTTTATTTTACTTTTTCTTTGACATCCTCACTCAAAAATATGTGCTAATGTCCACATGCTTTCCTTCTACCATCGATTCCTAGACTCATCTCGCTGTGATTGGAAAAGAAACTTGTTATGATTTCAATCATCTTAAATTTGTTGAGATTTGTTTTTTTCATAAAGTTGATCAAAATGTGATCTCTTTTGGAGAATATCTCACTAGAAAAAATCTATTATGTATTCTGCTGCTCTTCGGTAGAATGTTCTACATGTGTGTTAATTCCATTTTATTTAGTATTATATATTCCTCCGTTAATTTTATCTCTTTATTTTTCTATCCATTACTGAAAAGTGCTACAAATTGAATACTCTCACCTTTAATTACTTGCTGTTTTTCTCTTTAATTCTGTCAGTGTTTTATTTCTATATTTACGAGCTCTACTTCTGCATTCACCTATATACTTATAATTGTTCTATCTCCCTAATAAATTGAACTTCTTATCATTGTACAGTAGCAACCTGTTGCTTGAAACAGTTCTTGGCTTAAAATCTATCTTCAGTGCAGTGTTAGCATATTTCTGTCTTTCTTGTTATTATTTACATGAAATATTTTCCTAATTCATTTCACTTTCATGAATGAACTTTGAATATACTATTCTGAGTGCAACAAGTCAGTATCAGACAAATACTACATGAGTCCTTCTATGATTCTGCTTACACTGGGTATCTAAAGTTCTCAAATTCATAGAAGCAGATAGTGGAATGGTGGTGGCCCAAGGTCAGTGTTCAGGAAAGTAGACAATTGCTAACTAACAGACATAAAATTTCAATTGCACAAGGTGAAGAAGTTCTGGAGATCAGCTATATAATAATTTGTGTAGAAACTTTAATACTTCATTCTTCACATAAAAATGACTTGTGAGTAGATATTATGTTAAATGTATCACTCAAACAATTCTTACTTAAAAAACAATTTCCTGAATTAAGGAAATACTTAAGTGACTGACATTTTTTGTAATAGGAAAAATTAGTTATTGTCATTTAATCTGACTTAATAAAGAGAATTTTAAAATGAGATATCTATTTTAAAGAATAATATACAAGTTAAATTATTAATTAAGTAATCACTAGGCTCATGTTCTTAATTTTTGCTAAAAAGTTAATCAATAAAAAACTTACATTAACAGCTTCATCTTCAGTGATGGTCTCATCTATTGTTACATTGGGCAAGTCTGGCCAAACCTATAGTATAAGTAAAAATCCAAAATTATTAATATGATATTATTGTGATGCAAACTAGGAGAAATGTATGTAGAGACATTATATTGTCAAGATCCCAATTTTTTAAAGTTTGTTTTCTTCTATATGTATAACCTGTGCACTATCCCTGTTTTCCGTATTAGGCTATTCTTTGACCTCAAACATGAAAAAAATTTATATTCTTTCACATCAAACATGAAAAAAAATTATCAACTCTAATGCTGTCAGCAACTCTGAGGCAATACAGTAGTCAATAGGTTAATTAAAATAATATGAAAAGTATATACTGTTTAATTTAATATGATGCATAAGAAATATTTCTACAATTGTTCCATAATTAAAGGTTACAAACAATAAATAGCCTTAATTGAAAGACCTGTAGATTTGATTAATATCATGCCAAAGGATATGAGCCTATTAATTTTTCCATGTTAAATTATCTACCTTCTCCCCATCTCTCTCTTGCTTTACTGTCTAGAAATGTTTTCCTTGACTTCACTCAGAAGTACATTAAAAACTTTCATCATAATGATCTCTAGAAATTTGAATCTATGCTGAAAAACCTAGATAACTCAAATATTCCTTAACTGATTAGGGTTGAAGAGACACAAAATATTTGAAAGGAATAATGCTTACAGTAATGACAGAGAAGACAAAACTCTGAGGAATGATGTATAGAATGAAGAGAAAGTAGGAAAAGAAAACCCTTCTGTCACAAGTACGCTATGTCTTATGACAGCAGGATTCTCAAAATGTTATTGTTTCACTAATTTTGTTACTCATTTTTATCATTTTATTTTGCAATATTTTAGAGTTACATAAAAATTGTAACTAGAGTTTGTTTCTGTCACTCAGTATCTTCCTATGTTTAACACACTGTATGACATAATGTGTAGTATAATGATTGAACAATTAATATGAGTACAATACAATTATATAATTTATAGATTCTATTTTAATATGACCTCCTCTATCATTAATGTCTTAATATCCAAAAAGATTCATATAATTTCTATTTGCCATTATAGGAGTTTCTGAGGTTATTTTTTAATTCTAGATATTACTATCAGTTGTTTTATTTTTCACTGTTTTAAAAGAAAATCAAACTATGTTCTACAATATATTTATATATTTAGTTCTGAATATTATTACTTATATATATTTAGTGAATGATATTCCTTATTCATATTATTAATATAATTCAAAAAATACTGTTGATTTTATTAAGAGATACACAAAGACTTGAATGATCTTTGCAGCATCAAATGATAGTAATTTTTATTGCTTGGACCAGGAATCGAACTCACGATCGTATGCTTGCAAGGCAGGCGCTTATGCCACGGAACTAACTCCCGGGCTATACTAGTAATTTTTATAAAGAAACAGAAAAGGTACCAAGAATTCAAATACAGGTTAGGGATAAGATAAATTTCATGTGGGTTTATGATTTGTGGGAACTTCTTATCTGCTTCTAGTAAGTCACACTGAACTGGAAAAATACAGTTTTTTAATTTATCAAATGATTATTTATTAATCTTTCCCTATGAATATATTTTTAACCTTTCAATTAAGTGGAAAGTTCCAGTGAGTTACCATTTTCACCATTATACTACTTCAAGATAGCAATTTAATACCTTTGCCCAACAAATATCATTTGTGTTAGGCCATTTCACAAAGACATCTTTCTGCATCCCTCGTTCAAATGCAGGGTAAGGCTTTGTTTCATTTCCTGAAATAGCTGGATCCTAAAATTAAAAGTTAAAGAGAATGCATATGAAATAGAAGTATATCTTCCCAGGTAGCCATTTTAAATCATCACAATTTTCCTTTATCACATTATCAAAGTTTGTGCTCTAATTTGACAAACATTATTGTTACATACATTCCTTACAAAATTCCAACAAGTTGTGGAAATGTGCTAGCTATCAATGGAAGCAAGCTTATTAGAGTTTCTTTGTTTAGTTCTTTATGACTCTTATGAGACTTCTGGTGATCTAGACTGTTTCCTACAAGTCACTGATGAGATATTCTTCTAACATGAAGATAACTAGAAAGTATCGTCATATTTATGCCCAGCTATAGGTTTATATCTCTAAATATAAAACTGAGCACAAACCTCTGAAAAATAAAATGAAGTTTTGTGGGAAGAATATTTTAGGTTTTGGAGGAGAATCCAAACTTATATACTTTCTACTTTGAAAGACTTTGCCTCCCATCATGTTAAGTTAATTTTAAAAAATATAATTACATAAAAATAGATACTGACCAGGATAATAATGTATCTCATTCCTTCTGCTCTTATTTTGTCAACAAACTTAGGAAGCTCACGAAAATTTTCACCAATTGTGAAGTCTAGTTGCCTTTCCATGTAGTTAATGTCTGTGTATTGGACATCCTGTAATACATACGTAACAATGGATAAGAAATACATGAGAATAAGTATGTCAGAGTCTGTCTTATTTATGGAGGTAACAGCAAGATGCAAGCTTCATTTCCTTTTCCCTGCATCCTAAAGAGAATTAACTAATTCTGCTGTGTTCAAGGAACACAAGGAACACATTAGAACCCACTGATGATGGTTATCAAGCATAACCATACATCATTCTGTTTTGCCTAGAATCACTTAGTAATTTCTAAATCAGTACATTGTTAAGTAATTGATAAGGGAAATAGATAAAACAATTTATGATGCCATTAAACTAAGTTGAAAAAACTGGAATCTCAGAAAGTAAATACAGAAATGAATTTTGCTATATTTCTAAGAATTATAAAGTAAATCTGGGATAATTTCAAGTTGTTTTTATATTAGGAAAAAAGAAAAGAATATTAGCAAATCTACTAAATAGTGTAAGATTTATATTTTCCATCAATATCATATTCAGAGTGACAGTTTAGCTTAGATAACCAAAATATCGTTTATCACTATATCCTTGGAAACATATTTTAACCAACAAATTTTAAATTTTATCTTAAAATCTTTTTTTTTCTTTTTTTAAAAAAATCTTTAATCTGGCCTGAAATAAATGAGTTTTTAACTATTTTCTGTTCAATTTATTCTTCTCACTGTTCCAAATGCAGCTAATATAATGGAATAAAAACAAAAATCCTCCTCTTTGTACTGAAGTTCACTTCACATTTCTGTATTATCTCTTCTTGATGGCTTTCCCATAGTAACATTTTCTTCTGTTGGATTCTGCTGTAATTACTAATGTCTTAGAATGCAATTTTAAAATGTTTCTTAGAAGAGGGTCCCATATATAGACTTGTATATTTCAACGTTTGTTCCTGGAGGATGCCTGGAATTTCCCAATCTTGATAAAAAGTAAAATTACGAGGTTTGATTATTTGTGGTGCTCAGCAACATGTAACTCTATGGTCTTGAGTAGAGAAAATATGTTGAAATGCCTCTCATTGTTTTATACATTACAAATATTAATTTTTTTCAGAACTGAAATCACCAGGTGACCCCCAAATCCTTCTCTGTAATTTATATGATCAACTAATAATGTAGGTTACTATAGACTTCCTCTATCATAAAGAGAATATGCCAAATGTCCCTATATATATATCCAAAAACCTATAAAAGTAAAACATGTGCATGAATATTTGCATACCACTACTTAGGATCATAGACCTGAGAGAAGGATGAAAACCAAATAACATTATCTTTCCTTTTTAACAATCTGATAAACATATGCAAAACCCTCATATTCAGTTCATAAAGTGTTACAAAAAACAAAGCATTATTAAATGTTTAAAACATTCTAAACTATATACATGTTTAAACATTCCTTTTGTTTTTATATTGTCCATATTTCCTAGTGTTTTAAAAAAATTAATATACGTACATAAGGGATCCCCGCAGCCACCATTTCATTATAGACCTGCTCAACCTGTGATGTATTTCTGTATCCATAACGACATAATTGGAATCCTAAAGACCAGTAAGGTGGCATCATTGGATGGCCAATGACCTTAAAAAAAAATTATTCCATGTCAAATAAGAGAATTACTTTGAAATGTAAAGCAAGTTTTATAATTTTAAAAGCAAGTATACAATCATACTTCGTGGTACTGTATTGTTGCAACTTCAGGAGTTGGGCCCAAAAACATGTAAAAATCCAGTATTCCTCCAACTGTTCGGTATGTCAGAGCAGGAGTTGGCTGGAAAGTGACATCTACAATATAAAATAAGATTCTGTTTTTATCTATGTATGAGATATTAGATTACAAAAGTGCCACATTTATATTTTATATGGGAAAGTCAACAAAAAAATTCTGTTACCCATTGCATTGCTGTTGAGTAAAAGAACTCCATGAGCATTGCCTTCATCTTCCAGAGCCATGTAATAGGGATGGAATCCATAGGAATTCATTTTATACTGAAACAAAAACAGCATGGCACATATTTAGTAACATGAATTCAGTTAACAATATTTTAAAATTCATTATACGATAAAGTTTCAGAACTTGAATGTTCTTTTTTTTTTGCATACACAAACTCTGCTTAAATTATCATAAATGTATTCCAACATCAGTGCTGTAGAGCAGAAAAATGAATATATGTAACCAAAGGGATGCTATGGTGTGCTATGGTTCATGTACCAGCTCCATGCAAGGAATGTACATGATGCATTGCAAACATGAACTAATAAAGAATAATGTACTACATCAAATGACATAGAATTCAACTTAAATTGGAGTAGCTGGGTTTTTTTTCAACTAGTTTTATGTCTTACTTGCTTTATAAATTAGCAACTCTTAAGAGTCTGAGACAAAGAACACAAGTTCACGCACTACCTGGTCACTTAGTGGCCTAACAAGACCTTGTCTCAGAATAAAAATACCAAAGGGAACCTGAGAGAGAGTAGTTCAGTGGAAAGGCCTTAGGTTGAGTGCCCAGTAAATAAAAGGAAAGAAAGAAGGAAAGAAAGCAAGAAAGAAAGAGCAATTCTTTCTCGTAATAAAATATACTAGAGGCGGAAAGTGGTGGTGCAGGCCTGTAGTTCCAGCACTGGGGGGGCTGAAACAGCAGGATGGTTGCAACGTTCAGATCAGCCGGGGTTACAAAGTGAGCTCAAAGCCAGCCTGAGCTGTTTAGTGAGACCCTGCCTCAAAAAGACAAAAATAAAATAAAATAAAATGTTAGAAAAATTGTAAGTTATAAAAGTTTCGAATATGTTTATAAAACTTACAAACTTTTAGATTCACAAAACATTAAATTCATTTCCCCACATTTGAATTTCAGTAACTTTAAGCATGTGATATAAATTTATATATTGAAGTTGAAAATTAATCAGATAATATATATACTAAAACAGAACTCAGCTTAATTTTGATAAGATATTCTTACAAGCAACTGCCAATGAAAAACATTTTTTTTAAAATACCAAAGTAAAAACAGATGTTTGGTTTATTTTGCTATTTCAACAATTTACAACAAAAATACTTTCAATAATAAAAATATGTGTAGCTTTGTATTGAATCTTTTAAGTACATGTTATATATGAAAAATGAAAGATACTTTTATTAAAATATAATTTTATGTTATACATGGACAATTATAATTAATATAAGTTATTTATAAATATGCAACTTCAGGAGTTGGGCCCAAAAACATGTAAAAATCCAGTATTCCTCCAACTGTTCGGTATGTCAGAGCAGGAGTTGGCTGGAAAGTGACATCTACAAATATGCAGATATTTATAAAATGTATTCATTTAATACTGCAAAACTCTAGAAACGTCTTTAAAGTACGTAAAACACTTTAAAATATGCAGCCAGGCCAGATGTGGTGGAACATGTCTGTAATGTCAGCGTTCAAGGTGATTGAAGCAGGAAGATCACAAATTCCATTCCAGCCTGGCAACTTAACAGCTGAATGAGACTCTACCTAAAAGAGAGAGACAGAGAGAGAAAGGGAGGGACAGAGACAGAGGCAGAGACAGAGGCAGAGATGGAGCCAGGGAGAGAGAGAGAGACAGAGAAGGCCTGAAACTCTTGGTTTCAATCCCTAGCAGTGCCAAAAAAAGAAAGGTAAATAATCTTATAACAGTAGCTCCGAATTATAAAGGGAAGAGTTTGTATAAAATCATCATCTAAGAAGTAAAATGTTTTAAAAAGTGTAATAATTAAGGAGAAGCCTAAGCAGTTGTTTTTAGTAGTAAGTACATGTCTTTTTTCTGTGCAGTTGAAAAGTCCAGAAATTGGATCAAGGCTTCTCAACTTGGTCAAGCAAGGAGCTGTCCTCTACTTCCACCTGTAACTAGGTCACTTTAATTTTTATTGTTTTTCCCCAGAAAACCGTTACAGAAGCTCTGGAGGTCTCCAGCTCTTCTCCAGGCCCCAGCTCCTGGTGGCCTGCGCCCCCAGCAGGCACCTACCCCTGGGGGCTGGTCCCGGGTGAACATGCCCCACGTGTGCCAGTTGAGGTCCCGCTTGAAGGCCGTGTGCTCCAGCTCCCCGAAGCCATAGAGGTACTCGGATGGCAGGCGCGTGGATATCTGGAGGAACTGGTCATTAAACGTAAATCCAGGCAGGGCAGAGTCCCAGCTTTAAAACAAAGAGAGGCCTGTTCTTGTAACAGTACCAAAGCGTGACACAAAAAGCAGTAATTCTTTCTCTGATGCCTGAGCACAATAGTTTTCCTCTGTTTACCTAGTTACAGCCAGGTCTGACATAGACCTAGATATTTACTCAATACTTTATACTAAATAACGTTTAAAACATATCCCATGGACTCATGGGAAACAATATGAATAACATGCTTATACATATTTATATTACGTATTTCTTCAGTGTAAGTCCTCGTAATTGTACATCATTACTCTCTCCCTTGAGATCACCACTATAAATATTTGGGCACATGGAACAAAAATAATTTAATATTGCAATGAACTAGCAGATAACGATATTTTAGTTCTTCTAAATTATTACTGGGATTTTTCTCCTTTTATTCTAGATTTATAAAAATTCATGCTCATGGTGATTTGCTAAGAAAAATGCTCTGTTATCCAAATGACCCGCAAGAAGACTCTGAAGGAGGGAAAGAAGTAAAATCAGCATGAAGATGAAACCTAAATATCACAAGTAACTTGAAAACATTCAGTTTTCTGTTAATTGCTTCAAAAAATAATTTAGCAAATATAATACCTCCCCCATCCAAAAAAATGCTGTTCAGAAATTTTGATCTGAATTCTCAACTTGACTGGAAGAATAAATCTGATACTCATGAATAAAGGTTAATCATATAAATCACATAAATAAAATCTTCTACCAGTCTTTGCTAATTGCCTTGTGGATGTAGTAATAGTTTAATATTAAAATGTTAGAACTTTCAACTAATTTAACACAACTAAGTCTTCTAACATGATTTTATTCTAGCACAGTGAAAGCTATAAGAAACATTTTACTTTTCCCTTTTTCCACTAAATTTAAAATTTCCTTCAAATCAATAGTTTACTCACTTACATAATTCTTCCACTGCTTCTCCTCCGAACCTGGATGCCAAAGGGATTTTCCTTGATTTCAACATCATAAAGCCTGTCTTCCAGGGTGCTGGTTGGAGTGGTTGGAAGGTCTAATGGAACTGGAACTTCGTATCTCTTATGTTGGGGATCATAAATCTACAGCAGAATGAAAGTGAAAGTAGACATTTTGTTATTTTTCATTGATATAACATACAAATATAATTAAATATGCTAAATCTCTGTCAAAACACTGTTAGAATTGTTGTTTATATAATACCTAATTGGCCCATAAAGCCACATAGTGTTCTAAATGCAGAAACACAGGGAGTAAAATGAGCATTTCTGAATTGATCCTCTTAAAAATGTTTTACAATTTATCTTTTATGTAGAAGAAATCACCCAAAACTTTTAGAACTAAATATTCCATTCTTTGTATAGGCCAAAGTTGTCATTTTACAGTTGGACACTGAAGTTCTTTCAAAATCTCAATAATACAATAAACATCAGTGCTGATTTTTGTTTATTTATGTCATTATTTTCTCATCATGTTTTCAAGAGGTCATAGAACATTTTAGGATCTTTGATGTTACTGGCAAGTTGCTTTCCAGTATTATTGTCCTAATTATTTTTTCACCAAAATGTGTACTTGAATACCAATCTGCATTAAATTATATGCAGTTGAAGATGTTAATTCATTATGTGCTCCATACAAGTGTTTTGATCAAATATAGAACACATGTTTGATGTTTTGAGACTGAGGCCTTCATTAACATTGTAACTCTTGTCAGTGACATTCATATAAGGATAAAATTTTCCAGTAACCTATTTCTTAGAATGTGTTCAAATTACTATGTGATAGTTGATGAAAATGTGACTTTTACTACATGATATTCAAGATTTATGTTCTATTTTCTTTGAACTTGTCATTTATTCACTTGAACTTTGACAAGTATATATATTTGGCTAATATGATTTTCAGGATTTGTTTTCTCTCTTAAATATCTGTTTGTAAGGTCTTTATATTTTTCATGGTTATATAAGTTGTGCTGGCTTTCTTAATGTATTATCTGTGCCAGACATCTGTGTCTTCTAATAATTTATTTTTTGTCATGCAGACACATTTAATTTTATACAATAAAAACTATAGATTTTTGTCTATAAAATGACTTCTGTGTTTTAATCTGTAGGCTGTAACTAGCAATAAACATTTAGGCTTATGGTTGATTTAACTTTCAGATGCAACTCAATCTAAATTTTACTTTAACATATGATTTCAGGCAAACAGATTTCTACATGAATTATTAATCTATCTCTTCATTATTAATTGCTGAAACTTGCTTTCATTAAACTTTTAAACTTTTCATGCATATTCACATATATATTGCATATGTATACATATATTAATATTTTTGAAGCTTTTGAGCCACTGTCCCTCAATAATCTGTCAGGAAATTCTAGTTCTAGCACCATCTTATTTTAATTTTATAAGTTTTTAATATTACTTTTCTTCCTAACTTTTAAATATTGTTATATATTTACTTTTCCAGACTAACTTATTTTATGAAGTCTCAATAAACTTTGCACTGTATATTTATGGAAACAATTTTAAAGTATCGATCTAAAGTTGACTAACATTACAAATGACATTTAGTCTCTAAAATGTGTTAGGATTTTTAATTGTTTAACTTTATAGACAATCTACTCATTCCTCTGATGTTTGATGTTTTGATTGTTCATTTCATTTTTGCTTCATTTTAATTGAGTACTGAAATTTGCCGCTATTTTCATTTCCAAATAGTGAAACAGCATCCAATAAAATACCTTGTGGAGATGCTATTTTATATCATGCATTATTTTGATCTCTATTACTTCCAGTAACTTTTAAATGGATTCTCTGGACTTTTTAAAACAACTAACTGTAAATATTGAAATAAATTACTTTTTGTATTTTTATTGCTTTCTATACAAAATTAAAGATTGCCTTTTAAAAATAATGAAATAGTAATTATTCTGTTGTGTTTATTTTAATGAAAATATTAACATTGTTCAATTCTAAGTGACATCTGCATGAAAGTGACTTAACAAAAATCTATTCTTTTAAACTATCACTACATGTTTAATTACTCTAAAAGTTAGCAAAAATGAGAACATTCATTTATTGAGCACCTAGCTATGAACTGTGTAAAAGCAAAGTCACTTTTATAGAATCAAAATGTTCAAACCAATTACATACAGTTAATATTACAGTCAAAATATGAGCAGCTAATCAATTAAAAAACTCAATGATCTCGAGATTGGACAACAATTGAGGTGGTTTGTATTAAACGTACCTTAAACTGCACCATTTCATTTTTGTGATATTTCACCTCCACACGGAGAGTTGAGATCGGTATTGAGGGTAGCGTTACTCTAGCTTTGGCCGGGTTCAACTGGAGATCAGCCGTTATGCCGGTTGGAAAATATTGAATTGATGTAACTGAATAAGGATCAGATTGTCTAGGTATGTAGCACTCAGGTGCTTTGGAAGCAGAACTAACCTAAAACACAACGTAGTTTCATCATCAGAAAATGTAAGCTTTATAACATTTGTTGTATGATTTGTAACAAAATGTACGTGTTCTGCACTGTGAGTCAACATATTCTAAAATACTATATAAAGTATATATATTTTGAGTACAAAGATAGAACAGTGGAAGAGAAACAGTGACTGTTATTTACATAACTCAAAAAACGCAAGTAGATTTTATTGTCTTTGCAGAATGTAAGTATATTATGCACACATTTTGATCGTGTATTTGCTCTTACTCTTCATAATGAGTATTGCTTTTTGTTAAACGTGTCTCCATTACAACTCTCAAAAATATGTGCTTTGGTTTTTTTACTTCATTATAATGGCATTATTTGAGGTCTTTTATGACCAGCATTAGCTTTCTCATACTAAGTAATAAAACTACAAACCTTGAACTATTCTATTATTTATCTCCTCTAACATTCTCAAATATGACTAGTGAAAGTCATAACTGCAGTCTTTTATGATGGTGCAGTTAGATTGGGGTGAGGAATAAAAATATGACCTGTGGTCAACAATCAGAGCTGATTGGTTTACGTACAGGGGCAAGAGGTGGGAAATGAGAGAGAAACATGACAAATTGTGGCCGTGGTACTGAAGGCCAATTGCTTTACCACAGTCCATTTATGTTACCTTTCTTATTTGTTATTGTATTATTCAGAAAAACAGAAACCTGTATTTTGATTGTATTGTATAGAAGTTGTCTAAGATACTCAAAGCTCCCCCAGAATAAGCCAATTAAATTTGGATGGGTTTCGCCCTTTCATGTCCCTTATTCTCTGTGTAATGCAAATCTGGTAGAAGGCCAGCCACAACCGGGAAGGTAAAAATCAAAAGTAAAGTCAGAAGAGCGGCAAACATTCAAGAGGTTTAAATTGCAGCATGTAGGCTTTGGATTTTTTTTTTTTTTTTTTTTTGGTAAGATACAGAAAAATTCTGTTTTACTTAATCTGTACAGATTTTAGGTGTCAGATTCGATATAAACCAATAGAAGCTGATAGAAATACTGTAGTACGCATTCCTATTGCAGTATATGCAGTGAGTGCCAAAATGATTGGGAATATTACTGACAACATATCAAGTTTGTTTGTGACTCTCACATAAATGTCTTCAGCCCAGGACCACTTTTATCATTCTACACATCATTTCACTTACTTTTCTTACTAATAGGTCATATTAGCATTATGCTTAGCATGAAAAACAAACTGGTGAACTAATGTAAGACAACTGTATACAATTTTGTAACCTAAATATTCAACCTAAAATGTTTTAAATATTTGGAATTATCCCAGGACTATCTAATTTATTAAATGTAAAAATTCTTGAGTAGCTATTTTAAATGGGCAAACGTGCTTTTATCTACACATATCTATGTATTTTAAAATTAGAGAAGTTACCATATGGAATGTATTTCTCAGGGTTTGGGATCTGAAGTTTTCAGACATGAGTTTAGTTAGCACTCTAAGCGTTCATATGACCTGATGTCAGTACTAGGTATAAGTGAGAAACTTAAATGAATACAAGGGTGCTTTGTAAGAATCTCCAAGACATTAAGCAGTTTTAATGAAGATATTTTTTCTGATGTCATCAGCAATTTAAGAAACGTTAATAATTTCTTGCTATACTGTTTAATTTGTGTCCTTCACGTTTTCCTTGCCTACCAAAGTTAACAAATTATTTAGTACAAATAGTGCCAATATCAGAATAAAATACAAACCATCTTTTGTTTATCCCTCAACATTTGATGTGTATTGCTGACAGTTTAACGAGTTTTCTCCAAAACTAAAATCATTCTTTTTCACATAGATCTGTCCCTATGCCACCCATTAGCATTCTCATGCTAAGTTATAAAACTACAAACCTTGAGCTATTCTATTATTTACCTTCTCAAAGCTGGTACTGTGCAGACCAAAGTGGCTTGGGAATCACAAGCAACCCTACTGACAGTTCTCTGTTTATGTAAGTAAGTAGGAAACATTTGGCGTGTCTTACTGATGCAACAGAAAGTGACTATCCTCTTAGTCAGTTCACCATTATGCTGCCCGGCATGGCATCTTTGTTCTCTGACTACCAACAAATACTTCCTTTTTCTCAATCCTTGTTATTTAAATATGAAAAAGGAAAGCCATGGGAACCAACAGCGGGACTGAGTCACCTTACCCTCTCACCTCTTCAACTTCTGCTCCGTGATATACACTACCCGATGTCTTCTAGGAAGACTTCTCCCTCCCTCACTCTCCCCTACATCACTGGTGCTGCACTCCTATGGACTGCTTAATTGTATTTTTCAGATCTTAAAGCGGAAATCGTCACCTTGCTGAGGTTCTCATCTGTTGTCTCATTCTTCCTGCTTCTTCACATCAAAACATAGATTGCACCATATTCGTTATCTTACTATCTTGGATATGTCCTTTCACTTTTAATTGAATTTAGTGTAACAGGTTTTTACCAACATTCTATCAACAATTTCCTGGTCAATGTTATCAAGAACTTCCATGCTCCCAAATCTGTCTGTCAGTTTTAAGTCCATAGTCTCTGCCTTAAAATGTATTCTTCACTTTGCTTCCCTTTCCTGGACATGTTCCACTTTCAACTTGATGCATTGCATGTTATGTTTTTTCTGTCTCTGTTCTCTTTCCTCCTCATTTTGCTGATGAAATGTCACAGTGACTCAGAGTTTGAACTTACCTATGCTAGATCATTCTCTTGAGGATGCTGCCCTGTCACTTGGCTTTCTGGACGACTATATAAACTGTCTCTCAATTTTATATTTAAATTATGAAAATTTTCTCAATTCTGTTGGATTAAAACTATTTCACAACTGGGAAGATGCACTTGTGATTAAAATGTGATTAAAATATATGGTTATATTAAATATAAATTGTTAAAAATGTGTTTTATAAAAGACACATTGCTATTAATCTGTCTCAAAATACTTCCCTTCAGTCAGCACATACTTATGTCTCTGCTCTTTCCACTTTCTCCAACAGTTCTGGAAGTCTTTTTTCATGTGTAACTGTAGCTGAGTACTGGCTCCCTCAGTGTCCTCAGTCAATTCAGATATTTTACTTTTTACAGTCATTTCAACTTTGGGGGACCGTCCCAAGGTAGATGGTACCCAAACCAGTGAATAAGATGGATGAGAACACAAGGTAATGTTTCCAGCAGTCTGACTTTCTGTTGTACGGGACTTACTGGAAACATTCACTGTACTTGTAATTATGCCTCATAAAGACACTGGAAAGAGGGCTTCTAGAAGTGCTTCACACAGAGGAAAAAAAATACTATAGGATTTGGTGCTATCTGCTGGTAATCCCAGTAGAGACTGAGATGAGTGTAGCTACAAGACGCCCTCAGTTACATTGTGAACTGAAGGCCAGCCTGACTTACACAGTAAGAGTATGTGTCAAAACACAGAACAAAAACAACAACAAAAAAAAGTTGTGAAAATAATACAGTAAGGTGTATTCGAGGTGAAGGGAAGTAGTTTGAAGCAGATTAATCACAATGCCTCTTACTGTAATAATCTTTTCACTTTAAACATTCATCCCTTTTTGGTCACTCCTTGTATCTAACATAATGCCTACTTTTCTGAACATTTATTTGTGTTTCCACACTGCAGCATGAGCTCCAATAAGACAGTGTTCATTTTGTTTCTTTGGGGCAGTGACTTAGAACACAGTAGGTCTTATAAGTGCTTTTCAAATAAATACATCATATTGTTTAACGAAAGAAAAGTAATTATGTCAGCACCCTAAACAACTGGATACAATGTTCTTCTTGTGTCTGATATCCTAGCACTAAAGTTTCTTTTACTGGGTATGAAAATTTTCTTGAGTTCATAAAACATTAATAGTTATGAGAAAAGTAAAATTGTCACATTTTCATGTTCTAATTCATTTGCATTTAGTAAAAATAATGTTTTCCCTAACCTTCAATTTTTGATAATGCAGTGAGGATGTTATGATTGCAAAGAGGGCTGAGTATAGATTGAATCGAACTGCAATTTAAAGAGAAATTAAAGAGTGAAATGAAAATACATTTTGACTTTAATCTTAATATCTTTTTTCCTTCTTGTTTGATTCAGTTTATTTCATAAATTTTCTAACAGTAAATATTGTGCTACTTTATTGAGCAATGGAGAAGAAACATTGTAAATATTTTTGGAATCAGTTATTCCAGTTACAGCCTCATACAAATGAAGACATTCCTGGGAAATTGCTGATTCACTTTAGGGTATAGCACGTGAATTTAGTTCCTTGATATGAAATGAACTTTTTGTTCTTGTCAAATTCCCAGAACTGGGAACAAACAAGGCAAGAATGGATATTTCTCATACTATCTAAAAACCTATATCATCCATAAGCATCACTCTCCTGTTTAAAAAATATATGGCATCTGCCCACATCATTCTTCTGGAAGAATAGTAATCGTACTCTAACTAGGAATTATCACTTTGTGTAACAAAATTAATTCAGCAGTCAACTTTATACAATTTCACAATTGAAGTAATCAAGTTGTTGGGCAGATTCTTTTAAAAATTGCCCACTACTTGTAAAATGTCTTACCCAGTTGAGCTAGTCAACCACAAACAATATTTAATAAAATCTGAAAAATGCAATACTTATCCAAAGTGCCTGGAAAGCAATTTTCACATCCACGTAGCTTGGGACTTACTAAACTTTGTTTTCAAAAAATTAATTAATGAATATGAATAAATATTACTTAACAGAGTTGCTAATTTCAAATTCCAAATATTTCTTAATATGAATTTATAGCTACAGAATTAAAGTTATAACATGTACAGTTCATATGGAAATGTTTGTATGGAAACTGTGTCATGAGTCAATTAAAATTCTTATTACCGTCTGCCACAAACAACCGCGTTGTTCGCATTGTGCTTGAGTCACAAAATCTGAATCTGGGTAACAATTAAACTTCTCATTTTCAGAGAAAACTTGATTCCATTGAACGGTAAAACTTTTTCCAAGGTTAAATGTGAGACCAGAAATTAGGAGAATCTTTGAAGACAAAAAAAAGAAAAGAAAGAAACAAAGAAAGAAAACATTATACACTGTTCGTTTAATGTGACCATCAATAATTTAAAGCTAACATTTTGTAACAGTTGGCAACTGAAGCAGTTCTTTGAAATCAATCCTTGTTTCTACATAATACTTGAACCACAGAAGAGAAAGAGGGAAAATATCATCCACTGAACTCTCTAGAACCTCCAACAGAGAAGGATTTGGCAGATTGTAGAAGTTGGATGAAAACCATTATCTGCACAATGAACAATGAGTTCTTTTCAGTTTTGCCATTTACTGTTCCCTAATCTTTGAAGAAATTGTGTATTTTGTTCTAACCCCAGATTCATCCTTTGTAAAAAGAGGATGGTGGGGCTGGGGATTTAGCTCAGCAGCATAAGCACCTGCCTTGCAAGCAGGCAGTCGTGAGTTCGATCCCTGGTACCGATAAAAAAAAAAAAAAAAAAGATAAAAAAAGAGGATGGTATTCCTAATAAAAGTAGTTGCTATGCAGAGCCAGTGAAATGTGAATTGAAAGCCTTAAAACACTACCGACAACATACAAGGTGTACAATAAATGTTTATTCTTTCAAGGAATAAACAGAAATGAAAATTATAATTACTTTGACTTGGAAGCTACTTCTGTTAGAAGGAGTAAATATACCCATTTAGTTACTGCTGTAGCTACTTGTCTTCACTGTTTCTGTGTATGAAAAATGAATTGATAGAGATAATAAACTATTTTGTAAAAAATAAAAAAAAATAGCTGAAATAGGGGAAGAGAAAGAAGAAACAAAATGTGTCAGAACAAAAGTAGAAAGAACATGTCATGAAGAAAAAGAACCTAAAAGTCAAGTACTTTAATAGTTATATAATATTAAATAAGAGTGATGACAATAAAGCATATTAAAAATTTTATATTTACCTTGTTGGACGGATCATAAGTGAAATTCAAGTGAGCAGTCATTTGTTGATTAGCTTCTCCTACTGTGACTTGAGTAACAGTGTCTGTTAAACCAAGGACTTTTATAGTTTCAAATGCTAACGTGGTTCCTTCTGCATATGATGAATGTGTACATTCAGCATTTAATTTATTCTGGTGAAACAGAGAGTATGCAGCATTACATATTAAGTTAAATAGTGACCTCCAATAATAATAGAATGCCAAAAACAAAAGTTATTTAACTTCCGTACCATCAGCTCTCTGCATGCAACTTGCTATTCTTTTTTGTATATATTACATAGATCTTTGATTTAAAAAATAATCTAAATTATGTATGATGTAACTCAAATATATGATCCTATGCAACTATATTTTAGCTTGATAGATAATGATGAATAATTTCATTTTGGCAAAAAGAATATGTAGAGTGATCCAGTGTCTGTGAGCATCGTCTCTATTAATTACGTAAAATTTAACTTGCTCTAGTTTATATCTAGATCTCCCCCAAAGCCTCATGCATTTAGAGGTGGGGCTTTGAGAAGGTGACTGCAACATGGGCATGTGATACTGGATCAGTCCACTACTGGATTTACAGCTGGGTGTGATGCTGGGAGATGAAAGCTCGTAGGAGGAAGAGGATTGCTATGGACAGGGTTCTGATATAGCCCCTCGCTGTCTCTGCCTGTCAGACAAGACTGCTCTTCCTCTGCCAGGATATTCTGCTACAATGCACTGACTTGGGTCCAGCCAGCTATGAACTGAAATCATTATAGGATGTGAACTAAAGTGAACCTTTGTTTAACTTGTGAGTGCCAGGTATTATGTCTCAGCAAGAAGAAAATAACTAAAACATTTGTGTACTATTTTTCTTTCTCATCAAAATCTAATTCTCCCTCTAAGCATATTAAAACATTTGAAACATGTTGAAGTTATGTTTGAATATTTTGCTTAAAATTAGACATTGTATTTTAAGAAGTACCGAGCATCAATTGTATGATAAAAATCATCTATTATGCCTAAATACAAAATTTTAACATGACACTTTTTCGTAACTTAAAAATTAAAATTAGGGACCTTAACAATGTCTTTCATCAAGGTTCATTGAAATCTAGAGATAAATTTAAACATCTTCCTAAAATAATACACATAACCTTGTAACTTGTTAATAATATCCATTTAAATATGCAATTAACTATAAGTCTAAAGAAAATACTTACATTAGAAACTGAAAATGTATATAATATATAGGTTCCACTTGTTATGGTATCTGAAGTGAAAAAAGTTATTAAAATATGCAATTAAATTATTTGACTTCATTTTTTAGTTAGCCATACAAATAAAGAAAAAAAAAGTTAAGAAAAGAGAAAGGAAAAGAAAAGAAAGACTATTTTCATCAGGGAAAAGATAAGTGAGGAACAGAAGAGAACAGAGCTCATTTATGATAAATGACTGAATGTTATCTAAATTACAGTTTGCATTGAGAAATAACTCGTATAGACTGGAGGTATAACGGGTACAGTATTTGTCTACAGGATTCATGGCTTTTGATTCATTTACAACATCACAAAATAAAGAAATAATTAAAAAAATTTTCTAGTAAACTATTCTATACAATAATTTTGATTTAAAATCTGTTGATAAAATCTTATAAATGCTATTTAAGCATATAATCTTTATTTTGCAAATCACGTCTTTTAAAAGAATTATTATTGTTTTTAGGTTTTAAAAATCTACATTTTCATAAATAAGACTAAAAATTCAAAAAAAATTTCAGAGGTTCTGTTTTCTGATTATCAAAAGCACACTTTTATATAGTCTTCTTATTCATTGGTATTATATTACTGATATTTACTGTTCCATACACATTTAAAGGGATATAGTACGTTCTTGCCAGAATAGTGAGCTAAAATGCAGGCTAAAAATGAATCTTTGTGCACCTATATAAAACACATACTAAAGGGCCATATTTTTTTAAAAAAAAAATAGAATGGTGAATTTAAATTTATGGGGAAAGCTATAAATTATTAATTAAATATAATCATATAAATTCATGTATTAATTAGACACATATTGGCAAAATGGGTCAATTTTAAGCTCTGCCTCTGTGATGTAATAAATTCTCCAGTCTAGTGCTGAAGAAATAAAACTCTGAATAATGGAAATAAATTATGAAATACTCTTGCCTCAAACATTTTGATACTAATTAAATAAAGCTTTATTTACCTCAGTTTTATATGTTTACAGTGATATAATTTTATCTTTAAGTAGTGGTTTCATTTGAAGTAGTTCAAAACTTGATATTATCTGGAAATTTATTAAATATTTTAATAAATGTATTCATTTGTCATAAAATATATAAACCCTTACCAAATATTTCATATTAAAAATACTGAGCAAGATATAAAATTAAATATATATGTGAAACAACTTAAAATTTCATAAAGTAATCAGAAAACTAGAACAATATTATTGATGTGATTTACATCATGAAGCCAAATCACTTCACCAGAATGAACATTTCAAGGCAGATCACTTTGAGACTTACTTGTAGTTTCCCCATCATCCCAAAAAAGTTCCCCTTTTGCTGCGTTGGCTTCATCCAATGCAATTATCAGTCCCAAAGGATTCTTACGACTATAAAATAAAATTCGGCACATGAAATAATAAAAAACAAATTTGTAACAGTAAATGTGCCCATTTCAGACTCTCAGATAAGTTCTGCATCAACATAACACTGTTATTTGTGACTTTATATGTATATGAATAATCTGTCATTGTTTTCAAGGTCATACTGAGATAATTTATTTACTTAGAAAATATAGTACATAAAATATATGTAATAAGTAAAAACTGTATTTTTGAAGGCTATAACATCTGTAAAATTGACAGTGTTTAACATTTCAATTTAAGCAAAATAAAAACATGGATATACATTTCAAACTGTATCACCCTAAATTGTAAGGTATTAGGTCTATATTTTATAAAGAAAATAATGAAATTACATAAAAATTTTAAAAATGTTTAAAGGGATGCCTGGTAATTTTATAAATGAAGTTAATTATAGCAGGAAAAACTGGATGTACATGTGTTAAAAATAGTTTCTTTAGTTGTAAATAACCATACAATACTAACCAGGATGTTCTAAGGTCTAAGACATTGCTGTATACAAAATACATTTCTTCCAAAACACATTCACCAAACTTTTTTTTCTTGCAAAATATAGTTGTACAATATAAACAATTTTTTGAGAATGTAGTGGAGAAACAGTAAACGAAAAGAAAAAATATACTAGTGACTTACGTTCATTTACCCATTATTTTTTTCCCTAAATAAACATTTACTGAAAAGAGATAACCTATTATGGATTAGGCAGTTTTATAAATTTGGAAAACAAATCTCACAATTCAGTTCCCTGTCTTCATGGAGTACATAGTTTAATTGAACACAAAAGAAAAAGCATATAAGAAAAAGTAAATAACAATTTCAGATTTTTTTATGGTTATAAAGAAAGCACAGCATGATAAGAAATACAATTACCATTTCATGGACATTTGCAAAATATGGGAAAATAGGAGAAATAAAAGATGTTTTTATGATTTTATATTCACAATAAAGTGCTGTAAACAGAGCATCACAATGTTTAAATTCATTCATTTTTTCTAAATATTGCTTAGGTTTACTCTTGCTAAACAAGTTACCCTTTTTCTTTATCTAAACTGGAATATCCACTCGCTTGCCAGTTTAAAAGTAAAACATTTTAAGAGGAAAAACGTGAAAATTACATTTTGAAAATTTAAATATTTAAAGCCCAACGTATGTATCTTTCAATTGTAAAGTAAGTGCTGCTATTTAATACTTTCTGAAAAATTAGAGATCATTTTCAGTGTTTTAGATTCTTCAGAGAATATCAATAGTTTTAAAGAATACAAGTAAAGATTCCCTAATATACTAATATTCATTTGGAATTGGGGTTAAAAAATGTATCTTGTATACTTATTTATATATAAAAATATAGTATATAAAGTATATATAATATATACTTAATAACACAGAGTTCATAGATAAGAATTATATTTGCATATTGAGTACCTTGTGGTAAAAAGTTAAAGTTAAATTTCTGATTCTTAACAAAGACATGAACTATTAATACAAATTTCAGATTTAAAGTAATAGTTTTTCACTTTACCTTGCTGTTGTTGTTACATCAGGTTGTTGGATGGGGATGATGTAACCTCCTCTAAGATGTAATCCTATTTTATCTGCTGGAAGATACATGTTCACCCGTTGTTTTCTCCATGGTCTTTTTGCACCCTAATATTTGGAAGATTATTTTTATAGCTGGTATCTTTAAATGCTATTCACAAGAACTTTAATTTATACATTAAAATGTGTTTTATACTAAGTAACTTATGTCAAAATGAATATGATATTATTTCTAAGAAGTGAAATAAATTATTTCATGTAAATCATTCTTTGAGTGTAATATATAGAGCAGAAGAAAAATAAATTTGCTTTCTTTAAAATGTAAACTAAAAACAGAAATTAATTTCCTTTCTAGCATAATCATCAGTATCTTAATTAGCACGATTTTTAACCTTTGTTTTAAAGTCAATCTTCTATTAATCACTATTCTGCATTCTCATGTACATTTTCAGCTTCAATACATGAGAAGAAATGTGCTAGTTTTGTCTGGCTTATTTCATTTGATATATGTCCTCCAATTTCATTATTTCTGTGCATCGTCAATAGTTATTGTGAATAGTGTGGCAATAAACATAAGATAGCAGGTATCTCTTTAATATATTTACAAAATTTCTTTTAGATAATTCCCTGAAAGCCTACACTTGGGTTATATTGTGCACTATTTTGTTTCATAAGAACATTCATACTGTTCTATAATAGGAGGAGGAAAAGACAGAGGTTGGATAACATGTACCCAAATACAATTACATACAATTAAAAATTTAAGTCTTCTAAAATACAGTAGTGTGACTATAGTTAACCATAAGTCATTACATATTTTAAGAATGACTGAAAAAACAGAAAGGCTACAAGCTGAAAAAAAGTGATAAACTTGAAATGTTACTTGAATTTGATCTGTACACAATGTATAGAACATGTATTAAAGTATTAAATTACCAATCCCATAAATACATAGAAATAAAACAATATATAAAGGGCAAAGAAAAGAAGGTGCACAAAAGCTAAACAGAACTACAATGTCTTTAGACATTTTTTAAAAAGTCGCAGTATGAAAATAAAGGAACTGCTTAGCAAACACAGGCAATATATGAAATAATGTTTAAGTACTTCTTAAGAGACCATGTTCGACTGAGAAAAATGGATTGCGTGCATGAATGTTTATGTTTCCTTCTCAAAGTTAAATTCAAAAGATTTTCACAAATAATTCAACATGAAATATAACACCAAATATCTAACTCAATTTCTCTGGCAATACAATACATATGTAAAATGGAGAAAATATTGAAATAAGTTGTCACTCCTTAAAATACTACTTGTGCTTCATTTTAAAGTCATTAATATGACTTTATACTAAAGAATATCACTTTATGTTAAAGTCAAACTCATGTGCGACAGACAATATATTTATACCAACTTTTACAGTTCTCCCACTGGGAAATATTCTTTTGTGTAATATATACAGGAGCCTTAAAGACAGAGTTTATTTCCATGGATAGTTGTTTGAAAATATAATATTTTTATAGCCTCATAGATATATTTAGGTTACTTACAGTTTCATAATCATACCAAGTAGCATCAGGGATGTATGCACTCACTGATTCTGCTCCCTAAATTGCAGCAAGAAAATATAGATTCTTTAAAAAGTTTCAATTGTTACCAAAATAATTCTTCTCAATTATTTTGAGAGAGAAAAATTATCAAGAGAGAGAAAAAACTTTTTTCTGTATTATTACAATGCAGTATTCACAAATGATAATAAGCAAATATATAAACATATATCATACATAATATGTATGTATGTATGTATTTCAAAAACAAAGCATCCACATATTTTTATTGTTACAAACCACAAGGTCATTGAGATTATAAACATGTGGGTTTCTGTGTACTTCCACGACACAAGGATATTTTAAAAATAAGAATGATATATTTACTGTATTGTTTTTTCAACATTTTGTTACAATCGATGGATTTTAAATTTTCTTTTATTGAAAATTTAGCAAAATTTTTATTAATATTTATGTCTACCTGAGAGGTCCTTAGTATTACTAAAAAATTTAATTTTGATTAAATAGTTAAAGCTTTTTTAGGGAAATACTAATGTTTTCAATTCCTTTAACTTATATTACATATATATGGAGGGTTTACATATATTTAATATTATTGTAAATTTTAAAATATCTTCTCCATTTCCGAACTTGATCAACTATTTATCAGTTTGAAACAGTTCATTGAGCAACGTTTATTACCTCAATGCTTTATGATTAATTTGGGCACACTTTCTTTTAAAACTAAATTTATTAATTTGCAAAACCTACCTGTTTCAAAACAGGCGTAATGAGCAGTGCAGGGCCCCACAAAAACTGGGTGTCCTCAATCCAGCTGTTTGTATCTTCATAAAACCTAAGAATAATAAAAATGAGAAATAGCAATACAAAATTAATACATCCATATTCTTTGATTTACCTTTTGAGGTTTTCCCTAAGAATCATTATTAATGTTAATTTTAATTCTTTAATATGTCATTTTGAGCAAATACTTCTCACCTTTTTATGCCCTCAAAAAGAAATGTGGGAAGGAGGAAGGAAGACAGGGAGGAAAGGGGAGAAAGAAGGAGAATTTCTGTTCTTCTACAAGCACCTACTACAGGTAGTATTATTATTATTTTTAAGATGAAGCTGTGTTATTTAATTTTAAACATTGCAATTAAATTCGTTTCATATGAGTGACATAGAAAAATGATGGGGAGCTGTGATGTAAATACTTCAGTTTTGAGGTCACACACAATGCCCAAAATCCATTGGGCAGGTGACTCTCATGAAGCGGATGTCCATCCCTCTTTGTTTCATTGTGTCTTCTATCTCTTACCCTGTAATCTCACAAGGAAATTTCTTGGGCAGTCTTGTCTAACATTTTGGAAAACAAGGTGGCTTTTCTTACAGTCCACATGAGACACAAGATATTTGTTAGCTTTCCCAGAAGAAATTTGTAACAATCTTTATATTTATTTTTCTCCTGTAATCTATGTTGGTAAACCAGAGAAATTGTTCACACTTAACTTTCTTTCATTTACAAGTTCCACTATAGTTTTGCAGTTTTGATATAGTTTTGAAAGAGCTTTTAGGTAGTTTTTGGAAAGAAGTTATGCATTTTCTTGTCATGATGGACAGGAATAAGGCACAATTAACTTTTTAAAAATTACATTAAATAATATATAGATGAATTTATAATATGCACTTAACATACTTTCAAAAATTTAGGTGTAATCTTTGTCTTAATTTCTTCAACATTATTCTCATTGTTCTTGTAATTTATATTCAATTTTCACATTTCCATATTAATTTTGTCTCTCTACCTAATGAAGTGTAGTATATTCATTATATAATTCATTACATTATTTATTCAAATGTAAAAAATGTGGTATACATATCCTATTTTGATCTATCTGTATTAGTCTTTTAAATACACATCTTAATATCCTTAAAAATATTGTTCTTATATAAAGTACTCACTCAAGAAGGAATGGCCTGGCTACTGTTTCTCCAAACCTGTGAGCTCTATAGAACAAGGTGTACAGGAAAGGTAGCAGGGTGTAGCGAATAGTTAGGTAGTGCCTTGATGTCTTGACCAAAAGTGAATCCTGTCCAAAAAATGCAGGATCTTGATGCTAAGGGATACAAAGAAATATTAAAATGAGAAAACTAAATTATGAATGAAAATTAAAATAGAAACATTTTAAGTTAATTTAAAAGCCAATTGTATAAATGTGTTTGCCTATAAAGTTAAAATCATCTCTATTTCTTTATAAATGTTTGAATATATGCAGGTTTTGTGTTTCCATTTAATCATATGTTCTTATGAACTGTTACTTAAGGAAACATTTCTCATTTCAATACATAATTAGAAGAGATTTAATAAATTAACAAAATAGAGAATTTCACCTGTCAATTGTGACAAGACGAATTATTGGCTCCACTTTTTATGTTTCCTGTACTATGTAACTTTCAAATTTCCACAGCTAAAGGAAGACCAAAACTTTGTGCTCAGCCATGTGCCAATCTTTGACTAGGGAGGTTACTACATGTGACACATTCAAGAAAACGTTTAAAATGTGATTACTAGAAAATTTGCTGTCTTGTGGTTCTCCACTGCCATTAGAACTAGTTAGTTACTGGTCCCAGGTCACAGGGAGAAGAGCTGACTAAGCAATCCCCAGATTTATCCCTGAGTACATCATTCATAACAAGCCTTGTAGCTCAACTAAGTAGCTAGAAACATTGATTTCCTCAACAAACATGCACTGCCATGAGAAATAATACATAGGTCATCTGTTATTGATAGGATGGGTCATACAAGTTACTGAGGGCATCAGCCACACTTCCCTGGGTCCACCCTTAATCTTATACTGAAATTGCATTTCCTTTTGGCTGCCATTCATTAAATGAGAATAGTGGAAATATAATGCAGAGCCTTTTCCAAAAGATGTAAGACTTGCCATACTTAACTCTTGCTAGTACTGGAAAAATGTCTCCATTTTCACATTGTGAAACCAGGCTGTACGGCAGTATGTGCATGATTCTCCCTGTCAAATCACTTTCCTGTCTCAGCTTTATAATGCAGAGACCTGAACTGGTTTAAAGTCTGGCACTGTTTTCCAATGCTCCTTCCTCTTTATCCTTTCCAAGTATTTTACCAATAAATCTCTAACATACTAGATCTGTTGAGACAGATGTTTTTGAAGAACTGAAATAAACAGGAAATGTGTAATATAATTTGTATCAGGATCTCTTATGTAGGTTCTGCTCAGAAGTGTCATTTGGGTGGATCAGGAAGTGACTAACATCCTATCATTTTGCTTCTTTTAATTTTGTTCTTCCAAGTCCCCCTACAATTGGAGCTGAGAATTTGTCCCCTTCTCAAATAGAACTAAAGCTTTTGCAGCAATTTCTAACCAAAATGTGCTTCATTGGCTTACTGATTTAATTAAATTTTATCATTATCTCTGGGGGGACAAAAAAAACTATGCGGATGGTTTGAGAGATCACAAACCCAAGTTCTGCCTTAACTAATTCTGCCTTAAAATGCTGCTGCTGATGATGATGGTGATGATGTCGGTGATGCCTGAGGATGTAGGTCAGTGGTAGAGCTCCCTGGATTATTCCCTCAAACTGCCAAAATAAGCCTATGAGAGCCCACAATCTGCTGAATTCAAGGCAGGCTGCATAGCTTTGTTCCTTATTTCCTTGTACCTGTGCTCCTACTAGTTCCGATACAAGTTTTGAAAGTATTACTTTCGTTTGATACTCACGTATTTATTTTAATTTTGTTTATTATAGAAAGATTATGGTTTCAAATTTTTTCCAAGTGTTTTTTTTTTTCTTAAAAGAAACAAAAACTGGAAATATTTGATAGTATATTATATTTTGATTAAAGAAGAGTTAATAGAAATTCACATTGTTAGAATCCGAGAAACCATCCAAAAAGGGCTTTCGCTGTAACCTAAAATAGTAGTAACAAACTTGTATATGGTTTAAATGTAATGATAACTCTGCCCCTTTTTATGTTCAAAAATATATTTAGGCATCTAGAAGGGGACTTTCAACTATTATTTATTCATTCAACTTTATTATTTATGAGCTGTGCTATAATGTTCCAAATAGTATATTTTATAGATGCAAATTCAATTACATTATTAAAATGCGGTTGTGTTTTATTAACAAGGAAAACAAAGGTTGTTTACCTGATATCCATCAGCATTATGGTTTCTAGAAAATGGATAAAATGCCCCAAGCTGCATCCATCTTCTGCAAAGCTCTTCTGTGGTGTCAGCCACAAATCCACAGATATCTGCTCCAACCTAAATAATAAATATTCTATTATCTATGCTGCTTACATTCTCAGATTTGTATGGAGCACATTTTATTATCCAACTACTTAGCATTATTTTTAACCTCATTTCATTCTTATACTTTCTAATGCAATTTCTCTTTTTTCTAGTATTACTCCATCGTTGTCTCTAACCTCATTATTTTATTTACGTCTCTTTATGGTCATTTCTTAGCCTCCTTATGTGCCAAAGACCTTTCAAGCACCATTCGATCTCCTGCATCACATGGCCCAGAAGGCAGAGCTCGAACAGCAACCTGGACCTGTGGCGGAGTGTTTTCTTGCTCTGCACCCACTCAAAACTATGCAGGCCAGAAATCACAAGAGGACAGTAAACATTATGTGTCAGTGCTCAGCGGGAGCTCAGAGCAGAATGCTTTATAGCAGACCTTGACTTAGACATTCAGCATTCAAAAATGAGAGAGAAAGAAAGAAAGAAAAAGAAAGAAAGGATAAGAAAAAGAAAAAAGAAGAAAGAAAGAAAGAAGATAACAAGCATGTTTGTTGTCTATATGTATGAAATTGCCTTACCAAAGGCATTCCAAACAAACCAAACTCCAGCATTCCACTGATAGACCATTCCATCTGTTCCCACGAAGCAGTGTTATCTCCTAACCAATGTGCAGCATGCCTGCCGCTTCCAGCAAAAGTTGACCGAGTAAGAATAAAGCTTCTCTTATTACTAAATACTTTTTGAACAGCTCTAAAATAAAACCAAATATATAATAATATTTACTTTAAAATAAATTGATAATTAAATTATTAAATAAGTTAATAATTAAAAATATTTTAATTTCAAATATATACTTAACTATTCTCAAGGCTAAATCACATTTAGAATTGCTTTATCAAAGCTTTTTATGAATTTTATACTTAACTGCTGGCAATCACTTATTTAAATGTATTCTGATTGATCACAGAGAAAGGAAATTCTTCATATATTATTAAGAATTTTTTTAATCATTTCATTTATCTTTTACCAAAAGTACATGATATCTACTCAGCATTTGAACTGAAAATGTATGGCTTAAACACCCTGAAATACTTTCATAAATATAATATTATAATCGAAATTAAACTCAATATATACCTTTCCATGCAGTCACTATTCTTTAACCTATATTTTCAAATACTACAAAGCAATGATGGAAATGTTGTGGTAGTTTCTGGGAATTTTACCAGCACACACAATTACTAGCATTATTCAGTTTACCTCTCTTGGTACCCAGCATTGGTAATTTTCCATTAATGGAAAATAATGAATAAACATTACAAAAGTGTAATTTAGTATATGATGTTATTCCAAACTATCTTCTTGAAAATACATTCTCTGCCTTTGTACTACAGAGTCTATCATAATGAACTAAAGAGTGTTTTTTTTTTCTTTTTAAAATTATTGACTTAATTGTAATATGGCATATTGTACTAGTAAAAGAAAACATAGTCTGACATGAACAAAATTTTTTCTGTGTAATTTGGGACTGGAGAAGCACTGATTTGTATTAACATTTGATCACAGTTACAGAGTTAGGAGAAAATTATAAATTTTGATGAGAACAAGTTCTCAGTTTCACTAACCAGTATGTTTGGAATCTTACTCGTGAAATAACAGATAACATATGATGATCCCATACTTTTATTTTTTGTCACATTCCTTTTTGTGTACAAGTATCATATTCACTAAAACATTACTTGCCAATCTACTAATTAGAATCTACAATTTAATTACAACACTTGTTTTTAAAATACAGTCAGAGTCCTGCACTAGGAGCATCATTTTGTTAGTCCAGCTGTGAATTTCATGACCAGAACACAGTTATATTCAGTTATAGCAAACTGAATTAAAGATGTGATGAAAATTTAAATGTATGAATTAATATACTTCTTCATAATATACATACCACTTAATTTTTGATAACTTTGAAATTTAAGAATATTAGTAACAATTCCTTAAGAGTGACATAAAATTTTTGTGTGACACCTTCTCCTTTCTTACCTTTTTTACATTTGCTTTTTCAGCCTACATATGAAAATTATGTCTGAATAAAACTGAACTTACTTCTCTGTGGCTATTGCCATGCTGTAGCCATACAGGCTGTGGACATCATAATGTTTTCCCCACTTCTGCACCGCGTCCATGCAAATTGTTTTGGAATACATAAGTTTGTCCAAAATGTCTTGAAGAAAATACATAAGAAACATTTCTTAACAAATATATTGTCCTTTTAATAAGTTTATCTCTTTTCATGATGTAGTACAAAATATATTTCAAAACCTAATGAAAGGGTAATATTACTTGAGTTCCAGTTAGGTCCCTACATGTCACTTGTGTTGCTGGAAGAAAGATTAGCTTTATACTTACATTTGTAAGCACTAATATGTTTTAACTTTAATAAGAAATAAATTCATTAAAAATAACATTTAATATACATATAAAAATATACCCGTCTGTAGTATGCATCAGGTTTGTTTATATATAGTTCTGAGTTTGGTTCATGAAATTTCTGCCTATATCATGTCTCCAAATTTTCTACCTATTTCCACTTTCAGAAGATTTAGTGTTTCTGTTTTGCTATTTAGATCTTTGGTCCATTCTGACTTCAGTGCATGATGATAGACAGGTTCTAGTTTTAAACTTCGGCATGTGGAGAGCCAGTTTCTCAGTACTATTTGCTAACGAGTCCATGCTCCTTCCAGTGTCAAAGATAAGGTGACTGAGTGTATTTGTAGCTGTGTCTGCGTCAGTGGTTCTAATCTGTTCTACTGATTCTCTGTTCTTTTTTTTTTTTTTTTTTTTTTTTTTTTTTTTTTTTGACAGTACCATGCTGAATTTGTCACAGAAGATTTGTAGTAAAATTTCACATCAAGGACTGTGATCTCTTCTTTCATGCCTTTGTTGAGCAGAATTGCTTTTGCTACTATAGATCTCTTCTGGTTGCAAATGAATTTTAGGAATGTGTTTCTCTGATAATACTAGGTCTGCCAATGGTATTTTGATTGGAATTGCTTTAAATCTATATAACAATTTTGTTAGTGTGGCCATTTTCACTATTGCTTTTCTTCTACCAAGTATGTAGTGACCTTCTTTATCTCTTTTGATCATTCTGAATGTTTTGAAGTTCACATTGTCTGCAAACAGAGTAACTATTCCACATTTTAGGTGTGACGGAGCTCTTGCTGAAAATTTTTTTTCTTTCCTTTTATTTTCGAACTATGAATTTCTTTTAGAGCTTCTTATATATCGCATATTGTTGAAATTTGTTTCTTACTACATTCTGCCTGTCTGTTTCTTTTTCTTGGTGAATTGAGGCCACTTACATTAATTGTTAGAACTAATATGTATTGACTTATCATTGTCATGTTATTTTCCTGGTATTGGTTCCCCTCTTTTCCCCTGTTTAATTGCTTGCCTGTCTACTCTTTTGTTCTTGAACTTGTGATCATTTTTATTTCTGTCTACAATATTTCAACATTTAAAAATTATTTTAAGATTGTGTTTTAGAAATGCATGCTAGAATTTAGTAGTTAACAAGACAACTATTCTTCATTAATCACAATTAGATAACAGAAAAACCTTTACCAGGCATGTAAGGTGGATAATTCCAGTTGTTTTTGTTACATCCCTCCTTTGCACCTTGAATAAAACTAGAAACTTCATTCATGTCCTGGAGAAACATAACATAAAAACAACAGATTTTAAGTATTTATAAGTCAAAGGAGCAGAAGTTTTTACCTGTTTAAAAGGCGGTTCCTTTACTTTCAAAAGACAAGTAAGCTGTAACCTAAAAACAAACATTATTTATATACCAGCTAACTTGGCTTCTGAGATGGCACTGAGAGATTTTAAACACTCAACATACATTTCAGTCACTTCACTTTAACAATAGATGCAACATTCATTTAAGTTTTAAATAGATGTCTTTCTAAATAGTTGTCTCACTGTCTATCATTATAGCACATTCAATCACCATGTTATGGTTGGGCTGTATTTACCTAGCTTCTATGATGTAGTAGGAACATTGCTACTAGCAGTATTTGCCTACCCCATGGCTTCTAAACTCTCATGAGAGAATAAAAGTGAAGATAAAGAGAGAAAAAAAAGCAAAGAGCTTTTAATATTCTGTGCAAAAACAATGTAACCTCATGGAATTCCTGAAAAATGTTCAAGAAACTATGGATTACATCCTCAAAACACTGTGAAAACTAGAAACCTAAATATCATTTTAGAGATAAAGTTGGTAGAATACTGTATGCATGGATTTGATAGCCATTTAAACATAGGCCCCAATTTTGCTGTGTCACTTGTTATATCACTAGAACGATTTAAGTAAGATTCGAAAATGGAGATTGCATACAGAATTTTATGTTACAACACACGTGCTGAAGAAATATGTATTTCTTCTTTCTTTTATGCTAAGGACATTGAAAGACTTCTATACATTTCAAGACTTATTCCTGACGTCTCTGTTATAAACTTTCTCTGCTCTCAAAAGAAAATAAGCAACCACATAAATTACGTCCTTATCTCTTCATTAAATTCCCTCAAAGAATATTTGTGTTGCTATTTTCTTCTCCCATTCAAATCACAACCGTATTTTAAACAAGTTACTCTTTGCCATGGTTCATTTCACTTTCAGAGATAGAGAAGATCTCACAGATGGAAATATGACTAGTAAATGGAAATATCGTTAGTAACAACAAAATGCTGTAAGTAGAAAGATGCCTATCATTGCCAGAACAATGGATAAATAATGAGAAAATGATATAATCTCAGATTTTCATTGGCAAATTTAGAGGATGAAATTAGGACCAAAATCTGAGAGTTGCTTTGCAGTGAACACAGCTGACACAAGTGCCACTGCAGAGTGTCCCTGGGCCACAGGATGAAGACCTCAACCTACTTCCATCAACCTTCAAGTATTTCTTATCACCTTAAAAATGTCTGTGTGAACTTTGCAATGGTTGTATATATCCTTTGTGCTTTGATGTTTTGTCTTTCATATTTTCCATATCTTCAAAAATGGTATTTATCACCAAAAATGGTATTTATCACCAAATTTGAACAGAAAAGTAAAAGTGAATCACTGACAAGGAGATTTGCATAGAATTTAATTATAGTGTGAACTACACTTAGTTTGCTGAAACCTTCCTAAATACTGCGTTTTTCTAATGCCACTTACAGATAATGTCACACAAGTTCAAGGTTACAGAAGAATCTAAAGTTACCCTCATATGCTGTTAGAGGTGGTACTCAAGACAGAAAAGACAAAGAGGTAAATGTCTTTCTTCAAATGTGTTCTAATTAGTTATGGATGAGGGAAACGAATGTAGTTATTCTAAAATATAAAAATATCTAAACTTATTCCAGGAAGAGAAAAGTAAACACCTTTCAAAAACCAGCTATACTGGGATTGGGAGGAACCAACCAAGAAACCAATTAGCCAGCCTTTCTGGTGAGCCATGCAAGCTGCACAGGGTCCAGGAAAAGTCAGACAGTGCCTCCCAAGAGCCTACCAGTGAATGGTGGAGAATCAAACTCTGCACCCTCCATCCCCCTTAAGTGACCGCTGGTTCAGAGGGCAGGCTGAGTTGGTAGCAATGGAGGTAAAAAAAAAAAAAAAAAAAAAAAGGAAGTAAATGCTTGTTGTTTGGTTGATTCTGTAGGCCTGGTGCCAGCAATCTGAGCATCTATTGGCTGGATGGCAATATCCAGAATAGCAAATATAGGGAATTTCCTTCTGTCTTGCCTTAGATATTCAATGTTGTTCTCACTGTTTTGCTTTGTTCTGATGAACTGTTTTGCTTTATTTAATATTCTGTTTTGATTGCTTTTTTCTGTTTTGTTTTGGTGTGATTTTGCTATATCTGAATAGAGGAATAGGCAAAGAAATAGACAAATATTGTGAAGATAATAAGATATACTATGGTAGCCATTGTTGTTTTGCTAATATGCTGCTTTGAAGTTCTGTACCAATTTTGCTGCTTTGTTCTGATTGGCTTTGTTCTGTTTTGTTTTGTTGGATTTTATTATTTTTAAAATTAAAAAATCCAATTTTATGTGGTGGTGTTATTTAAAATTATCTGCAATATTATAGTCAATTTTGTCTATATTCCTTAAAATTAATAAACTGTTGTACTGTCCTACAGAAAATATTTGGATATAACCTAAGTTTTCGTTTTCGTGAATTTATCAGCTAAGCTGTATATAAAAATTAGTAAATCTAAGTAACTGTAGTTTTTTAAAAATGCATAAAATAATTTAATTTTTATAAAAATTTACATGAAATATGCAGTTAGTACAACCAAAGAAGCTGCCACTTATTTGTACATACAAAGGTATATGATACAACTTTCAATGAATTGTTTCAAATTTATATATTATATTTCTTCATTTAAAACTTCTGTTAATCCATGTAGCTGAACAATAAAGTGGCTTACCCTCATGTGCAAGGTGCTGGGTTTGATCCCCAGATCTTCCCCAAAATAAATAAATTACTAATAACAATAAAAAAGCCAAGAGCATGATCACAACATATGTCTTTGTGATCAAAACAATGGAAATTGCCTTGAATTTTAAAAATATTGACTAGCAATTTTATTTTGAAATCACAGCTTCAGCCTTAATTAAACCAAGAACAGTAGGCTTATTTCTCAAGTAATAAAGTATCTGAAACAATTAAGAAAAATGATTTCAAGTGTATTACGTACTTTCTAAATATCTATTTTCAATTAGTATTATGCTCACATAATTTGTCAAAGTGATTTCAATGTTTAAATTTAAAATGCAAAACCAATGAATGGTAACTAAAATACAAATATAATACACTGAAGAGTACTTTTAAATTTGACATAAAAATAAAACCTTATCAGTTAGATAATAAAGTTTCTTTAATTTAATTGTTATTCTACCAGGAAAAATCATTGAAAGGGAAAGTATAGAGAAGCAACCTAGCAGCAGGTATTGGAATTAGTCAATAGTTAGAAGCAAAAATAACCACAATTTATTTAGAGTATATATTGATTTACTGATATTTTTGAATGTTGAAGCCATACTGATCTTACTATTGTGTATTTTAATTTTTAGAGGTAAGCTGAAATGTTTATGTATTGAGACTAGTGATACAAAAGCTGTGTCTCTCCTAATGCTGTTAACCTCCTTATCCTCTTTTGTCTCTTGAGATGAGTGGGTATTTTCAGTGATGTAGGAAATGGAGTATTCTCTCTACATACAAACAGATCCTCTCACATACTGTAGTATGATAAATCAAAAAGCTTTTACAATCAATATAAGACTGCAGAAAATTAAAACTAATGAAATAAACCATCAAAAAAGCTCAAGATTAGAGGATAATTTTTAAATTATTTATTACTATAGCTATATACAAAGAGCATACTTTCACTGACCTAATGTTTGAAAAGAAACTAAAAATCTTTTTGTTCTTTTTCTGTTGATGCCATCATAAAAATCCTAAAAATCATGTTCTTTACTAAATGCCATTTTGTAAATAGAAAACATTACTTTCTCATATTTGCATCTTGTTAACATAATATATAGGTATTAGTAGTAAACATATTTAAAAAACATATTTAAAAACATATTTAAAACATATTTTAAAAATATTGATTAAATAACTAATAATTAAACTAATAACTAAATAGTTCATAAGTACTTCAAGAAAGTACAAATAGTATGGACTAAGCAGTCACAGGAGATAAAACATCTACTTGGTCTCCTGTCAGGATATACAGTTAGAATACTTTAAAAAAAATCTTTATTGTTTATTTTGTGTTCAGGTATATGAGATGTTTTTTACAAAATGCAGATCTTGTGGGTCAGTAGGTGATTTCATTCCTCAAGTGGAGTTACAGTTATCCTAATCAAAATATCTAAATTCTTGACTATCAGCAAGCCATGAATAGATGGAGATTAAAAACAAAAATTCCTCCAAAGAAACTTTGAAAAGCTCCGACTGTTTTCTTTAAACATCTTTACAAGTTATCTAGGAATTTGTTGGTTGTTATATTTTTACTGGTTTTATAAAAAAATTGAAACAAAACAGGAAGTAACCAGTAAATCTATATACCATGTATTATTCAAATATTTTCCAAAATTACAGTTTCCATTGTTTTTTCTCACAGTAAAATAAAACCTTTTAATAGTTTTGATTTGTTCTAGTTCACTAAAATAAGAATTTCTAAATAGTGGGGGGTTATTCACATCCACATGACTATTACTGTTTTATCAACTTTCATAAATGATATTGAAATGTGATTGCTATAGGCTCACCCCCACACCTCATTATCTGGTTTTTAGATAAGTTGTTCATCATAAATACATGAAACCTTAGCTACAAAATTGAAGACTGTTTTCCTTTCAAGTTCATTACTCAAAAAGTAAAGTTCCACTGCATATATGAAATTTTATTACTAACTAAATTATGAATGTGGCAATTATGACATTTACATATTCTAGAAAAATATAAGCTTTTAATTTATATTAACCACATTTCATGAATAAGTAATTCATGAAAAATAATAAATGGCCATTGAATAAAATCACTAGTATAAATTGATACTTACAATCCAAATTCCATCATAGTTCACTTCTTGATGGAAAATGTTACATTCATTTGCCCACCACTCAATGCAGCTCGGATTAGTGAAATCAGGGAAAACTGTTAATCCTGGCCATACCTAGGTGAACAGATCACATGTACATGTGCATAAATAAAAAATTAATAAATAAAATTTCAAACTAATTAAAAAGCATACTAACATTATTAGGATTTTACTATTGTGCATTTTTAATATATAAGACTCATCCAATATCTATATTGAGAATAATCTCAGGCTAACAGACACATTTAAGGAAAGCAAGTTAAAATAAGTAGAGAAAACCTTGCTCCTAAATCATGTAAGAGACAAAAAAACCATACAAGAACAATAAAGGAAGTTATTATTTTCTATGACAACTAACTTTTTTTGGAGCAACCTCTTAGTTTAAATTGATCACCAAACAAAAATAACTATGTATCTAGTCCAATAAAAAATATATATTATTGCTAATGCATTTGTTTCTAATACAGTCAAGGGGAAAAAACCTCTTTTCATATTGATTTCTTACCAATATATTTAAACAAGACTTTTAAAAACTATGTGTTCCAGTATGATAAAGTATATTACTTCATTTCCAAAAACATTGGTTTTAAATAAATTCAAGGGAAAATATTTTTATACTATCAACCATCTTGAATTTGACACTTAATATATGCCTAGTGCTTTCCAACTAATTCATAATTATTGACATACAATTACTGGAAATTTAGGAGGTACATATTAGTTTTATCATCATTTTATAGGTCACGTAAGTACTGCATTACATCCGGCTTGAATTTGAGAAAGATAAGGCATAGAGAAGCCAAATAACTTGTTCAAAGTCACTGTGCTAATAACAGCACAGCAGGAATACCCACCAAGGTAATCTCATGCCTGAGCCCACTGCATCGCAAAAGATATACTGTGCTTTAGCTTTGCAATTTATGGTTCCTCAGATTATTTATATTATTTACTTGCTACTTTCTTTTTTTTTTTTTTTGCTACTTTCAAAAATAGCATTCAACAAGAATAATTCAATTTTAGATAAGTTGAATAAATTATGCTAGTTTGTACTGAGCATCTGATCTGTCTACAGTTAACACTATAGATCTTAAAAAATTATATTCCATGAAGTCTCATTAGGTATTATGACAACAATGTGTGCATCTAATACAGCTCACAATATTGAAGAAAGTATTCCACCAGAATCTTAAGTTTAATGAACACGATAAAAAGAGAAAATAATTTGCATTATTATAATGATACAATAGATATGATATTTAGAGTATATTATCTCTTCTTGACTTATTTTGATTAAATCACAGAAATAGAATTACCAAATCATTACATATAGATTTTTTAGACGTTTGTGTCTTAGAAAGTTATCACCAAAAGAATACTTATTCTAAGAATATACACTTGTGAATAGAGCATTCTCTGTATTCTGTTCCTGATTAGTTCTATGATCACTGTTTCACTTCTCATGAAACAATATTTTTTGATCCCGCAAAGAATTTCAGTCATAGGTTTTTCATTATTTTATTTCATTATTTTATTGTCAGAATTCAGTTTATGGTTACTCAGTTTATATTTGCCATTATTATTTGTTTTCTCTTTTACATTCTTTCCTTCTTTTTACCTTCTTTTTATCCACAAAGTTGTTAGTATTTTGTAAGAACCTACGTTATATATCATAATTTAATATCTTTAACTTTTTAGTTTTTAAAGTCATACGATGGCAATTTACTTTCTGTACAATTTAAAGATTATTGGATTATTTTGTCAAAAATTCTCTCAGCAAATAAAACGACCAATCGAAAGATGAAAGCTACAGAGCTGTGGTGATTGGTGGGAAAGCGGGTGCGTACAGGCTCCTGCTCCAACTGTTCTCTGGCTCTGCAGTGACTGGAGGGAAGTGACTGCCCTACCTATTCCTGCTCCATCCATTAACCAGCCCGAGAGACCAGAGATGTGTGAGAATGCCCCGGCACATTAAGACCCCACTTAGAGTGCACGGGATGGGCAGGCAGGACTAGCTGTGCAGAAAAAATGTGAGACAATAGCGAAATACGAGCTAGCAGGTGACAAAGTAGGTGAACCAGCCCTGTGCTTGAGAACAGGGATAAATGGACTAGAGGCAGGCAGGAAGGACCACCCCCTTTGTCTTCTCTTTTCATTCTTTTAATATTTTAAATTTTTATTTTTTTTCTTCTGTTTTAAACTAATGGGGAGAACTCCATCCACAGAAAACCAATCCCATCTTCCAAATCCAGAAAGATCAGACCTAAAACCTGCACAAAATCACCTGCAATCGTGGCTAGAATACACATTCTGGGATTAAACCTTGACCTACCACAGAATTGTATACAAAAAGGGATTCACACGACTTTTCTTTTATTCTGTCTGATGGATTTTCCTCTGGGTAGCTGGCTGGGTTGGTTTGTTTTTGTTGTTTGTTTTGGCTTTTTGTCATTTGTTGCTGTTGGTTTTATACTTTTTTCTTTTCTTGTTTTCTTTCTGTTTTGTCCTGCTTTGTGATTCTTACTGTTTATTGTTTTATTCTGTGTGTGGTTATTTTATTTTCTGTTTTACCTTCTTTGCTTTTTTCAACTTCTTTTTTTATTTCTTTCTCTTTTCCACCTTTTCACTGTTGTTCATGATTTAGATCTCTAAACTTTCCTTTTGCTTTATTTTACTGATCCTCTTCTTTCTCATCAACTGTCTTGCTTGATTTTGTGATACTTTCCTTTTTATTTTTTGGCCTTTTTCCTTTCATATAAGGAAACATTGCCTCTTCTCTCTCTGGTTGACTTCAATACTCCTGGTAATTGTCTTTCAATCCTTTCCTCTTGTGTTCTACACTTACCCCAAAGGTGGATGATTTTCCTATGCCCTTCAGCCTTGCTCCTACTATATTTAACCTCATTCTCCTCTCCATTCTATCCCCAACCTGTTCACACACACACACACACACACACACACACACACACACACACACATATACACACGGTAAAATCACTCTACTAAGTGGAATATTGTTCCACACAACCTCCTGGTCTAAGGTAGGTTATATTATATAACTGTAGAACTTGCTTCTATAGCTAAAACTATCAGGCTAATAGTTATCACAGTATGTCAGGAGCTGGACTGTTTCTGAGTCTGTTGTTATTATACCTTTACTACTTTGGCCAAGATATCATATCTGTTATAATCAGTTTTTTCTCTCCTGTATGATAACACTGCAACTGTGAGGATCATAACTATCACCATAGTCCAGTACCAATGGAATAGGCCTTGACTATAATAGTTGAAAAATCTTCATAGGAAATACATTGGGAAAGTGGTTTCTTGGGACAGACATACAGATGAAGAAAGACTTACACCTAGAACACATCTTGGGGACCAGAAACCATCTGGGGAAAAACAACCCCAGAGATATCTAATATAAAAAAATGTACAAGCGTCAACACAGAAAAAAAAGTTTAAAAATACAATCAACTATGAAGAGAAGAATAATCAAAATGCAACTACAAACACACAACCCACCCAGGACAAATCCAGAATGCAAAGAGATAAAGGAAATCAGGGGCCAACCACTGGAAATCTCTGAAAATATATCAGTGAAAATGAAAAAAACAAATGGAAAAGACCATAAAAAAAATCTAAGCAAAAAGAAATGACATTCAAAATAAAGACCTTACAGAAGACACAGATTTGAAAATAGAAGAGGATTGGAAAACCATTGGAACAATGAATGCCCAACATAAACAAGAAATGGAATCAATGATACAGATGCAAAAAGAAAGCTAGGAGATTAAAAATTCCACCATAACCAAGTAGGATTCATCTCAAGAATGCAGGATGGTCCAGCATATACAAATCAATAAATGTAATATACCATATTAACAGAAAAGAGGACAAAAATCACATAATCATCTCAATAGATGCAGAAAAAAACATTTGAAAAAGATGAACACTCATGCATGGAATAGAGAATATTGATCTTAACCTGATAAATCCATCTATATAAGCTTCAAACTAAATAGACAAACCTGGAAATTTTCACTCTAAAATCAGGAAAAGACAAGGACGCCCACACTCTCACCACTTTTGCTCAATATAGTTCCAGAAACATTAGCCAAAGCAGTTAGACAACAGATGAATAAGGGTAGAAAAGAAAACAGTCAAATTATCATTATTTGCAGACAACATGATACTCTACATAGAAGATCCCAAAGGCTCCATCAAAAAAACTAGAAAAGCTTCATCATCATCAAAGTGAAGAGACAACACACAGAGTGGAAAAATAATGACAGCCAATTGTTCTTCAGACAAGGACTTATATCCTGAGCATAGGAAGAATTGGAAAAAATCAAATTCCCCAAATTCAAAGACTCATATCAGAAATGGGCATCTGAGATGAACATGCACTTCTCAGATGAAGGAATAGAAATGGAAAATAAATATATTTTAAAATGTTCAACTTTGGAGAGATGCAAATTAAAACAATACAGATTCCATCTAATCCCAGAAAGAATGGCTATCATCAAGAAATCAGCCAATAACAAGTGCTGGCAAGACTGTGGGAAAAAATGAACCCTTCTCCACCTTTGGTAAGACTGTAGGCTGGGATGGAAATCAATGTGGAGATTCCTCAAAAAACCAGATTAGAGGTTCCATTTGTCCCAACTGTTTTTCTTCTGGTATTTTCCCAGAAGAATTAAAATCATAATATCACAGCAATATATGTGCATCCATGTTTATAGCAGCACAATTTGCAATAGCTAAATCTTGGGAACAACCCTAACATCCAAAGAATAAATAAAAATAAATAAAAACAAGAATAAATAAACAAGAATAATAAAACAAAGAATAAATAAAACAATCAAAGAATAAATAAAAAACATTTTTATATGTAATGGTAAACCATTCAGCCATAAAGAAGGATAAATTTGAGATTTTTAATAGGTAAATGGATGCAAATTTAGAGTATGCTCATAACTGAAATAAATCAGCTCCATATGTGTGGTTATCATGTTGTCTCACTAATGTAAGACACTGAATGAATAAATAGGATCCAACATATACAGTAGCTGTTAGGAATATGGAAGAAACTGTCCAAAAGAAAAGAAAAACTGTGAAGGTAGGATGGGGAAAAGAAAAAGTGAAAAGAAATGTAGACAGATAGATATAGATAATAGATGATAGATAGATAGATAGATAGATAGATAGATAGATAGATAGATATACAGACAGATGCAGAACATAGTTAACAAGCTATACAACTAGTATCTCTTAGCTCACTGAAAAGAAAGGTTTGTGTTAATATATTTCGGACAACCCTGCATGCCTATATCTTGTACTTTGAACAACGCTTATGAATATAACAATATGTAATGTATCAGTTATTTATACTCTGTTCTCCTGTTTTGAATCTCTTTTTTATTGTTTTTTAAATTTTTTAATTAATGTAAAACAAAGATGAAAGCAAAAGCATGCACACACAACACACAGTTTGAGAAACTTAGAAGTAACAGAATAGGAAATCAGAAGCAGCCGCCATCTTGGTAAGGGTTCCTGGCGCCAGCTAGGAGGAGAACCAGTCAGATGTTCATGTGAGCCTACTGGTGTGAGGGCTAAGAATCAATGTCTCTCCCAACCCCGTCAGCAACTGGGAACAAAGTTCTGAGCATCTCTTGGGAGGATGACCATATGCAATATAGCAAATATAGGGGATTTCCTTCTATGTTCTGTTTGAAGGCAAAGATTATTTTCACTGTTATGTTTTGTAATGATTGTTATGCTTTATTCAATATTCTCCTTCAATTGGTTTTACAGTGGTCTGTTATTGGTTTGTTTTCTCTATACCTAATTGACTGGGCAGCATTGTGAAGTTAATGAGATATACTATAGTACCGATTACTACTATCCCAGTGTCTCGCTTTGAAGTTCTATACCAATATCACTACATTGTCTTGATTGGCTTTGTTTTATCTTGTTCTGTATTTTTACTACACTTTAAATAAAATTTTTAAAAAAGGGAATAAGAAGCATACAAGCTTAACAGATAACGTAATTTACCTCTCCAATCAGTGGTGTAGTCTCATCTGACTGATTTATCCACACATGTTGTTCACTTCCTCTGTCATAAGCTCCATATGCTGCTCCATTGGCAAGTTTACTTATAGCAATTGCAGGGTCCTGACAATAAAAGGAGAAACTACAGAAAACTCACAAATTTATAAACATCAATATAAAAATGTTGTAATGTACAAAATTTCATTACCAAGATGATAACGTATTTCTGTCCGTGATTGTGCAAATCTTGAACAAAGTCGGGGAGCCCATTAAATGCAACTTTATCATAAGTAAAATCTTTCTTGTCTTCCATATAGTCAATGTCAGTCACTTGTGTATCCTAAAAATTAGCACAGTATGTTTCAATAAATAGTACTGGCAGAATTCTCTAATAGTATTAATTTTCACTCAAATGAACTTGTGTTATAAAATTAATAATTTAAAGGTAAGTTAATTCATATTCCTTTATGTCATGAAAGAAACAATGGAATTACTTGTAAAAATAGTTTTTCTAATACTTAAATATTAAGCATTAAATGACCACTTGTGGTTTTTGGAGATAATTATTTTAAACATTCATATGTACATACGCATAAAGATAGAATTACTGCATAGAAAATAAACTAAATATTTGAACAGTAAAACAAGGTCTACCTAAAATATTAAATGTGATTTTGTTCATGGATAAACATACTATGTTCCAAGAAAAATAATCATTGATCGGTTCTTCAAAAGTACACGTGTAACTTTTGATGGCTGTGGGCATTGATAAAATGTACTTCATTATTAAAAGTAGCATTTTAATCATATATGCACACTAAAATACCTGACAGCTACATTTATTCTTACATGTCAATATTCAACATGAGGTATGTATTGCGGCAGTTCCTTTATCCCACTTACGTATGGTATGCCAGCCTCTCTGTTTCTTCTTACCACCTCTTTCACTACGTCGAGTGACTTGTAATTCCAGCGACTCAGTTGGAATCCGAGACTCCAGTATGCCGGCATTGCTGGTAGTCCAATGAACTTGAAGCAAATAGATGTTTAATAATTTTATATGAAGAGAAATATATCTGACATTAATAAATAATATTAATGGCCTTTTTATGCTGCTGTCTCTAGTATTATTTAACTAAAAATTACAAACAAAAATTTAGCATTATCCTCATTCTGTTTTTTCTTGTATGTTTCATTAAAATTTTGTTAATAAACAATTAGAAATTTATATTGTCATCATTTTTTATTTTGTTAGAAAGTGCAGCACTCGAGAAAATAACAATTCCAGATGCTATTTTATTCATCATGGGAAGTTAAGTGAAAACATAAAAGAATAACAACAAAAAATAATAAAAAGGATACTGTACTGTCACACCCTCACTATTTTGATCAAAACTGTGTATAATCTAGACCATTACTTGATATTTTCAGTGTTGAAAATTAGATTCTTCAATTTGCTTTATTTCCTCTAAGTTGTCAATAAGCAATGATTTAATATGCACTAATACAAGGAATCTAACTTCTGAATTAAGCTGCTTTGAATTAAAATTATTTTAAAAATGCAAACATTTGAATGTAAATAATGTTGTATACAATATCTATAGAAAAGCATAATTTACTCATATCTTTAAAATGATATGTTTTATGATGGCATTTTGATGCACAACTGTAATCCTACCACCTGGGAGGCTGAGGCAGAAGGATTACACTCATGTGTTCTGCTTGGGTAATTTGCAAGGCCCTGTCTCAATATAAAAATGAAAAAAGGAATCAGGATACAGATCACTGCAAAAGCTCCTACTCCAATGTCCAGTATCCCAAAATGTAATATTTGAACTACATTTAGCTACAATTCTCCAGATACATAAAATAATATTTAAATGTATTTAATAATTAGAAGAAGAAAATATGGCCGGAGATTTAGGTCAGCGGCAAAAGCGCCTGCTTTGAAAACGCAAGGTCATGAGTTTGATTCCCAGTACCAAAAAAAAAGAATATTACATTAAGAAGAAGAAAACATAATCCAAAACAGTTTTATATAAAATTGACCTGAAACACACCTCTTGATACAGTTTAATTACTTGGTCTGGTGTATCTCCTAGAAAGATGTAAAAGTCCAAAATGCCACCAGTAACTCTGTAAGTTACTATTGGAGTCGGCTGAATAAAAACCTCTACAAAACAAAATAGGGAAAGCACATATAAATAATAAAAAGATAGCAATAAAGTAACAGTGTTATATAAAGTACTTATTGTTAACTATATTATTTCACAGTTTTAAATAATTAAGAAAAATAAGCTATTGAGTGCATGAATCAATATCTTATTGATAGGAGGCAGCCTCGTATAAAGCTCATGGCGGGAAAGCCTGGAATTTCCTCGGATAAGATTGCTAAGGGCTCCCCTGGAAACTATATAGCAGTACAGAAAGACTTGGCACAAACATGACTTTTCTAAAATCACCATTAATTATTTCAAGGTTCTCTGAAAGACTGAATTGTTATAAATTAATTTCTATGACAAAACTTAAAAGTTTTAGTTTAATTATTTTATATGCAATTGGCTAGATAACTATTCCTTCTAGAATATTAATCTTTGCAATTTTATTATCACTATTTTACTTATTAGTCTATTCACATTTTAAAAACCAAAAGAATTTACATTTCTTTGAATCATAATAAACTACAAATTGCTCTTGTTTTTATCACATAGGGACCTTTCTCTTTCTTTTTAATGGTAGTAGCCTATTAACCCATCTTGACAAAACTGGAGGTGAGAAGGGTGATCACCAATTTGTATAGTTATGCTTCTACATTGCTCCTAAGGGCAAGGCAAGTAGCTGTGTGTTATAGTGTAGAATACTTTGCCCAAAATAGAAACATGAATGGATAAAATTTTATTGTCCATTAATTTCAAATCTTCTGGCACTTACTATCTACTACTGGAATAAAGAGAACATTTAAATATGTCAAGGGGAATCACATGATCAAGTAAATTACTCTTACCCATTGCATTGCTATTCATTAAAAACACACCATATGACCTTCCCGAAGTGTCTTCAATGCCCATGAAGAATGTTTGATGGCCATATAAATTATGATTATTCTATAAGGTAAAAACATAAAAATTAAAATTTCATGTATATTTGGAATCAAATTGACTATGTTAAAAATGTTTCAATGGCCTTTGCCAAGTACTTATTTCTATATTTTACTTCATTTTTATAATAATTTCATTGCTATATAATAAACATTGTAGCACAAAGCTTTTTAATTAATAATTTTGTGTGAATATAATATACAATTTACATTATATTAATAGAGTACTTGCCATTCCTTTTGCTTTATCAGAGCTAAATTACTGTGATACACTATTTATCCTAACTAATGTGCTGTTCTCTTTTTGGATGTTATGCATTACTCACAGCACACATAGGTGGCTATCTCGAAAGACTTTGTTGAGAGTCGATGAGGAGCTGAATTAGTGGAGGCCACTTATAAAGACACTGATGAAGCGAAAGGAAAAAGAGTTCTTAATTGATTTCATACAGGATTTTATAAGAAAGAATATATGGAAAAGAAGTATGAAGTTCTCAGCCTGTTATTTAATATACAGAGCAATGATGTCAAAACAGAGTTGGGAAGAACTTAGTAGTAGTTCTGTATCGAGGAGATTTTCGTGAAGAATTTCTCACATTCATTTTTCACAATGAAATAGCCAATGATAGCATATATATACATGCATATATATGTGTGTATACATATACACATATATGAGTTTTGTTGTACTGAAATGTGAAGAATGGGTAAGAAAGCAATAGGTCAGTTCAGAAGTTCTTCAGTGATGAAAATTCAGATATGCCTTCAAGAATATATTTCATGAATGATAAGCTATCTCAAGTTTCAGGGAGAAAATCAACTCTTTGGCAAAAATTTGAGGCTACAGAAGATGATCAGATAGATCAGAAAGAAGAGCACAAAAGATGGGTGAGATGATGCTCCAAACCCAGGAATACTCTGTATCATATAAAACATGGTATTTGGAATTATTCTAGCTTAATGAGTCTAAAAATACAGGTGATTGCAAAAGGAATAACAAACTGTGAAAGTCAAAAAAGAGAAAATATTTATAAACTGGAAATACCTATTCAAAACTTCATAAAATATTAGTAACTAAGTTTAGGATTTAGCTTTGAATCTTTACCCCTCAAGTAAATCATCTTCTGCATTTGTTTCACTAAAGGTCAAAAAACTTAATTTCTAACAACTGAATGCTGTATAATGGTTTTGTTTATATGTAGCAAGAATTTCTCACATCACCAGGAAGCTCGTCTCGTGTGAATATGGGCCACGTTTTCCAATACAAATCATGGCGAAATCGCTTATGAATATGTTCCCCAAAGCCATAAATATATTCGCTGGGAAGTCTGGTTGAAATCTGTAAATACTGGTCAGAGTAGACCAAAGGACCAATGCTGGTATCAAATCTGAACCAAGAAATAGAGAAATAAATGGTATAGAAACAGACAAATTTTCCATCAAATACGTATTTAGCTTAACATCATACAGAACATTTAATTTCAATGATGTTAATCTTTGTATGTGGTCATGTTTTAGAAAAATACAAATTTTCCCATAATCAAAATTTGTTTATTAATCAATATAGTTTTTCTTCAAGATCATGAATATAATGTTTCCACTTGCATTCATTTCTTTATTCATTATGACAATCCTAACTCAGAGATAAAATTACTTACTGTTCTATGGATAATGGGTACCAAAAGAATAAAACTGGGCTTTCAAAGAACACAACTAGCAGACCAAAGAGCCAGGTTTCAGATATTGGCCTGGATCCAGGGACTCAGTTACTAATCTAGCATTCTATTTGCTTTCATACCTCTCACATATATACTACAATTGACCTCCATATCATTTTCCACAAAGGAAAACAGTCATATATTTTATGAAGTTAAAATCTTTGCTACATGAAATTTTAAACACCATTGCTTGCATTTAATAATTTTTTCATTTGTTGGCAAATTATAATTTCATATGTTTATAAAGTACAATGTGACACTTTGATATATGTTATGGAATGATTAAATCAATCTAATTAAGGTAATTATCACTCCATGTATAATTTTGTATGGTATGAACATTTAGAGTCTATTCCCTTAGCGATTTTGAAATATACATGAAATTATTGTTTCCTAAACTCATGTGCAAACAATTTTGAAAATTTATTCACCTGTCCAGCTGTTTGACCAAAATCTCACTGTGATGTACTTAGTACTAACACCATCTCCAGGTGTTAGCCCTAACCCTAACCACTGTTACACCCTCTGATTTAGATTCTTCTAGATTCTACCTGTGATATTGTATTTTTATCTGTGTATTAGCATGGAGCCAATTGCAAAAGTATTTAAATACTTTCATAAAACACAATTTGAGATTTAATTTTGACTATTGCTTAACTAACATTCTTGGGAATGCAAGAGCATTTAAAAAGCTTTCCAGGGAATTTCTTAATTCCTTCTACCTGTTACTCCATCATCCAGCCAAAAGACTAAATGATGCTGCCTGGATTTAATTTAATATGTATAAAATATTTTAATAATGTTGTACAAATTAACACATCATTGAATATCCAGCATTTAATTCTATGAGTTAGAAGCACGATGTAATAAATATCGAGGTCAACATACAGTAGCAATTCTACATTTACAAAAATATAACCAAAGCTATAATTATGTCAGTGATTCTCTTTCCTTTCATATTTAGTCCACATCAATTGGTATATTTAATTACTCATGTTTCAGTGCCTTTCATGAGCAGGAAATAGGATCCTTTTATCATCAGAATCCTTACAGAGTGTTGTACCAACTTTCTCATTAGAAAAAAAGTTGGTCTTTCTGACAATGTTGTTGAGATACTCTTATTCCATAAAAACAGAATAAAATGGACTAGTTATTTAAATTTGTATAATTGTAAAATAAAATTCCTGCTTACAGAGTTTTGCTGTTGCTTTTCCTGATAACTTTGATGCTGAAAGGATTTTCCGTAACCTGCACATCATATAATGTTTCAGAAGCTGCCGATCCGGTAAATGCCTGTACAAACTGGTGAGGAACTTCATATCTTTTTTTATTTGGATCAGTGATCTGCAAAGATTTTAATAAATTATCTTTAATAAACTATCTTATATGGCTCTTTAAATGTTTATCTTTAAATGTTTGTTCCATTTAAAATTTTTGAATTATAAAATGCAAGTTCAAATTAACAAATAATACATTTAGTAAATTTATACAAGAGCCCTTCATCTTGTCACAAACTAAATTTTAACATTAGTGAGCAGTTGTGCACAAACAAACCTTAAAAATTGCTAAGAAATAAAAATATCGGGCTGGGATTATAGCTCAGCAGCACAAGTACCAGCCTGGCAAGTGCCAGATTCTGAGTTTGATTCTTGGTACCAAAAAACAAACAAACAAAAATATATACAAGAAATAAAAATATTGGGGCTGTGAAAATAACTCAGGGGCACAGTACCTGCCTGGCAAATTCGAGGTTGTGAGTTTGATTCCCAGCACCAAAAAAAATAAAAATAAAAAAATAAAATATTGAATTAGTTTTAAGAGTTTTGTATATAAAATCAAGTAAAGAGTTTCATAAGTTGATAAAAACTGAATGATAGCAATGACTAACATTGATTATTGAATGGTAGATGCTTACAAACTTGATTACTAGTGCTTTTTAATTGTCACAGAATTTTTAATTCCTTAGTGTCGCAGAACTTTAAATTTTATTTCAGTCCTTCAAGCTTGGAAGTGTAACTGGGTTGATCACTTATCTGACAATGCCCCAACATTGCATAAATGCATAAATACATGAAATTTTAAAACCGCATAATTCCTATGAAATTGTTGGTAAAATGAAAATGTAAAAAGAATTTTTCACCTCCAAATTTATAAAAAAGAGGGAAACATATGACTAATCTACTTGCTAAAAGCAGTAAGAATTAATTTTTCAAAATCAAACAAAGAGCCAGGTATTGTGATTCACACCTGTAGTCCCACTATGTCGGTGACTGAGGCAGAAGAATCCCAAATTCAAGCCTCATCTGGGCAACTCAACAGCTTATAAAACCTTATGTCAATATAAAACATAGCAAAAAAGCTACAAATGTATTTCACTGTGAAAGTAGAGGGTTCAATAACCAGTACCCCAAAATAAAAACATAAATAAAACAATGAAGTGACAAAGAGTAAAATATACAGTGAATATAAATTACATTCTATGACACTATTAACATTTTTCTCATTAAATTTTAAATAAGTACTCCATCATAGACTACTGTTGAAATAAAAAATACTACTATACATACTAACCTCTCTTAAAATAGTTTATAAACACTTTACATGGGCTTTATATATTAAATTTTTCAAAACTCAGTAGGGGAGAAGCCGATGATATTCCTGCACTCTATTTGAGTAAACAGCTTTAAGAAGTATAATAACTTAAACAAGTAGTCTTTTGCTTTAAAATAAATATTTCTCAAGAAATAAAATATAGATAGGCCAGAGAGTATGTTCATGAGATACACTTTTTATTAAACCTTCTTTAGAAATATCAAAAACCAAACCTTGAACCGGAAACGATTGGGTGTCTGATTTTCAGTTGTGAGGAGTACATTGTTAATGTCATTTCCAAACAGAGTAGGAGAAGATATCCTATTCAGATTGACTTCAAGTCCTCCAATCAGAAAAGAGAAAGCATCCACCAGTTAACTTTTTAAATAAATATTCAAGTGTTACATATATTAATATCTATGTTTATGTATTTATCACAAATAATGAGTATCTTTTTAACTTGAAAACAACCATGTTTGTAACCCACCATGAAAAAGTTAAATACTCACTACTGTATAACCAATTTACACATTTTGATGTACATTTCATTTGATTCTATTTAAGATATTTCTCAAAGACGACTTTGATATTTGCTTTTCACTTATAGGATATTGAATCACGAGGAAGCATTTCTCACCAGTGTTTGTTGTTGTCCTTTTATCCACCCTATAGCCATGATTATCTACAAAGAAGCACCAAGGCACGACAGAGTCATTCCATGGCTTCCAGCAGCAGCCTCGCTGGGCACAGGTGGCCTGACAAAATATTTCGAGTAAAGAGTTTGATCATTGTTATCGTCAAATGTGCGAAACGCTATTTTTTCAATGAGTGAATGAATGTTTTATTTCTTCAGATAGATACAGCAAAATGTCATTTTTTATTCCTTTCACTGGGAAGATATAAACACAGTGAATGAATTGAATTATTACAGGACATCACATAGTTACACTCTGAGTTTTGATTTAACAAATGAGTGATTCCATGCATCATACGGTAAGCACATATTTTTTAGGAGTTCCTGGCCTCTGAGTAATTATAAATTACTTTCTTGACAAGGTATTGATGGAGAAATGCTATTTGAAATGCTATTTTCTATTTATATGTCAGGAATATGGTGAAGTCAGCAAGCCAAAAATGTATACCTGTATTAAATCTCACATAAATTTTTAAGTGACATGTTTTAGAGGCTTATTAGTTTAACAGTTAAATATTTTACCCCTTCCGTCTAGTTTATATGTCAAATGTCACAGCTAATTACTTCAAATGCATTCAAGAAACAAAACAAAATGCTAAATTTAGAAATTTTACTATCTGTATGGAAAGATTATGTATGAGTGAAAAACCGTTGGACAATAGGGTGCACTATGCATTAAAATGTATTATTTAACCAGGTGTGGTGATGCATGCCTTTAATTCCAGCACTGTAGAGGCTAAGGCACGAATACTGACACAAGTTCAAAACCAGCCTGAACTACATAGCAAACTCAAAAACCAAAAAATAAAACAAAATATTATTGAAAATTAACCCAATACTAAAATTTAACATTGTGCTACATTTATTTCTTGTAATGTAATAATTCTTTCTATATCTAATAAAAATACATTCAAAGAACCTTATTAAGCCAAATAAAGTAACTTTTAAAATAATTATTAGTACTTGTGAAATATATAGTTGTCACATTAGCATATATGTACAATACATCTTAATTCCTTTAATCTCTCTCTTATTTTCACTTCAAATAAAAATGACATTTGATACACACACAGCACCCATACATACATTACACATACATATACACTGAAAAGACCAGTGGAATTGGATCTAACAATTCTGGAGTGTGGATACATATGAGACTCTAATGTATGTGCTACATTTATGAGGAAAATTTTACCACTAGCTTACCTATAAAAATATTCTCACCATCACAAAGACGTTGTTATACAAAAATTGTTATTTACAGAAGCTTTCTAAACTGGATTTTTAAAAAAAATTAATGCAAGTAAAATGGTAGAATTAAATATGGATGTAATAATTTGGAAGAGTATAAAACTAGTTGTAAAACACTAGAGAAAAGAAATAATCACAGTGTAATTACAATTTGACAAAATAAAAGCCAGTAAAATACACTTAAATTAAATTTCCCAAAATATACATTATTAGTTATTTATGCCATGATTGTTATGGCAGCCCTAAAAAAGCAATGACCCTGGAAGCTAGAATTCTAACTCATGATGTTAGAAAAGTCATGTTGCTTCTGAAGGTACAGATAGACCCTAGTAGCTCCTAGCAAACCTTGGCATTCTTTGGCTTATAAGCAATCTCTACCTCCATCATATGATTTTCTTTCTAACTACCTGCATATGGCCCTCTTCTCATATACGAGCACCACTTCATAATCCAGTATGACTGCACCTGAACTAATTACATCTGCAAAAACCTGTGTCCAATAAAATCACATTCTGAGAATGCAGGTAGAACCATGGAATCTTTTTAGAAAACATAATTTAATTCACTGTATATACAATTCAAAGCATTAGTTTTAGACTACATACTCTCTGTTTTTTAATTGGTATTAATTTTAGTTGGTTTTATAGAGATTTTGTTATTTATGAAAATTTAGTTGTCTTGGTCAGTTTTTCTGCTTCTGAGACAAAATATCTTATACACATATCTAATGCAGGCAGGTTTAATTTGACTTAAGATTTCAGGGGTTCAGTTTATGGCTGGCTGGACAAAGAGACAGGCATGATGACAGAAGGATGTAGTGTAGTGAACACACTAATTTCATGATGGTCACAAAGTCAATCACAGTGAAAGAATGACAGAAAGTGACATTCCTTCCTAAGACATACACCACTAGCAATCTACCTCCAATTGAGCTGTTTCCAATGACACATATGACTGTAAAGGAATATACCTTTCCCATGATCCAGTGATTCTCCTGGGGTATCTTTTCTCTGGTCAAATTAACAATTAACAGGCGCAAGTCTACCCCTTGAACGAGCACTTAACCATATCTCCTTAAACCATCCTTAAATTCCAAATAAATACAGTAACAAGTTAATAATTCCACTTAACAAGATACAGCTATTGTGCATAAAAATGAGCCCACAAAGTCTCAAAAGTTCCAGCTTTGCTGGAATACCATGCAAAGACTCCTCTGAGACTCAAGGGTGAAGTTGTACAAAAAACCCTCCGTAAGAATAAAAATCAAGTTACATATTCTCAGGATTAAATGACACAAGGTTAACATCCTCTTCCAAAATGGAGAAATATAAAGAGTAGAAAAGAATTAGACAAAACCAAGCAAAACCTAGAAAATCAAAGAATAATTTCTTCAATTCTAGGACTGGCATCTGAGACACAGAGTTGGAATATGAGTTGTGGGAAGCTTGGGCAGGCCCACACCCATGACAACAAAAGTTGTAGCTCATGTGAATTCTTTCTTGGGCTAGCTCCCTTCGCTCCCTGCTGATTTTGACAGATGTTCTGTTTCTGGAATCTCTGGGGTCTTGTTGCAGGTTCAAATCCTTTCCCACAGCTTCAGATATCCCTTGTCATGGATGCATTGCCTGGCTTCCAAGGTCTTCTTTTGAAACCTGTGTAAAAGCCTCTAAAACCTCATAGCTGTTGTGTTCTACATGTCTGTAAAACCTGTACCTTAAGGATGAAACCCTTAAGGTCTGCCACCAGTTTGAGCAGTGGCCAACCCATCTTGGACTACTACAATGTCCTCTGAGTAACCAAATGATTGAGTACATTGAAATCAGTCTTGGGCCCAGCAACTCTCTTCTCAAAGGAAAAGTTCACACTTTTGCAACTCTGAGCCTGCAATAGGTGGAGCCTAATAGATTTCCAAAATTCCCTTAAGGTATTCTTCTGTCCAGGTGAAAAGTACTTAGCGTCTTTTTAATGACACTAATCTTTTCAACAAATAATACATTTTTTAGACCCAAGTTTGCACACGCTTCTATGTGAGCCAAATTTTTCAAATCTTTTGTCTTTCTCAATTCTTGCTCTAAATCTAGTTTAAAAAAAAAGTATTAAGTAGTACACATACCACAGATTGAAACTTCCTCCACCAGATTAGTTAGTGCACTGCCTTGAAATTCAACTCTCCACAAATTCTCAGGCTGTCAGTTCTCTCTCTCTCTCTCTCTCTCTCTCTCTCTCTCTCTCTCTCTCTCTCTCTCTTTTTCATGAGTGTAATACATATGATCTCTTATTCAATTTCTAATAGAGCTCTTGTTCCTATCTGGGACCTCATCAGCCTGGTTGTAACTGCTTGCATTTCTATCTGCATTTCTAGTGTTCTGAGCTCTGACTGCAATGACCAATCAAGCTCTGTGTACAGGCAACTTAGACTATATCTATAAACCAGTCCAAACTCTTCCTGGAAATTGGTTCCAATGGCTTCTGAAACACATAGTCAAGTGTACTCACAGCCACGGTCCCACTTCTCCTTTATCAGTTGTATTCATGTGTCTGTTTTCTCAATGCTGAATGAAATATCCAACTTCTGTAGTTTAAACAAGGAGAAGTTTAATTTAGCTTACAGTTTCATGAGTTCAGTCCATTGTTGGAAATCTCAAAGGAAAAAACTTCGTACTGGGTATATGGAGGGGCAACGCGTGGCACTTCATATCCAGTAAACAATACACAGGTGAGGAGCACAAGCTGTAATTATAGCCTCTGCAGGCGTAATCCCACTTACCCACCTCCAAATGGGCCCCGCTTCTTAAAACCACATGTAAATATGAACATCAGTGTCACCGATCACCATAGTACCAACATGATTCAATCAACTCTCCAGGACTCTCTTAATATAATCAAGTTGAGAATTAAGATTGACTAGCATAGTTATTATTATTGTCCAGGATTTTAGAAATTATCAATAATATTTGTCATTCCTTATCTAACATCATGCTTCCTTGTGCTTTATTTGAAAAGCCACAAAATTGAAATATATTAAGTGTTCATCAATAGGTTTAAACTCTAGAAAGTAAAAATGTGATCAGTATGTTATTCTTCATTATACATGTGTATGATTATTTATATATATATTACTAAAATTAAAGTTTAATACATAGACTAGTACATATTGAATTGGATAATTGTTATAAAGTGAATCATATTCCTCTCAGATTCATGTATTGAAATACAAACTACCAGTATAACTAGATTTGGAGGTAGGACTCTTAAAACAGTATTTACAGTGAATAAAGTCATAAAAACGGGCCCATAGTGCAGTAGGTACATTGTCTTTATAAAGAGAGTTAAAAATAGAAATTTCTCTCTATGTTATTTTGCAAAGAAAATACAGGATGACACAATAAGAAGCAGCACTTTACAAGCCAGGAGTAAAGACCAACTCTGATGGCATCTTTATCTTCACTCCTCACCTCCAGAACTGCAAGATAGTAACTGTAATTATTGCATCTTCTCAGTCTCTTGTACGTTTTCACAAGACCTGAGCTAAATAATGCATTTTGGATGAATAGTTACTGTTTTAGAAAGTACCATTCTGTTATGGTTTGAAAACTGGTGGACAACTTAACGCCAGCTGGATTACATCAGCATGCATTGAGAGAAGATGCTCCACCTGAGGAGGGTTGCCAGGCTAAATAGGTGGAGAAGAAAGGAGGTGTTGAGAGGGATTGAGGCGGTTAAGGAGGCATTGTGGGTTCTCCTACGAGTTGCTGTCTGAGTTGTTGGTTCTCCTAGAGAAACTTTTGTCTTCACATCGAGCATTGCTTCCTGACTCCGGAGGGGAAGACATGTGCTGCCTGGCCTCCAGGATGAACTCTTCACGCTGCTTCCTGGCACGTACCCGACTGTGCTTGCTGTCAGAGGAGCTCGGGGCCTTTGTGTTGCTGAGGACAGCTGTGGTGCTTTCAGGATAGCCCTGGTCTTTGTTGTGAGTGTGACTTCTCGGCTCCAGCGTAGAACCCTCACCCCACTAGCACAGTTCCTTCATCCTGCTGGCATGGACTTTCTGGCTTCCACCGCTGACCCTTGGGTCCTCCCAGCACTGATCCGTAAATGAGACTGGCGTGAGTCCTTCTCGTGAGCTCTGGACCTCCAGTTGGACTCGTGGGAGGCATTGTCCTGAGCTCTGGGTTTTTATCTGGACTCATGTGAGACATTGCTGTGGGGTTTAAACTCTTGACTAATTAATCTATGTCGTTGGTGTTGCAGATAGATTTCCTACATTCTCCTGTGTTAACTTCCGGTGACCATTATAAAAATATTATAAACTCCATGTCCTGATCTGAATTGTTCTCTGTGTACAACCCCTGACTACAACACATTCTAATTACGCATTCCAAATTTTCTTACTATAAATCAATTTGTGTGCATGCTTTTAATAATTAAAAAAATAAATCATATATGCAATGTTTAGTATAATCAATTTTTCTATATCTATAGCTATATCTATAGCTATAGCTACATATCTTAAAGAATTATTATACTTAAAGTTTAAGGAAAACAATCAGTTTTAAAAATTCAAATATCGACCAGTTCTTCTGAATCATAATATTTTTTAAATGCTATGATTCTCATACTTAGAATTTTAAGTGTGTATGTATCAAGATAACATATCATTTTTACCTATTCCCTTGAGATTATGGAAACACTTGAACTGTTTGAAGAAACTTTTCAAATCGTAGTCAAAAAGTATTTGTTAAGTTACATAACTATGCAGAAAAAAAATTTTTTTTGTGTCAAGATCAAACCCAGGACCTTGTAATTTCTAGGCAGGCCATGTGGCAAATGTTTAAAAACGTCAGTGAAGGTCTGGGGATTTAGCTCAGTGTCGTAAGTACCCACCTGGCAGATGTGAGGTCCTGAGTTTGAAACATGAAAAACCTCAGTGAGAACTTAAGTATAAGTTTCATTTGAAATTTGCTACATCTCCTAAAGGGATAAAACAAAAATTTACTCTGCTTCTTTCCTAAATTTCAGGCAGGTTTTATTTTTTTCATCCTTTCATCATGTGTTTTTAATTAAATTTCTATGGTAGAAAAATATTACCCCATCAAATGATTAAAATAAAATTAGAAGATGCTGATTCATGAACAGGGACTATTGCTGTTTGTAGAACATGAGCTAGCATGGAACTTTGCATATTCCATTTTTAATTCTAGCTTTCTTTCTAATCTAGGAGGAGAATGACCTTGATATATTCATTTATCACTGAAAAATTTTGTATATTTCTGTATATTTAAAGTTTAATAAATGAGAGTTTGATTAATACTAGCAACTCTTCAAAATATTTTATTAAATTCCAGTTTTCCTAGTTAAAATATCAAAACAGCACCTAAATTCATTTGAGAGCAGAGAATGTAGGTCAGGGAATGATGCTTGCCTAATATGCACAAGGCTCTAGGTGTGATTCCCAGGACTGAGCAAAAGTGATTCATTTGGATGTGTCAACTTTTAAAAGAAGTACATTTTGCTTCCTAAAATGGCCAAAGTAAATACATTTTCTAAAGCTTAATTTATTTTATGTATAGTTTTGTTTCACATGAAAGCATTGTTTAGCAACCGAACAGGATAGATTGATGTTGAAGACCAATAGTAAGCACGAGTTCGCTACACTACTGGCTTGTAAGTATTGTTTCCCTATGAGTGCCTCGGAGTGCATATTATTTTCAGTGGAATTATCCTTCCATCATTTCTGGAGGAGAATATTAACCAAAAAGAATACTCCGTCACGCCCTTATTGTATCAGTAAATATTATTATCCACATTTTTTTAAATCACAGAGTAGGGTATAAGACTTCTTATTTTGGGCCAAGGATTTAGCTCTGTGGCATAAGTGCCTGCCTAGAAAGTGAAAGGTCATGAGTTGAAGCCCAGGTTCCAAAAAAAAGACTTCTTGTTTCTGTGCTTGCTTCAGCAGCACATGTACTAACACTGGAACGATACAGAGAAGACTTGCTATTTCTTAAGTTTCCCAAAAGAACATTGCATCTATTTGGCATTTCCTTTATGAATTAATTTGAAAATTATCTCTTAACTATGATGTAATAAATTTATGCTTCAACTAATACAAATCCCCCCCCCTTTTTTCTTTTTTCCAGTACCAGGGATCAAACTCACGACCACCTGCTTGCAAGGCAGGTGCTTATGACGCTGAACTAAATCCCGAGCCCCTTACTAATACCACTCTTACAGTTCACTTTGTTATTCTGTGTGTGCTGGAGTGCCCTGAAAGAGGCAAGATGGAGACATGCACATAATAGATTTTATAAAATGTAGACACACAAGACCCATTCATATGTCGCATATAAATATTGTACACATGTATATATCACACGCACTCATTCATTGACCTTTATTCTCACACAGCTTTATGAATAACAACTCAATTTAATGATACATTAATCCAAGCAGCTACTCTTAATTTTCTCCATTGTTATTCTCTCCTACTTGTCAAAAAAATTTAAAGGAAGCATTAATTTTCATGGAATCTTTTTAATGGCATCATCACAAACATGTTAAAAAAATAGAGATACTCATATTTAAATGTTCTGTATTTCCAAAGATTATGTGTTTTTTTAAAGTAGACATGAAAGGTCAGAATAGCTTGTTCAACATGGATAAATACTAATTTATTAATCTGAATCAAACAGTGTTACAAAAAATCAAGATCACTGACTTCAATTATGTCTTTATACTAAACTGCAATAAAAAATACATTAGCCTCATTTATATCTATTTCTTTAACAACATGGAATTACCTAATACTAAGTAATCATTTTAATATCATTATTTATATATTCATAAAGTAAAAATTGTTTCTACAGACCTGTGTGGGAAATTGATCTGGAATGCAGTTTATTCTCTCATTGATGGGATCGTTTATCTCTGCTGGACATCTTTGTGAAGCAGAGGGAGTGGATGATGAAACTGAAGTAGGAGAGAAAAATTGTCCGTGAAGTAAAATATAATGTTAAATATATTTATAGTTTTCTGAGGTATTATTTAGTTTATGTGGAAAGAGTACCTGAATTTATATATAACAAAAATAAAAGTACATTCACATTTTTTAAAACCCACAAATTCAATTACTTACAAGGGAAAGATCTAAATATTAATTTGAAATACTATTGTCTTCAAGTGCTAGACATTAAGAACAGCCTTAACAATGTCAAAGGATCAGTTTTTTAAGTGGTTCTTCATTTTTTCAAAATTGTATTTCTTTCATTATTTGAATGTTACTTTAATAACTGCTTTTATCTCTTTGTGTGAAATTGAAATCTTCACCACAAAGTAAATGATGGCTAAAAGGTAAAACTTATAAAAACATTTGCTGGCACTAAAAATTAGAACATAATAGATCATAAAAGTTCAGAACCTTATATACTGTTTCTTAAAAAAATTCATAGGAGATTCTATCATAGATTAAAAATGGAACAAAATGTACATTCATGAAATATTTACAATCGGTGTTTTACAAATGAAAACAGAAGATGGAGACATGTGGATTCAGAAGAGGTACACAGATGGGGACAATAAACTAGGGAAGATGAAAACCCAAGAAAGAAGATGCTATGAAGAGAATAATTTGATAAGTAAAGGTCAGAAAGCTGGGGACAAGAAAGAAAAATTAAATTAAATTGAACTCTATATAAAGAAGGATATTTTAGCAATCATATATGTATCATCATAACTGAGTGTTTCATAGCATAGAGAATGGTCAGTTACTGGAGTAAAACAAGAAAATAGCACCAGTAGGGATTGCTAACTACACTTAGGCATGAATATAATGTGAAATATCTTTTTTAGTTCTGATTTGGTAGGGAGATGAACAAAGGAAACAGATTTGGTCAACAGTAGTAAACAGCATCACTAATTTAGACTAGAAACACTCAGAAAAATGTCATTAAACACTTCAACTCTTGATTCATCCTCCCTCTAATTCCCTCTGTCATGCAACCTCTCTCTCTTAAAAAAAATTGAACCAGGATGAAGAATTCACTTCATTAACACAACCACAGTGCAAATTTCCAAGGACCAGAGCAAAACCTAGGTTTCTACATGAAAGAATTTCATGCTAATAATGGGCAAGCATTAGTACCTTGCATCAGCACCTTCATCTTTAAGCCACTTTCTCTTTTTCCAGTCATTTAAGTGAAAAAGTCCATTAATGGCAAAACACACAAATTCTTTATTTACAATGCTTTTTCATTGTTATAACCAGAGCATAAAGTATACAAAAAGTTGTACCATTTGTGCCATTCACTGCACATCTTTCTTCACTTGTGTCATGTCTCAAAGATTATTTTAAAATCCATGAATACAATGGAATAACTCTTAACTTCATTGTAATGCACAGAAGTTATTACTGCAACTCACCATCAACAGCAGGTGTTTTCGTCGCCAAAACAACGATGAGGGCGATAGCTATTACTACAGCTATGACGAAGAGGACAATCAGGATGATCTCCAGGCCACTAAACTTCTTCTTTGCCATCTAAAGAAAGAAAAGAATTCAGTTTTTAAACACACAACATGTAACTATAACACCTCATTGTCATAAAATTATGGACAATTTTTTGCTAATCTTGATGCAGAGTTGCAACTTTATCAGTTCAAAATCCAAACTGATATACATTGAAAATGTTACAAAACATTCAACTTAATTCAAAAGAGAAAGTTAATGATGTGCATTGCATAGTACACTCAGAAACACAGGAGAATAATATGTCCAAATTGATGTGTCTTGCCCTTTTATTGCAAATCATTTCTCAGGTCAAAGAAAACTTCCACTTATACTACGTTCTTTAATTTTCAATTTGTGTGTGTGTGTGTGTGTGTGTGTGTGTGTGTGTGTGTGTGTGTGTCTGTGTGTGTGTTTCATTTGTATCGGTACCGGGGATCGAACTCATGACCGCCTGCTTGCAAGGCAGGTACTTATGCCGCTGAGCTAAACCTCCAGCCCCAATTTTCAAAATTTTTAATGCTATGAACATGTTCTTATTTATCACACTTTATCAATTAGCAACTGTAAACCCAAAGAAAATAAGCTAAATTTCAAAGTAAAATAACCCACTTCTTTTTACTTTAACTCACACTGTGTCACCTTGCATAGTTTGATATGACTACATTTTGGAAAAGAAAATATATACGTATGCTCCAACATAATTTATATATACTTTACCAAAATATTATCATATTAAACTGTTAGATGACAGAAACATAAATTAAGACACAAATGTGAGTTTGTATGAGAGTAGTTGTATTTCAAATACTTCAAACTATGTGATTAAAAAGTTTTTCATTTAAATAACAAAATACACCAAACACTCATATCAGTAAATTTTTCGTTTTTGGTACTTGGAACTAAACCCAGAGATTTCACATTGGGCTATGTCTGTAACACTTTTTTATTTTTAATTTTTAAGAAGAGCTTCATTAGGTTTCCCAGACTGAGCTCAAATCAAGATCCTCCTGCCTCAGTCTCCTTGAGTACTGGAATTAAAATGTGTGTCTCCACATTCTGCTCATATATTGATTTTTAATAACATTATCTATTTGAGATTATATATAGAAAATATTTAAATGTAGATTAATAAAGAATTCTCCAATCATTATCTGAAATCTTGTTTAATTTTAACCATATATTCTCATGGTTTTGCCGAATGTTCAAGTTGCAATAGATTTCCCATGATATACTCAGGTCAAAATTAGAATTCCTATGTTAAATTATTTCACAAATTTCTGATTTTAAAATCTGTCTCTTTTTTTTTAAATGGCAGGTGTTGGCCCATATCTGTAATTCAAATACAGTACTCATGAGGTTGAGGCAGGAGGATCACCATGAGTTCAAGGCCAGCCTGAGACACATAATAAGTTCAAGGCCAGTTTGAATCTCGTACTGAGATCCTGTCTCAAAAACACACACTGAGACAAGAAATAAAATCCTTCTTTGTTGTTTTGTTGTGGCTCATGAAGGTCCCGCCACCTATAACTACCGGTCCTTATATTTAATTATCTGAACCTGAGATAATTTTTCTGTATCCCAGATACTTCTACCACTTGTAGTCACTTAACAAGCCCAGTTAAATTTCTCCCTGTAATATTTTCAGAATCATAGCCTCATCCCAGCTCTAGAACTGCAACAGAGTTTTTGGATAATGCATCTCCTCATGCGCTGTTGAATCCTTCTTCATTTCCTGACCAACTACTTTTCTACATGAGTTCTAATCAATGGCTTGTTCAAATATCCTGGTTTCCATGAACACATTGGTGCTCTCTCGGGCAGAATTAATCTACCCTTTTCAGGTTTTGCACACAGCATATCTATTAAAATTATTTATGCCATTTTAATTTCCCCGATTAGCTTATTACATTCTTAACAGTTAAAATTATGAAAGTAGTTCAGAAACTGATACTAAGCACAGTCTTAATTTTTAAATATGCCATAGGAATGAATATTTGAAAATAAGTTTTAATTTGAACATATCATTTCCTGTGATTGATATGTAAGTTTAACTATTTATTATATCAGGATTATTTAAAGAGACTAAATTTAGGATGTTAAATTTAAACAAAGGAATAGATGATATAGGAAGTTTCTAAAATAGTAAACTACTCAGTGTTATGCCAGAAATAGCATAGTCACATTTACTGTGTAACTTTAAATAAATATAAGGTCACTTAAAGCAATAATCTACTATTTTTGTAATGAAAGCAATAGCATGACTACACATTTTATTTGCAGAAAGGGATGACAAAATACACATTATTATGACACAAAGCCTCCTTTTTTCAGAATATAAGAAACCAAATTTAATTTTAAAAATTAAATTATTAATGTAAATACCTAAAACATAAAGTATTGAAATTATTTATATTTTATAGGAGATAATTGGTGATCATATCTTAAGTAATTTAAAGCAATAAATATTGGAAATACTGCATATTGATACATTTTTCAAAATGAATAGTATTTTATTAGATAGTAGATATTTAATATGATATTTAAAAGGTGTGCTCAAAACGTCAAAAATTTTATAAGTCTGGCATTTTACTCTGCCTAAATATTTGTAAACATAATATATTTTATCATACTTAGCTAGAGTATCCCTCTACCTTTCCAAAACTTCTCGACCCTATTTTATTTCTTTCCTTTCTATTTGCTATAAAAACTATTAAAATTTACTAGGATCACATCTATGTTTGACAAAAATCATTAAAAAAAATGGGAAAAGAAAATGTTTTCATATCTCTGAGGAACTGGGATTATTTTGTGACTTCTGAAAAGAACTACATATATAAGTTGGTAATTTAAAAACGTTGGACAATTTTCAACACGTGCACACAGATAAATGTTGTAAATGTGATACCAGGAAAATCAAATTCATTTAGAATAAGAAATAACAAATAAAACTTGCGTTCTTACCTTTCTTCATAGCCTGTTCTATCTCCTGTGGTGCAGCAGTGTCAGGTGAGGCGAGGCTGCTAATGATCAGGAAGAATCGCTGGGTATAATATCCTCCTACTTGTAAAATTTTATTGCACCCTCACTAACCTATCAATATTCAGTATTATTGTGCTCAACACATAAGTGTTGAGTCTTAACCTTGAAAGCAGTTTGTAGAAATACTCCTCTCTGTGAATATAAGTTAATTAATAACTCCTCTCAGTCTCTGATTTCTAGTAACAACTATCTTAGAGAATAGGAGTTATTTCAATGATTTTTTGTCTTTTCAAAACTGGATTTCTTTTCATTACTTGGGCATTCTTTTAACAACTTATAGTTAATTTTGTGAATATATTTGAAAGAGTTAGTAAAACATTTATAGAAACTAACGATTAGAAGATTATATCTCAGTAAAAATTAATGACTAAAAAAATTAATTATGTGGCTTGTTATTAACCCTAAGAATGAAGAACTGACCAATTATTTAAGACAAAAACATGGAGGAAGAGATAAATGGATTGACAATTGCAAAATAAAATCAAATTTTATTTATTTATTAAGTTTATCAAAAACCATTTCATAACCCCTTCTGAGTTCATAAATCAAAGCTTTCAGAATGGACTATAGTAGTAGTTTCAACTTGTGTAGTCACTAAAAGCACAAGATTTGATGTCAGAGATCTGGGTAAAAATGCTTGCTGGCCTGTGAGCACCTGGGAAACTATGGGTAAACTTGTTTGCTTATTTAAGCTTCCATCTTTTTATCTAAAAAGTTTTAAAATTATCTTGGGGCTGTTGAGAGAATTACATGAGCTGCTCTAGTCTAATACAATTTTTACAGGTTTGTAAATATAGAGTCCAACTGAATCCTGAAATAATTGTTTAGTTCAATACTCAATCTGCCACTGTCTTTAATATATATATATATATATATATATATATATATATATAGTAAAATACTGAAGTCATGCAAAATAGAGGAACTCACAGTGGCGGCCACCTGAATGTGAATATAAGAGAAAGTATAAAAAGACTATATGTCTGAATTACTATTAGTCTCAGGGGAAGCATAAAGAACTTTTTGTTACATGAAAATAGATCAGAATAATGTGAGAATGGCTACAATGGGCAGAAAACTAAGTTCAATATAATGTAATATATTATCACTTCTGAGTAATTTGTAGATGATATAATTACATATGTAGAGAATTCTATTAAATCTTCTCAAATCTCCTAGAAACAAAATATGATTGTACCAAGATCACAGGCTATGAGACCAATACACAAAAGTCAATCAAGTTCTGATACAAACAATGAGCTGTAGAAAGCTAGAACTAAAATGTAGAGACAGATTAAAAACGGTTAATGTATAATCATTTAAAATAGCACCAAAATGAGCCTGGCATAAATCTTTCAAAATATATGCAGAATATCTTTTCTGAAAATTTAAAAATATGAATGAAATATGTCAATCAAGATTCAAATAAAACTCATGGATTAAAAAACTCAATATTGGCAAATTATAGATTCCTCTCAATCAAATCTAAATATTCAATATAATTTAAATCAAAATCACGACTACTAGGCATAGAGAAGCTTATTATAAATTTTGTATATCAGTTTTTTAACAACTTCATTCTTAATTTCATGAAACTAGAAAAATATCGGATTTTGAAATAAAAACTGTTATAGCTACACAATGGCAAAGTGTTCAGAAATAAAATGTAACGAAACATTGACTCATGCAATAACCATATGATTCCTAAATATTAGGTTGCTTCTCTGTAATTTTAGAGATGTGATAAGATTTAAAAACAATACTTAACTAGGATTGTGTCTCTATTTTATTTTCATCTTTTAATAGTCAAAGCAACTGAGTGTGATGTGCACACCTGTAAGCTCAGCACTTGAGAGGCTGAGGCTGGAGGATCACTGCAATTTGGAGGCCAATCTGGGCTATGTAGTGAGGTCAAGTCCAGGCTACACTACAAAGCAAGAGCCTGTCTCAAAAAATCAAAAACAAATAAACTAAAAAGCAACGACACACACTTTTTTTTCCAGCTTTCTATATCTTTAAATTGAAACTCTGACAAATTTTAATTAGCTTTTTTATATTTTAAATATATAAACATTTAAGTAGTAGCTTTTGTCCTTTCAATTAGACTTTCTATGATTTAAATTTTTATACCTTTATTTTTAGCTTGATTTTATTGTCTTATGAATTTATATTTCCCTTAAGCAATGTCTTTTTTCCCTCTTATTTCTCATTCTCTCTCTTGCTATTTTTGCTTTTATCAATGAATTTAAACCAATGGAGGATCATCGTATTCATGAGTTGCTCAGAAGAAAAAAATTCAAATAATTCATAAAAAGCATTCAATTATAAACATAATAAAATCATAAACAATAGTGTCAAGAAGGCATTTTAAGTTAAAATCTATTTTTTAAAAAGAAACACAAAGTTTTAAAATGTCAATTACAGTAATACCTCAGATCACAGACTTATCTGTTCACAAACAAATTGATCCTCAAGCAAAATATTGGGCAACATTTAACTTTACATTGGGTAATAAACTCTACATTGGGTAACAAACACAAACACGGTCATCTTTCCTAAAATTGTGAACCATGGTACCTCTGTACTCCAGTGCTACAAAAATGTTTAACTTCTATGACACAAAGTAAGCCTAAAATTGAGACGGTTATTAGATAGGCAGAAAACTCGGTAAAGGCTGAGAATGGAATCGAATGATACCAGGTGAGTGACTCCTACTGTAAGTAAAACCGATTGATGCTAAACTATTCTCTTTATAAATTATAATTCAGGGCTCATGAGTTAGCCCAGCAACATAAGCATCTGCCTCGCAAGCATCTAGTTCTATCCACAGTACCAAAAATAAAAGTAAAAAATAAATAATTGAAGAATAAATTGTAATTCGCTTGACTTTCAAATTTGCATTTCAGAATTAATAAATAGTGGTTAAGTCATGTATATTAAATATGTACTTTAATTTAAAATTACATGGTTTTGAAAGTTATGCTCTGGCTTCTAGTGTTTGCTGGCCACCAACTGGAACAGAAGACAAAAATCTGATTTTTATGATGGTGACAATGCAGAGATACTTCAAAATAAGATATCATCCAAGAGTGCCTCTATCTTCCAGGAAATTGTGGGAAAAAAGAAACCAGAAAGAGCATGATTACATGAAATGTGGATGAGTGCTGGGAGGTGGCTCTGAGAACTGCTGAATTTGAGCTTTTATTTTCTAGGAGGTAGAAAAGATGTAGACACAATTACTAAAATAAGAAGGAAAGAAAGAAAAAGAAAGAAAGAAAGAAAGAAAGAAAGAGAGAAAGAAAGAAAGAAAAGGAAGACAGAAAGAAAGAAAGAAAGAAAGAAAGAAAGAAAGAAAGAAAGAAAGAAAGAAAGAAAGAAAGAGAGAAAGGAAGAAAGAAAAGAAAGACGAAAGAAAGAAAGAAAGAAAGAAAGAAAGAAAGAAAGAAAGAAAGAAAGAAAGAAAGAAAATCTTAGGCTACTAGGACACATTTAAAAAATAATGAAAGCAAAGAAATCTGGAAGAAGACCACGACCAAAAGAAAAGGGGCCTATGGGCAGAGATGTGACAGTCAGGGACAACCTTCCAGGAAAACAGGATACGTCTGTAATTGGATATATACAAGTCCTACCTCTTACTGTCACATGAAACAGGTGATCTCTAGCTTTCACCTGTAGACCTTAGTGTTCTTTTAAGCTTCAGATACAAGTCTCCAAATCATTTTCAGTAGCTCAAAAGAGATATTTGCCATCTCTACCAAGACAGTTCCTTACCCAGCTCCCTGTCACAATCATTATCTCTACTTGTCTCTAAGTCACGTGGGCTCAGAACATCCAGTTTCTTTTGGCTTTGTATTATGTATAGATACAGTATGTCACACATGATTTCCCTCAATGCCTTTCACAGACTCTTCTGTATTCACTTTAGCTACTTCTGCTATGATTTGTAGCTCACAGACTGCAGCTTTGTGCTTGTTGTTACAGCTCTTACAAACTTCAACTATTTGAGTTATCAACTTTTCCCCTACACTGAGCAAGTCCAAAGCACATGTGTGCCCTGATGTCTAGGAACAGGGCTATGCAAGGTATAAATTTTTAACACTACTATGTGATTTTCTGCAATATTTTCAGTACTTCTGCAAAGATGACATGGAATACTGTACAGAGGAGGCTGCAGTGTAGTGTTTCGAACACCTGGGCTTGCAGTAACATTTTTTCATGAAGTATTATTTTCAAGAGTTTTCTGAAAGTAAGATTTCTGACGAGGACTATGAGAACAGTAAGAATACCAGTCTTATCCAATGAACCAGACACTTTTGTTTCACAGAACTAAGGTCATATATCCTGCTACTTTTGCATTTAGGTTACCCTAAAAACATTTTGCTAATATCATAATGTGTTTTGTTAATATTATAATACACTTATTATACATCTTGTTAATATTAAAATAAAAATTATTTTTAAACAGTTTTGATGCTTATAGATAAGCAACATTATATGTTTTATACAAGCTGAAGATAATTACCCCTTACTCAATGTGGCCTTTATAAGCCAAAAATACGGACACCAATGCTATCCAGTAGAACTACCTGTTCTTTCGCAAGCAAGTAATTCAAGCCAGGTTTGGTGGTTCATGTCTGTAATCCCAGCCCTCAAGAGGCAAAAGCAGGATAATCATTGCAAGTTTGAGAATAGCCTGGGGCAACAAAGTGAGTTGAAGGTTAACCCGAACCACATAGTGATAAGGTGTTTCAAAATGACAAAAGACAAAAAAAAAAAAAAAAAAAAAAAAAAGAAAGGAAGGAAGGAAGGAAGAAAGAAAGAAAGAAAGAAAGAAAGAAAGAAAGAAAGAAAGTTCAACTAGTAATATTTATCATATATTCAACTAATTATATAGTCATAATAACATGACCTAAAAGTATGGAACCAAACTTCTTAATCTCATAGTTAAACTGTCATGCATTTTTGTTTGCTATTTTATCTTAACTCTCATAATCAATCTTTTCTCTTGTCACACCTTCTACGAACCTTCTTCCTCTTTCTTGAGCTCCTATCTATGTTTCATTAGGTCCCAAAGATAAT